AAAAGTTCTCTCCGTGCTCTGTCGGAGATGTTGGAGTATCTCCTCGAGACTGCGAGAATTTCTCCTACAGATGGCGGAATGGTAAAAGATGGATTGGGTGAGAGCGAGTGCGTCGTTTATGTCGAGGATGATATCCTCGATCGGATCAATTGGTGAAGACGAAGCAGAGGAGTCTTGATACAACTCAGTGATCTGTTCGACCGTTCCTTCCACGTCTGGAGTATGGGCTTCGGTAGGGACGGGGAGGACCGGGAGCGGTTTGTTGAGAGCTGCGAGGAAATCTCTCTGGTGTCTGCGGTCCGCTTCTGATACCCACTCTTCTGAGAGCTGTTGGGAGGTAGACACGATGGAGGTATACAACGTCGCTGACGAGTCCGGTTTGTAGGTATCTGATGATGGCAAAGAACGCGAAGAATTGGACGAGAGCGGTGATGGTAGAGAAGGCGTCCAGTTTGAGAAGACTGAACGACAATAGGTGTAGTGGGGTGGATAGTGAGGAGAACGATAGGGATGGTAGAGAGGTGGAGAAGGTGATGATGAAGTTTTTAGACCGGTGCAGTGGCAACGACAGTCTTTTTCAGGGTGTAAGGAAACGGTTTTCCAAAGAGGGGCTCTGGAAAAGGATTCGAGGTAGGTGAGTTCAATATTTTGTCAGGCAACAAATACGAAGCTATATAACAAAGCTCAATGTCTGGTCAAGTCCTTCCTTGAAGGCGGTGAATCAGAGTATGAGAATGAAGAGTATCGGTAAGAGCGCAAATCCAAACTAATATTGAACTAGAGAACAATACATTGAGTATATACTTCTCTATATAGTGAACGGCGATGGTCAGACCGAGAAAGGGAACTACTGAGAAAGTGGTCTGACCAGCTAACTAACCAATAAGAAAAAAGGGAGGAAGTGGTCCGATCTATCGTGTTTACTAATCGTATCAGAAAACGTATTGGTAAGGGATATGCGATTGGCTGTATCAGTAAGCCCATGAGAAGGCGCTGATTCACTACCTTCTTCGCTTATCAATATTCCTCCGAAGTATTCCCAGACATAGCACTGAATCGTGGCTATGTCATCTGGATATCTTCTTGAGGGTCGACAACGAGTCTACCTCGTTGTAGGTACGATAGAACGTGAGTGTGAAGAGAGAATAAGAAGAAAAATGATAAAAGTAATAAGACACCAGCTGTAATCTCTAGTCCAAGGGCAAGAGGAGTGATGGGGATCGAATCTGCTAACCACGACATGACGGGAATGCGATAAGAAAAATCGATTCCTCACAATGTCTTGGCTCTCTCAATCATTCCCAGTTACTCCTCTGGCTATCAGATTGGAAGTTACTGCAGGAACTCTCCTACTCATTTCATTTTACTTTCCTTGTGTACTTGCATTCTATTATACTTACAACATAGGAGGTTCTTCTCTTGTTCATAAGAAGATATTCCAATAGCATAGCTCTGATCGTGAGCTGTGTGTGGGAATACATTGGTGAAAGATTAATTAGCAATATAGACTGTGACTCAGCACCTTCCCATGGGGTTACTGATCCAGCCAATTGCACATCCTTTACCAAGAACCTTTCCCACATGTTCAGTAATTACAATAGATCACACCACTTCTTCCTCTTTTTCTTATTGATTAGTTATATGGTCAGACCACTTTTCTTATCTTTTTTTCTTTTGGTCTGACCATCACTGTTCACTATATAAAGGGTAGATACTTGATATATTCATTCCTTAGTTAAATAGTTAAATATTAGTTTGGATTCATGTTTATACTCATACTCTTCAGCAACTCTCTACTTAGCTCCATTGTCTTATCTTCAAGAACCTGGCCTGACATTAGTTGTTGTAATATAGCTTCATATTCATTGCCTGACAAGAGAGTTGTAACTAATAATACAAGGAAGAAAAGTGTTGCATGGCACAAGTGTCCAACATGAGAAAGGAAGTTAAGTAGGAGAATGAAAGTTGAAGGTCCGAACATTGTGTATCATAGCACTACCCCTTCCTAAGGCTTGACTTCCAGGCTTGACCAAATGATGCACTAGACAATGTCTTTCAAATGAAAGACTCAGTCTATTATTATAAAGACTAGTTCTATTGAATGAACGACTGTAAGGTATTTGTTAGTGATTGATATAAATCTGTAGTGAATGTTATGCATACTTCAGTCTATTATTGTCAAGACTGAGGTGTTGAGAAAGACATGTCCAACTTTTTGTGCCAGTGTTTCAAAGTCTGATGTTTATGTGATGTTTAGAAAAGCGCAAAGTGTAAGTATAAATGAAGATAATGGAAGTTGTGCAAAGGAAACATTGTAAAGTATTAGTAGTTCAACATATAGTGTAGATATAACTTCTTACTATGTCAAGACATCCCCTCAAACCAAACTCAACCCCATGACCTTAATAAAAATTTGAAGTTCCGGATGAGCAAGAGGTTTTGTGGAAGTGTTGGTGTGTGAAGCAAAATCAGTGTCAGTAAAGCCAACAAGTCCTTCGATGTTACTGCCCATGACTAAGTGGAAGTCTCACATCCCTGTGGGATACCGTAGTACTTGTTTTACTGCTTCCCAATGTATCTGTTTAGGATTTTGTAGGAAACAATAGAGTGACAATACAATACTGCAAATAAAAGGTCAGGTCTCATGCATAAAGCAGGATACATGAGTGATCCTATTGCTTCTCGGTACAGAAATTGTTGTGTATTATCCAAATTTTGAGATGTTAGATTGTCAAATAGAAGTCCAGGCTCCATGGGTGTTGTGACCGGTTTTCAATCTGACATTTTGAATTTTGTGAGAATCGAATCAATAAAGACCTGCTGGCAGAGTGTGGTAGTTTGCATTTTTTGATCTCGAATAATTTCTACGCCTAATAACCAGTGAACATCACCTAGGTCAGAAATTTCATATTCATGTTTGATACCAGCCTTGAATGCTTCAATAGCAGCTTTATTACTAGTGGCAATAAGCATATCATCAACAGAAACTGCCAGTGCAACAATAATGTGATGGCCAGGTTTGTGGCGGTGTCATGCACCAAAGTTGATTGGTAGCATGGACAGGTGTCAATAACGAAGCGAATATTCAAAAAGACTCGCCTTTGCGCCACACAGGCACAGTGCCACATGGAATAGTAATTAATATTGCCTTTTTCAAACTTGTGGCTGATCAGCACCACCTCTATTAGGCAATCCAGTCACGCTTACCTTTGCTTTTCCATTCGGTACTTTCCGCATTTCGGCATTTCGGCAAATTTTTGCGTCGCCACTGGCTACACATTGCATTGTGCCCTCGCTTTTGTCGTTTCCTTCACTTCCCTTCCTTTGCCTAGCCCCACCATGGGTCCCTTACTCTCGTCTTTATTCTCACCCGACGGTCATTTCTGGATCCCCATTTTAGTTTACCTCCTCGTCACCTCCACCCTCCTCCTCCTCGTCTTCTTTGCTCCCCCACCATTTCTGATGTCACCACTTCCTATCCGCTTCCGTTGCCGATCCGTTGACTACCATGTGCCACTGCTGATATCAGCAAAGCCCCGGCGGCCGGTTCAAATAGGGCAACAGGTCCATCTTTATGACATCAATCTACCACCATATACTATCAAAACATCGGTCGCTCGCCTTGCCTGGTTGGAGCGTGGGTGGGTAGTTTTTGAGCTGGAGAAGGTTCATCCCCTTGCGTCGCCCATGTTCATCGCTGTCCCATTCTTATCTTTTGTCCATTGTCTTCACTACAGCTACACCTACCACACGCTGCCTGGGACTCACTTGTTCCAAATTGGGACTACTCCTCTCCCTCCCTCGTTTAACCAGGTGGTCCAACACAACCAGTCCGTTGGTAAGGCCATGGAACTGTCGGATTTGGACTAGGTGGTGGACCGGTGGCTCCAGTTTCTTCTTTTTTCAGCAGAACATTCATTTACAGTGCGATTATTTTTGATTTTTGAATCATTTTTATGGACACATGCCTGACTGACAATAAAGGAACTGTGTTGATACTGATAGTGTTTTGCCTTGCCCTTTTTTTACTGTATCTTCCCATGACATCATGATTTTCCTGCTCTCTTTTTGCTATTGGACTTTACTTTATGGCTGTACAAACCTGTGACATTACTCACAGCATTCATTGTTCTATCCCTTTTTTCCCTTTTGTTGACAATCTTATCCTGTACTACCTACACAGGATTTGTCAGCGTACATTCCTTCCTTCATGTTCTTTCTCATTCTTTTTGCACAGCTATACTGTGCATAGCCTACTTCTTTTTCACTATATAAACCCCTGTATTTTACCTTGTAAAAAAAATACAACAAGAACTCGAATCCAGACTTCTTCTCTAACTAATGCTAAGATCACGCTCAGAAAGCTATCTCAAGTTCACTACTCTGCTACTTGTGATCCAGTGTGGTCACAACACTTCCCACTGCTACCACTGTTAACTGCTGTCATCATCACTTCCCACTTTTGAAGTCATTGTTATCCCTTTCGATTAGAGTCCTTCTGAGCACTACAGTTTGTGCGTCAGGAGCCTGCTATCACTGGGAACCTTGTCACCTCATCATCCTCGTCGTTCTCAAACCTACCTTGTGCTACGATTAGCAAGGTAGTGCTCGTCTATACTCGCCACAAAGTCCCTATCTTTCTATATTCCAACTATCCCTCCTCCTCAAAACCCACACCCATACATCTCTGGGTTTTACTTTGAAGGATCATTATATGTACCACCCCACGAACAACCAGACCACTCCACTATTCTAGGAGGCAAAGCCCATAAACAAGTTCCGTGGAATCTGGGAGGATTGTGTGTTAGTTTGTTTTTATGTGTGGTTTCTAACAGCAGTTCTCATTATCGACATCGTTGAAACAGCAAACTGTCGGAACCAAAGCCCTGATAGATTCAGGAGCTACTGATGACTTCATGGACACAAAATTCGCCATCAGACACTGACTCCCCCTCCAAAAACTCCCAACTCCTATAACGTGTAAAAATGTTGACGGAACCATGAACAAAAATGGAAAAATTACACATTACACCTATCAGAGGATAGATGCAGGAGGACAAAACAGGTTCACAAAGTTCCTATTAACCGGACTAGACAGAGAAGACGTATTACTGGGATTTCCCTGGTTACGAAAAGTCAATCCTGTCATTAACTGGAAAGACAAAGAATTACCAAACTTGGACAAACACTCCATCAGGATGAACCAAACAACCACGGAAACAAAAATTAGGACAACCGCAGTAAACGAGGATGTGTACGAAACCATTCATAGATACGTATCCGACCAAACACCCTATCCTCGAACCACGATTCGATTAAAGGTCAACTCGGCAATGGAACACGCACAAATACACGGAGAAAAGAAGGAGCATAACCTCCTGGATGAATATAAAGGGTATTCAGACGTCTTTGACAAAAAGAAGTCGGAAAGACTCCCCAAGTGACGGGAATATGATCATGCAATCAACATGAAACCAGATTTTGTACCAACAGATTGCAAGTTGTACCCATTGGCACCAAAGGAAGACAAAGCGTTAATGGAATTTCTAACGGAAAACTACAGAAAGGGATACATCAGGCCGAGCAAGTCGCCACAGGTGTCCCCCTTCTTCTTCATCGGCAAAAAGGACGGATCACTCCGACCGTGCCAAGATTACAGAAAACTAAACGCATATACCGTGAAAGACCCCTATCCACTACCCCTGATACCCGACCTCATTGAAAAATTGAAAGGAGCCACCATCTTCACGAAACTAGATCTATGTTGGGGATACAACAACGTAAGGATAAAAGAAGGAGACAAATGGAAAGCTGCGTTTAAAACCAGCAAAGGAGTGTTCGAACCAACGGTCATGTTCTTCGGCATGTGCAATTCACCGGCAACATTCCAAAGGCTAATGAACGACAAATTCAAAGACTACATCAATGAAGGTTGGATGATCATATACATGGATGACATCCTCATCTTTGACACCAACATCGAAAGACTCCAAATCCGAATGAAACAGGTTCTACAAAGACTACGCGATAATGACCTATTCCTAAAACTAGAAAAATGCACCTTCAAAGCAGAAACCATTGAATACTTGGGAATGATCGTTTCCCACAATCAGGTATCAATGGATCCGTGATTGGCCAATCCCGAAAGACACCAAAGGCGTAAGAAAGTTTTTAGGTTACGGAAACTTCTACAGGAAGTTTATCGGTCATTACTCTGACCTTGCCAGGCCCTTGGATGCCTTACTAGAAAAGGATAGGAAGTGGAACTGGACCCAAACTGAAGACAACACTTTCAAATTGATGAAACAAAAATTCCTCGAATCCCCCGTAACACAAATTCCCGACTCCTCAAAACCGTCAAAGATTTCTGCAGACACCAGCAAACACGCCACAGAAGCTGTATTAATGCAACCCGATGACCAAGGACAATGGCACCCATGTGCATTTTTCTCCAAAACTCTATCCCTCGCTGAAAAGAACTACCAGATCTACGACAAAGAGTTATTAGTGGTAATGAGAGCTTTAAAAGAGTGGAAACACCTACTTTTGGGAAGCCCCCACACAATCCAAATCCTGACAGATCACAAGAACCTGACGTACTGGCAAGAAGCCAGGAAACTGACACCGCGACAAAGAAGATGGCAGCTGGAACTGTCACAATACAATTACACCTTGGAGCACGTACCAGGAACCCACATGGTAGTACCCGACGCACTCTCAAGAAGACCTGATTTATACGTCGAAACAGAAGGAGACGACGATGACACACCAATGATACCCGCCTCAGCATTCCTGTATCACACACAAACAATTAAAAACACAATCGAGCAAGCCATGCTCACAAACGATAATTATCCAGGAAGAACGAAGAAAGACGATTGGAGAAAAGAAGAAGGACAGTTCTTTTATCAGAATAAATTACTGATTGACGAAGTAGAAGAACAAAAGACGATCATCAAAGATCACCACGATTCCCTGTCCACAGGACACCCAGGAAGGCTCAAAACCTACCAGTTGATCAAAAAGGCCTATTGGTGGCCAGGAATGATGAAACAAGTGGAAAAATATGTGAAAGGATGCACAACTTGTCAACAAGCAAAAGTAAACACGCATCCCACCACCGTACCATTAATCCCAAACCATATTAAGAACAAAGCTTGAAGGAAGTGTCTAGCCACTTGCTGAGAGCAATCAGGGACTGGAACTAGAGTCCAATGTGAGTAACTAGAGAATAGGAAGCATTGGACTCTGCAGTACTGTCCGAAGTTTTGTAAACAAAGGTAAACAAAGCAGCCATAAAGGCGAAATAATAGAGAACACAATCAATAGTGAATGATAGAAGAATAGATAGAGAAAGGAATGAAAATATATAGGTAGCACAAAGGTGCAGAATCACCAAAACTAACAGCCAAGTGTCTCAAGAGAATATCTGCACGAGATGGGAACCAGGGCCTTTTGGGATCTTTCATATCCATAGCCCACACTGACAAACCAATAGACAACCATCAAAATCAATAGTAGAGTAAGTATAGCAGGACTTACTGTCTCTTTCTAAAATGTCCTGTGTTTGTACTTCAACTCTCATTCCATTTGCCAGTTCCTGTTCATTCGCATCCTGGAATTTTGCCTTCAATACAGGCTAGCATGCATTACATGCAACCTTGGCTCTTTTGCCATCTTTGCTAGCAAATGATACTGGATCTTTTGCTTTATATCTAGGATAATCAGTAAATGCTTCAACTCACCACCATTCACGTCCCATTTTGGAAGAGAAGCTGATAACTGCAAGATGTGGTTTTCCGAGAGGGGAGAAACCAAGTGGATGGGTGTCAGTGGTGCTGAGTTGTTGACATTCTAGATTATATATGTAGAATGTGGATGGTGGGCATGCAGCAAATGTGATACAGGCATTTTTAGCTATGAAAACCATGTTTTACTTCTCAGGCAATTAGGATGCAAGTTACAACACACATGCTTGATGCAAGGCCTCTATCATACTGACACATATGTGCTTACTCATTTCTAGTGCCTTCAGTGCCGTCTCTAGTGCCATATCACATGATATGGTTCCTGGGAGTACCATGGTGGTGCCCAAGGCCAGTCTCCTACCCACCCCCTATTTTGAGAGAGGAGGGATCTATCCTAGTGCTTTGATGTTGAGATGATATGCAAAAATTAAATTAAAATAAAACACATCACATGACTCAAAAATTTGAATGTCCCTCGCTCTCTCTCCATAATGGCTGGAACATAACATCAGTAAACAATGGCTTGCCACAGTGACGGTGACGAGGATGATGACAGCGGACTCCCAATAAAATATGAATATAAAAAAAGGATTGATTATATCATCATCTACTACATTCGGACACACACGCCTCAAGGTTGGACATTTGATGTGACCACACAGAGCCAACTAGGTCTATATCGTTCCTTGAATTTTTGACTGCGTAGCGAAGGACCGCTCACTATATTGTTCACAATGCCCTCCAAATCTAACCCCTCTGTTTGCGCCTAGTATTCCTCCTCCTCCTCAACATTGATTTCGGCCATTGTGACATCCTCAGTCCCCCTTGAGCTACATCTTGGATTTGAACTGAGCAAGTCACCAACTTGAGACCATAACCTTGGTGCGAGGTCTTGAAATTTGGACGCCATGTCCCGAACGCAGAACTCCTCAATCAAGATCGTTCATTGAGCCACTCAACCTAGTTGCCTGAAATAGAATAAACATTATATTAGAATATTGATCTGTATTACTTAAGAAAAGGTATTTTATTGGGAGTCCGCTGTCATCATCCCCGTCACCGTCACTGTGGCAAACCATTGCTTACTGATGTTATGTTCCAGCCGTTATGGAGAGAGAGCGAGGGACGTTCAAATTTTCGAGTCATGTGATGTGTTTTATTTTTGTTTTATTTTTGTATATCATCTCAACATCAAAGCACTAGGATAAATCCCTCCTCTCTCAAAATAGAGGGTGGGTAGGAGACTGGCCCAAGGCTCTCTAAATGGCACGGCACCAGAGGGCACGGCTCGCCCAACGCTGCTTAGTAACCCATTGTTGATACTTACATACACCAAAACAGATTTTTCCATATGCGACTCGACCAAAGACGGAAAATAGCCTGTCTCGCATAAGCAAGCGCCCGCCTTCTTACTGAAATAGGCGCCCACACTAGTTGGCAGACATTACCGAAAGTTCGAAACCGTATTTGCTGCAACCTGACCGGAAATGTCAACCATCCATATACCTGAAGACATTTTATGCCACATATTTAGCTTCCTCGATTTCAAAGATTTACTACGTTGCAGTGCGGTGAGTATTACTCCCTCCTCCTTTGTCCACTTCACCTAAATTTTATTCTGAACATATCATATAGGCCTGCGAAATTTACAAAGACACCATTGATGATTCGTCGCTCTTGCAATGTAAAATCGAGCTTGGTGCACAGCGCATGGTGTCGCTCCCAGGTGCCTCAAAGATACCCGCCAGCGAGCTGTACGAGCTACTGTGGAAGAGAGAACAAGTTTGGTACTACTTTGGCTGGCGCCGCTTCTCATCGCACACAGTGGGTCTTCCCCCTGGGCGTATACCTTTTGTTTCTACTGCAGGTGGGCTGATAAGCCTTTGGGACGGACGTCTGGGTGAGGTGTACGAGCTTCCTGCAGATTTATCTGAGAGGTCGACCGAACTCCAGTTGAGAAGGACCCATACACATCCAGGTCATCTCGACGTCAGGGGAGTTGCTATCGATCCGTCACAAGATCTTTCGGTCCTTGTCACATTTGCACCTCCAACGTAATGCGCATCCCTCTCCTGCGAGATATAAAGTATGCCTGACGCCCATATAATTATCAGTGCGAACTATACCTACGACCTTCATCTCAAAACTATAAACACAAACGAGCCCCATCCCCTTGCGGGAAAATCACATCTAGCGTCCGCAACGAGATTACAGGATTGGCCTTACCGTGTTCGAGTCCGAATTCTGGGTCCAGTGATCGCGTTTCTCCCTCTGGTACTCTCCGAAGTACCAGAACGCTGTTTCAGCGGACATGTGCTACAGACTTGGAACTGGAAAGAGCCAGGTGCTACAGGGGTAAGTGCCCTCAATAGTTATTTCCAACCCAAACTAACTAATCATCGTCTTCGCAACGAAACAGCGTAAATTAGTTAACCCAAAAATGCTAGATTTTTGCTTCTTGACCGTGGACGCTATACTTGTACTTCTTGCGACCGGCGTGATCGAAGTATATTCTTCTAATGAGCTAGAGTTCACGTGTATCGCAAGATACGCATTACCAAAGGTGCGCCAGGGATTCGTCTGCTCCCCTGGAGGAGGTGGCACCATATCTTGCAACGCTCCATATCTCTCCACCCTTCCCTGGACCACTAGCCTGGCCGAGTCATACCCTTTACCATTCTACCCCGATTCGCAGGAACGGATATGTGCGATCACGTTCGGTCACGTCTTCTTTATCGATATGCGAGTATTCTTCTCTTCACACGGGGTATATTCGACCCAACTCGGCGTATCTGGCGCATTGACACGCCCTTGGGCTTCCTGGGGCCCACAAAACTCACGGTGCTTTCCTAGCGATTGGCCGTTTGGAGTTTTTGGCAGTAAGGCCGTTGGCATCTATCGTGTAGGCCACAAAACCGCCCCGTTTCGCCTGAAACTGCGTGAATTCAATCCCTATCTCCTGCGGCGCAACGATTCAGGAGAGAGCGGTCGTAGTTGGGTCGTAACATCACCATCAACCATCTCAGCGAATCATGCATTTGCAGAAGATGTGACGACCTGTCTTCCATACCGCGAGGCCATCGGCGGATGGGAATGGTTCGATGACCTTGAGGACACATTTGAAATGTCAGTGGATGATTCGAGGGTTGTGATTGTGAAGGTAAGCTGTTGCGAAGCGACACTCCACAAGCTACTCAATGACTTGCAGGCAGAAGGGTCGGGTCCTCAGATCACGACCATCCTCGCAACGTTCACATTCTGATCCACTGATTATCGATCATCATTCTGCCATGCGCAGCGCTGTAGTTCTGTTGCTCCTTCGCTGTTATTTTCCTTAGTTTTTACGTAAGTTCCAGCAGTATCAGGACTTCAAACAGTACTTTTATAGTCAAGCCAGTATACACCCAATAGAACAGGTACATACAGACCAATCGTTACAGAACAAGCGAGAACAACCCCATGATGAAATGTGGGTCAAGATTCAAAATAAGATGCAGCATAGTTTTTATGGCTTTTACGACGAGGGAACACGAGCCAACAGACTCGTTATGCGTAGAGCCTGCTGGAACAGAGAACGCGAAAGTGACTGGACGCAATGTGCGCATTCAGCGTCCCAAGCATATCTCGTCCCTGATTGAAAAAGATTACAACGCTCAGTAACCTCCACCTCCACCGTAGCCTCCTCCTCCACCACCGTATCCTCCACCTCCGCTGCTGTAACCTCCTCCTCCACCGCGGTATCCTCCACCTCCTCCACCGCCGTAACCTCCACCGCCTCCTCCACCAGAGGGCCTGGCGTTGGCAAGGTTAACTTTGATCCTTCTGCCATCAAGGTCTTGTTCGTGGAGGCTGTTGATAGCGGCCTCGGCCTCCTGTTCTGAGGAGAAGGTTACGAATCCGAACCCACGGGAACGACCCGTCTCTCGGTCACGCATGACAATGGACTGAAACATATTTAGCCAGCGATACTACATCTCGACATGACGTGGAGACGTCTCGGTGAGACAGCGCACATCAACGACTTGGCCATATTCGGAAAATGCCTATGAGAAGAGGGGTGCAAAAGCCATAGTGTCAAGACAAGATTCGCGAGGAAAACCCGCATCGCTGCGACATCAGGGTAACACTGACTTCTCGTAAGGTATCATCGGTGGTACTCCAGCTCAGATTTCTGCAAGCAACATCGAAAACGAAGTATCAGCGTCGAGAGATCGTGCGTGCTTGAGGGGTTGTTGATGGATTGGACACGTACCCCACATAGACTTTGGTGGACATGATGGATATTGTCACGCAAAATCAGAACAACGACAAAAAATTTTGGAAAGGTATGGGGGCAGGAAGCAGGAGCTGAAGAGATGCAACGACTGTGAAGACCAGTTTATATAGTGGAAAGACGACTTTCAAACTCCTTCCACCCAATCTGGGACGAGCGTGAAAGGAAGCTGAAAGTTCATCGATAAGGGTTCGATTTCACCAGACCTCGGCATATCCCACATCTGCCATCGGAGAGATCACCCTGAGTCTCAAGATAGCTGCGATCCATAGGTTCTGGTTGGCTTTCCTCCCCTAATCCGAACGTCGCATCTCTTGGGCAAGCGTCGCCACTAAAGGACAAGAATCCAATGCGGAGAACCAGCATCTGCATGGGAACGAGCCCCATTTCACTGATGGGGCACCACAGAACATCCTTGATTGCTCAGATCACAATCAAATGGCGTTCAATCCTTTCAGTCACATCCCCGGCGTCTAGGGCCCGCGAACTCCAAGAACTTGGCTGGGGAACGTACTTGAGGCGTTGCTAGAACGTTGAAGCCTGCTGATCTTCTGAATGTTTTTGTTTAGCAAGTATGGTATGGGCGAAAAATGGAGCATGAAAGGATGCACTTACAGCGCCATCATGATATTCAGAGCCAGTGCGCATCAAAAGTACGGATTCATTCGTTCAAATAATACAATGATAATAAGAGATGACACACCCACCCACGGCGAACGGAGTGGAGACAGATGAGGAAACAGCGGATATCAGAATCATACAAGTACAAGCCGGATTGTGGTAAAACCGAGACTGGGAACGCAAGCCAAGGACAAAAACGACAAGTGCTCAGAGAGAAACGAGAGACAGTGGTGGTACGAATCTTGTGTGGATGAGTGAGTCAGGAAAACAAAGATCACAAGAAACTAAAAAAGATCAATAAGTGAAGAATAGGTGAAGTGCATGACTGCAATACAATGATAGGTAGCTGCAAACTATGTACGTTTAGCATGAATAAAACAAGCATGATTGGATCAACTTACTGGCAAGGACATTTTAGTAACCTCCACCGCCGTAACCACCTTGCGCCTGGTAGCCATAACCTGCTGTAATTGGGAGAGGAGAAGTAAGTGAATGCAAATCAATGCAATGGGGTAAAGAATGCTTGCCCTGACCGCCGAATCCGGCGCCACCGCCATAACCGCCTTGGGCGTAACCACCCCGACCGCCATAACCACCACCTACAATGAGGCAATTGCTTAACGAAGATTGCTGATTATTGCAAGTTAGATCGACATACCACCGTAGCTTCCGCCACCGTAGCCTCCTCCTCCACCAGACTGGTAGCCGCCTCCACCTCCGCCTCCGCCAGTTCCACCTTTGGCGTTGGCAATGTTAACTTTGATTCTTCTGCCATCGACTTCCTGCTCATTCAAGCCCATGATGGCAGCCTCAGCTTCTTCATTTGAACTGTAGGTCACAAAACCAAAGCCACGAGAACGACCAGTGTCACGGTCGCGCATAACGATTGACTATACAATATTCAGCCACGAGATCTCGAATCATGACGAGAAGCTCTCGGTAAGATAGCGTACATCAAGGACCTGCCCAAAGTTGCCGAATGCCTATAATCGGAAAAAGCAAGACAATATATCGTCAAAAAATTCCGTAACCATTACAAGATTGTAGCGCAGACTCGTGGTCATCGCAAGAACAACTGCACACAAAATCACACTGACTTGGCGTAAAGTGTCATCGGTCGTGTTCCAACTCAAATTGCTACACCAAGTAATCAAAGCAAACCACTATCAGTTCCGCTCCCCCTCGGAGACAGGAGAAGCGTGGCTAGACATAAACACGCAAGCACAGACTGACCCAACATAAATCTTTGCAGACATGATAACCACAGAGATAATACAATAATTCTTGAATCCTGGTACACGAGACTGAACGAAACCGAGACCGAAACTCAGAACGAAGGGACGTGAGGGGTTAAGAAGAGGGTGAAAAGGAGTGCCTGCGATCGCAACTGCGACTTTTATATCTCCAAGTGTTTCAAACTCCGCGATGAACTCTAAAGCACAGACCCTTCTGGACTACCCCTTTCTTTGCCACCCATCTAAGCATCTAAGCATATAAACAAAACCGAAACCGAATGAGATCCTATTTTCTAGACAGATGTAATGTCATGTTAGAGAGAAGTATGCAGGAATTGCCTCTGATAAATTGAAATATGAAACAAGGTGTGCAGGTAGCAGATGGAAACGGGAAAATGGAGATGGCACGAGATTCACTACTAAAGTAAACAAAGTGAAGACAGTGGAAGCATGAGGAGTCGTAACAGGTCGTGAAAAGAGGAAAAATGAATAGCAAAGAAACCATTCGTAAATAAGTGTATATACCAGGAACATGGATCCAAACAGCAAACACAGAGCTTCGTCTAGATAAAGCTCATCCTCTTCTTATCTTTCTTCTCCTTTTTCTTCTTACCCGCTTGTGGGTCACTGGATATGCTGCCTGCTGGACTGTCGTTCGAGTTACGTGCGCTGCTCTCTGCCCCTTCATCTTTCGCTGCTGAGCTGGCAGACACAGTGGAAGCATCTCGTTTAAGACCAGGCAAGAACGGGATATTAGACACAGTTCCTGAACGAGCCGTTACTGATATCCGTCGCGCTAATCGTTGGAAGTTCTGAGATCCAATACGTCTGCGCTTAGGTTCCCCTTCGGGGTCAGGAGTACCAGTACGCGATGGTGGGGATCCAACACTAGCGCCGAAAGTCACACCAGGAGCATGAGGCTGTGAGGGAGCGCGTTCCGAGTGGGCCTGTTGTGATCCCGAATCATTTGAAATAGGGAATGCCAGGGGTGCTGGTGAAGCAGATACTTCAGGTTCAGTGGAGGGGAAAGCGGTAGGTGCATCTGAAGATGGGAAAGAAATAGTTGCTTCGGTATCTTTCAAGGGTACCACTGGAGGTTCTTCAGGGGCGGGTACGCCTTCCGATTCAACTGCAGGGACATCATCGACATTCTCCAGAGGTACCGAGATCACCTGAGGAGAGTCAACAATGGTCGATTGTTCTGCACCCTCATTTTGTGCGGCGGGCTGTGTCTCAGTTTCGGCTGCTTGTCTTTCAGCCTCAATTTGCCCAACATCATATCCATCTGCTACGTCCTTGTCCGGTTGAGTAATGAAAACAGGGTCTTCCGAAGAAGATATCTGATCGGCCCACATCGAGGCAAAGATACCATCCAAAGCGAGCAATTCCTTGTGACTTCCTTGTTCGGCGATTTGTCCATCCTTGAGAACTAGAATGCTACAGATGTCGTCAGTTTAATTACGTTGATATCCAGTTACTGTGGCTACATACATGTCTGCAGAAGCAATGGTCTATAGCAATATATGTTAGTCCACCTGCGAAGGGTAAGATATATAGGTGTAAGACTCACGGAGAGACGATGAGCAATCGACAACGATGATCTTCCACGCTGTAAGTTCTGTAAAGCTTTCTGGATATCTTTTTCAGTCGAGGTATCGAGTGCGCTGTGATGGCCAATGGTTTTAGTGATTCCTTGAAAACAATCAAATAAGATTCTGATACGAACCTGGTAGCTTCATCAAGGAGTAAAATAGGCGGATTCTTCAATAACGTCCTTGCAATCGCCACTCGCTGCTTCTCGCCTCCACTCAACCGCACACCACGTTCGCCAACTTTCGTGTCATAGCCATCAGGGAAGCTCAGAATGCGTTCATGCATTTGCGCAGCTTGAGCGGCGATTTCAATTTCATCTTGTAATGCACCGAACTTGCCGTATCTATCCATACAAGATGAGATACCTCGTGTTGGCGCGGCGGAAATAGTATGGACGTACCCAATGTTATAACCAATGCTGGAATTGAAGAGGACAGAATCTTGAGGTACCACACCAATGGCCTTCCTCAAGCTTCCCTGGGTAACATCACGGATATCCTGGCCATCTATCAAAATACGCCCTTCACCCGGCTTCAAATCATAAAACCTATACAGAAGACGAAGGACTGTAGACTTTCCAGCACCAGATTCGCCAACGAGGGCAACAGAAGAGCCCTTGGGAACCTTGAAGGAGACTCCGTTGAGGGCGGTGGTGCGACCATCGTAAGAAAAGCTGACGTTTTCTACAGATAATAATTGATTTATGTATACCTTATAATACCTCGTGACCACTTACCAAACTCGACCTCACCGTTGTCAACAATGAGATCTGGAGCATCTGGACTATCATTGACATCAGAAGGCTCGTTAAGAAGTTTAAGCAAGCGTTCAGTATCAACGAGCGATTGGTTGACCGAGCGATAAACAAATCCGAGGTTATTGAGGGGACCATAGAGCTATAAGAGGTAAGCCGTTACATAACAAAAAGAGAGAAGAAGCATCGCTCACTTGGGAGAGGTAGGTGATGAAGATTACAAAATCACTTGTAGAAGACTGACCGCGAGTAACGCGGAGGGCAACGATCATAGATCCGACAAGCAGCCCAAGAGTCTATCCGTTCCATTAGTCAGCGCTCAATGAACAGTCAAGGACACAACTAACGATAATAAAGTTCTGCACGAGGTTCAGAAGATTGAGCGAAACTGAAAATACATGTCAGTACATTTTTCACCAGAAGATTTCCTATACTTACCCATGACCTTGTATTCAAGAGATTGATACTGTCTGATAGCGTCGCGGTATCGTTCACCTTCATGTTGCTCACCACCGAAATATTTGACCGTCTCGTAGTTGAGCAGGCAATCAGTGTGAATACCGCGAGTTACCTGTGATTGTGTTGTATTAAATGGACAGTCACGAAAACATTATCCAAGACACATACAACATCACGATCGTTCATTTCCCTACGCAGTTTTGTGCGATATCTGGTGAGGACGACACTGGCAGCCACTGGAGTAAAATATTAATGAACAATATAACTTTATGAATACGAAAGAGCTTACCATACGCAAACATCACCACAAAAATTACGGCGGAAAGCGTCCAATCGAACATTACACAAAAGACGACAAGAGCAATGATTATATCGAAGAATGTCGGGATGATGTTGAACAAGATAAGTTCAAAGGTGCGATTTACTGCAGAACCACGGTCAAGAATTCGCAAGATTTCACCAGTCTTACGACGCATGTGGAAAGCGAAAGAGAGATTCAGCAAGTGGTCGAACGACAGTTGTGACATTTCTGCACTCAGTAGATATCAGCATCAGATACTACATCGCACGAGTGATAGCGAATTCGACATACCACGGTCGGAGTATTGCATGACGGGAGCCCAAAGGCTCTGCAAATGCATGTGAGCACTATAGACATTAAGTACGCCACCACACTTACATCACGCAGAGCCGCGATACCTCCACCACTTTGCAAGAATCTCAAACCAACATATCCGAAAAGATAGAACCAGGGAGACCGACCACTTTTATCCTCGAAGGTGCGTACTAACTCTCCAAGGGACAATGGCAAGAGCACGTTAACAGCACGACCGAGGATCAAAAGTATAATGCATAAACCCTAGAATGAAATATATAAACATATATCAGGTAGGTTTAGTAATGAATGATCTCACAGCAAGAAGTTGCAGAGGTGCGCTCTTCGTAGGCCAGAGGTATGGGGCAAGACGTCCAATGCGTTGGACCATTTCGGTCCAAGAAGGATCGAGCACGATTTCCGGCTTGACAAGCTATTTTCAAAAGAAGCGGTTAATAGATTGATAAATCAAACGGAAGTACCAAAGACCTTTTGAGGTTCTCCAGGAGCAGGAGAGTGAGCACGTGTGGTTGGTCCTGAGGTAGGTCCAGTTGACTGTGTGCTACTGAATGTGCCATACTTGCTAACCTCGCCCGCTGCGGAGCTGAAAGGCGAAAGCCCGGCAGATGCCTGCGCACCGTCCTCGGAAGAAAGTAGGAGAGTCGAGTCAGTAGGAGCAGCAGCCTCGACGATTTCTTCGGTATATGTAGGTTGATACACAACTCGGGGAATGAGCAGTGCGACGAAAAGGGGTAGGAGGATAAGGACACGGAGAGCTGGGAGTACAAGGTGCAAGAGGTCTGGGACGCAAATAGAGTATGGAATTTTGCAAATGGGGTGAGGTCCTATGGAGAACAATAAGTGATTTAGTGGTGAAGCGGTTGACGGAGTATATACCTCGTCTAGCGACAGTGATACCTAAGAGGACCACTTGGGCAATATCTAAAACCAATGTGAGACCTATGCTGGACTTGACCCTTTTGCGCGACCAGAATTCAACGCCGCTGATGTCTTTCCATGCGCCGAGAGCAGCAAGACCAGCAAACCCAGCGAGGCCAAGGATGGCATTGATTTCAAGACCGGTACCCTGCGGCCAAGTCTTGTTCAGCACTGCGTAGGCGACGTAAGCAAGACCGTCGAGCAGGTAGGTGAGAGAGGTAAGAGAGAGAAAAGTAAGAATAAAAGCACGACGGGGGATACGAGTAGCGACGACGACGGAAGTTATTGGTGAGGGCGATTGCGGTTCGGGAGGACGGGTGGATATGAGCGATAGAGTGGCAAGAAACACAAGTGCAGGAGAAGCGATGCGAATGGCGAAGATCGCGACAGGCAGCACCGCGCTTGTGTCGGGCAGCATCGTTGTCGTCGTCGTTGAGAACGTTGTCGTCGCTGTCGTCGTCGCTGAGCTCGTCGTCGGCGTTGGGAGAAAAAGAGAGGAAGGTCGTGAAAAGCGAATCGTCCGCGCTGAGACGCGTGTGAAACAAAATCGGAACTGATGCTGCCTTATGAGCTCCCGCTAAAATACATAATAGAAGTAAATCTTTCATATCACGCTTGCCATGCTTCATCACACCGCCACCACATACATCCTCTTATGGCACCTTTTCGTACCAAACTTTCACTAAACGGTCCCTATATGCGCTTTTCATCCCGTACCATCATGCCGCAGGTCGTAAATCTTCTCTACAGTCACGTCTGAAATAGCTTTCCACGGCCTGTTACCTATAAGAGCCCTATCTGCGGCTTTACTCGGATGCGGCTTGTTCTCTTCCCAATGTTCTTGTGCAAGTGCAACTTGAAGATAACGACCAGCTAACAGCCGAAATTGAAACTGGATGGCTATCAAATTGATCCCGAATGTATCGGCTCAACACAACTGGCTCTGCTACCGTGACTTGGGTCCCAATGATGCTATACATTTATACATAAAAAGGTAGGTTGGACGAATGTTTTCATATTGCTCCAGAAACTAGCAGGAGGCACGGATCATTGCAAACGTTGGCATCGAGGCAAGTCACGCAGCTGCCTACACGTGTAGGGTCCAACCACTTGGGCTTCACCTTAGACTAAACAGGCTACGCCTCGCCGTAGTTTCCCAATTTGAATATCTTTCATCAAACAAGGATCTCGTGCCAAGCTTCAAGGACAGAAAGGAGTTCTATCATAATCCTTGCGTCTTACACGTTGCAGAAGGTACAGGCACTTGCAAGCAAGTTTGGTCATATTCTGTTATAGACAGCGCTAGATCGATCTGGCATCAAATACTCCCTAAACTTTGTATACACGCAAGGTCCTAGTCGTCTTCAATGCCTTGTTCTCCAGGATGAACAACGTTGACTACCCTCGCCATTACCGCCTCTTGTATTCACCATTTCCTTGTCAATCACCCGATATATTCAAGCTGACACACCTTCCGACGGTATCACTTACGATGATGGCAGCTTACGTGGTTCATCTTCTTTTTCGAGCTCTACTGAATGCAAGATCACGTTGTGGATAAGAATATAGTCCACTGCCTTTCTCAGTTCTTTGACTGCGCCTTCCTGGTGCTTTATACATGCTGTATGCCATGCCTCTAAGGCGTGCTCTCGCATTCCTACGCTCCTGCCACATCCACGACTTTGGGGTTTGTTTAGGGAACGCCGAATGCAAACATCCTGGGCAATAGCATTGGCTTGTGGGAACACTTATATCGTCTTCATGCTATGGGCATCGAAATTGACGCCCTCAACTCCAAGTCTTCTCGCATCGATAAATCTCCAGCAGGGTACGTAGTGCTGTTGTAACCACAATATTAGCGAATTCATGGATTCCCACTTTATATGTTCAGGTGTCAGTCTTCTTTTTGCGTAAAAACTACAAAGACATATTGTACAAAAATAAAAGTGCGTCTGGTCTCATCTCTACTGCGTAAACTCATTATAGAACGTTATAGCCAAAACTCAGCGATATCCTCATACACCAGCCTATCTGTTCACGCCAGTTAAAGGCAAGAAAAAATCCGCGCTTTGTTCGCCGTTGGTCGCATGGTTCATCCGACGATGCATTTCTCAACATGCAATACAATGATCCTCGCATTGGCCTCGACAAAGCGATTCAGAACTTCATTCAAGTGCTAGAACGATACTCAGAAAAGCATCACCTCTACAGCGCTGCTGTTAGGACATTAAATTTCGCTTTGGGTGCTTTCCTGGGGAAAAAAGAACTTGCAATAGACTATGATCTCGCTATCAATTGCGACGATGCAGAGCAAAAAAGGCATGCTTTTCGCGTGATCGACTGTTCGTCGTTGATTACACAGCTTGCTGATTTCGCTTGGGTTGGTTTCAAGCAAAATGATAATCTATCTGATCTCAACCTAGCAATACAGCGGCATAACGAGGCTCTGGTGATGAGAGCTGTCAGCCACCCCGACCGCCCGTTGTCATTATACCATCTATCTCTTGCGTTATGGCATCGCTTCAATCGGTGATGTCGCAATCATACATTCCAGTGAATCCCTTTCATTGGGGTATACTGATCGCGCAACATTAGTCAAAGACATAGCTGGCCTTCTCCAGGCCCGATATCGGAAACAGGACCAAGTTGCAGACTTGGAACTGGCTGTTAAATATCTCAACGAAGCTGTAACATTGTTTCCGCGGGGCACTGACACACACTTGAGCCTACTGAAAGACCTGGGATTAGCATCGTATAATCTATTCGCAAAAAGCAATAATATCAATGACCTTGAATCTGCTATTAATGTCTTCACCGACGCCATGTGTTTAACCCACCCACACCACTCTGATCGTATCACTCTTCTCACAAACCTTTGTGCTGCCTTCTGGAGTCGGTATAATCATGGCGATGAGACTGCAGAATATGCAGATCTCGAATTGGCTATTAAACATCTCGCTGATGCTCTGCGACTTTCCAGTCCTGATCAGTCCGACTATGCTGGCGTGCTAAACAATCTTGGTGGTGCTTTGTTCACTCGTTCTAGAAGGCAGATCGACAGTCAGGATTTGAAGCTCGCAATTGTCTACCTATCGGAAGCAGTCTCTCTCCCCCATCATCCCGATCGTCTCAGCTCTTTCATAAACCTTAGTGGTGCTCTAGAAACACGTTGGCCGAGGGCGACATTGAAGGTCTGAATATGGCTATTGAGTATCTCAAGCAAGCTCTAACATTATGTTCACCAACATATACTCATCGTTACGCTGTTCTCAAAGACCTTTGTGTTTATATGAGCAATCGCTTTGATAACTATGGCGATATGGGGGATCTTGATTTATCCATTTCTTACGGAGACGAAGCTCTTTCGCTCTGTCCTCCTGGCCATCCCTATCGTGGTGGCTTACTCAAAGAGCTTGGACTTGATCGAGGAAATCGTTTTCGTAGTCGTGGTGATGTAGCAGATCTTGACTTGGCCGTTAAGCTGCACGTCGAAGCATTAATGCATTGGAACTACGCCCCCCGGGTCACCTCCAGCGTTCTACTTCGCTTAACAGTCTAGGACTCGTAGTGAGAGACCTTTATTACGAGTTTGGTGATGCGAAGGACCTTAATCTAGCTATTACGTACTTCGAGCAAGCTCTACAAGCACGACAATTCTCACCTAATAACACAGAGGGAGACACGCTACTTAAGAATCTTGCTGTAGCTTTCTCGGATCGCTTCAATCTATCCAAAGACGAAGAAGACCTCGAACTAGCTATCAAGTACTTCTACGATGCTCTTGCTGTTTCTCCTCCAGGGCACCGGGATCATGCCAGTTCGTATAACAATCTCGGTGGTACGTTCCACAGTCGCTATGGCCATTCCCATAACATGGTCGATTTGAACATGGCCATCGACTATATGACCAATGCCGTGGAGCTGTGCCCATCTGGTCATCCTCGTCGCCCTTCGTTTATCCTTAACCTTGCTAACGTCCTACTATTGCGTTTCGAGTCTCTCCATGATCCTGCCGACTTCAATCTCATTTTGACTCATCTCGATTGTGCAAAAGTCCTTCTGCCACTCGACCATCCTGGATTGTACATCGCATACCTCACTTATAAGTCAGCGTATTTCCAGAAGTACTTCATGCACCACAGAGAAGATGATCGAGAAGAAGGTCTTCGGTATTGCCACAAAGCCGTTAATCATCCCACTGCCAGTACGAAGCTCCGATTATCGTCTTCGTTGGAATGGATCTCTTTGGCGCGAGGACATGCATCTCAGCTAACGGCATACGCAACTTCATTACGTTTGCTTGATCTCCATGTTGTACTTGCGCCCTCCCTTGCCTCCCGTCATCAAATCCGTGGAACTGCTGTTTCTCCGACGTTAGCTTCAGATGCGGCATCTTGTGCAATTGAAAGAGGGTTGTCGCATGTAGCAATAGAGCTCCTAGAGCAAGGAAGAGCATTGCTTTGGGCGCAACTAGCACGATTTCGTACGCCTCTCGACAGACTTCGTGCTCTTGGTGTTAAAGAAAGGGATCTTGCTAACAGGTTCGACTATCTAAGCCGGCTTCTTGAACGAGGTGGGGCTTCTCCCAATAAAGTTTTCCATGCGTCAACGAATGAAGAGGCATACACACATCGAGGATTGAGACGAGAATGGGACAGTGTAGTCAACGAGATTAGGCAGATTGATGGTTTTAGCAATTTTTTGCAGCCTACTCCATTTGCTGAACTTCAAAAAGCGGCTAGTCACGGACCTGTCATTATTGTCAACACTAGCCAATATCGTTGCGACGCCATTATCGTCTTCGAGATTGGACCAATCAAACTCGTCCCATTAGGCATAACTAGCCAAGCCGTTGCATCGCTGTCAGCAGTGTTTGCAGAAGCCCTCAGACACACAGTAGGACTAGGTGAAGAAAAACAGAGGGAGCAGCAAATAACCCCCATATTGCGTGATCTATGGGAATTCATTGTTCATCCCATCGTGCAAGCATTACAGGACATTGTGCCCAGAGGCTCGCGAATTTGGTGGTGCCCAACTTCTCGACTGACTTCCTTGCCTTTGCATGCTGCGGGGCCGTACCCGAAAGGACAGCCAAACTTGTCATCTATTTACATATCATCCTATACTCCTACCTTATCCGCATTGATCAGGTCAAGGCATGAACTTGTCATCTCCAAGACTCAGTCCTTTCTTGCCATTGGGCAGGCAAGGCCGAGTAGGAATAACGAGCAGGGTGAGCTCAAGTCCGTCGAGAAGGAGCTAGAAGCCGTCAGGAAATTAATCTTTCCATCGATGCCTTTTCGCCAGCTCAAAGGCGAAGAGGCAACCGGGGAAGCTGCAATATGCGGGTTTCGAGATCATAGCTGGATTCATCTTGCATGTCACGGAAAACAGGACACGTTAAATCCATATGATTCCTACTTTGCCATGCATGAAAACCCACTACGCCTGGAGATCATTATTCAAGCCGATCTTGTGCATAGAGAATTCGCATTTTTATCAGCTTGCTACACGGCTGTGGGTGACGAGAATATGCCTGATGAAGTCATACACTTAGCGGCTGGAATGCAGTTTTCAGGCTTTCGTAGTGTCATCGGGACGATGTGGGCTGTTGATGATGAAGTGGTAGGCTGCATGGTAGAGAGATTCTATGGTAATCTTCTCAAACTAGGTATAAGCGCAACAAATGCTGCGAGAGCTTTAAACCGGGCTTCCAAAGAGCTGGTGAAGAAGGGAGTTCCACTGGACCAGAGAATAGTATTCATTCATATTGGTGCCTGAGACTATGAAACATACATATGATGCTTCAACAATTGGCTGATGAATAAGATACAACGTTGGATCAAACTTTGCGTGATGATATGCATAGACACTGTACTTACTAGATCCGACCATATAGCAGATGTTCCTTGGGGCTTGATATGTGCGATAACCTTATGACTGATAGCGATAATCTGTCAAAGTGGTTGAGCAGAGTTCAAGATCACTAGATGATAATAATAACTACTTTGGTTGGAACCGAGCAGCGAATGGTGATGTGGGGAGCGGCGCATTCTTTGCCTAAGGTCTCAAACTAGATAAATCCTTGATCACCTCTTCTAACTTGCTTTGAATTTCCTCTATCTTCTTGCCTTGCGCCTCCGGATCACCTCTATTGAACGCATCCAGTACCGCCCGTGTTTCCTTTACAAACTCATATGAACGCTCGGTGGATACCCTGATAGCCTCCGCCTCAACAGCGTCAGCACCCTCGCTGGGACGTGTTTCTTTATTAATTTCATCAGGAATAAGCTTCGAGAGATCTATGTCAGATGCACGAAAAATGGCGAGATCCCGCAGGATTTCGTTCTTCTGCAGCGACTGGGTGAATGCTGGATTTGGTTCGCGGTACATGGTCGTGGTTAAACTTGAAGAGAGTCCAGTTCTAGTCGTAAGTTATTTCCGTCACGTGCTATTCACGTGATGTGTGAAGATTGGCGCGACGCGTTCCTCTGAATATCTTTGTATGCAAGACATATATATGCCCAGCCATAGTCTTATACAACGTGTAGATCACAATTCGATCACACGTCGATATATGGTGTGATGCTGTCCATGCATTGACATTTCAGTAGCTCCGACATGCTGGAAAGAAACAGGTCACGTATTCTACATCTCGAGATAACCAATATATCAGACTGATAGCATGTCCGTTAACATATATTCACATCAACTCTAGACTGACACATATTGGTCACAACAGGTATAGATACAATTATGAAGATATGCAAAAACACAACAAAACCACAAGAATGTAAGATATGGCCGGAAATGATAATCAGTGATCATACATGTGTAGGCGATGAGGTAGCGTATGCAAAAAGGTCCAGTGAATCGTCAGATGGAAGTATAATAGGAGTAGAAGGTTCCCTCCGCGGTGCCGAGATAGAGGGACCTACGCGGCGAAAGGGTGTTTGAAATCCGGCGGTGACTTTTCGTAATGAAATAGAATTTCCTGATATAACATGTGCTGAATTTAGTTTGGGGTGTAGAACTGTACGATTGATCTGTGCATCTGCAAGGATGGATGCGAAGTTGGATACCCGTCTTTTGGGTAAGGCATGAGGACCTGTTGAAGGGCAAAACGTAACAGCATTATCTGTGTCGTCATCGGTATCTGATATGACATCCGAGTGCTCTGTGAGGGTGGCGGAGGATTGAGTGGACGGGGAACGAGAGAATATGGTTGTAGAGGCAGAGGAAAAAATCGAAGATGCAGAAGTGGACCTCTCAGGCCTTGAAACTATGGGCGCCGTAGCGCGTTTTCGTAGCAGACGTCTCAAGAAAATGGGACTTTCGTGGCCTTTTCTTTGTTTCTTCTGAGGAGGCGATTTCCGTATCCAACACCCTACCATTTCTTCCCATTCCCATTCGTTGTCTTGACCTCCACGCTTCTCGATGTTCCCCTGTCGCGTCATATCTGGGGTGGAGGACCCAATTGTTGGCCTTTGAGAACCAAAACACCTCTCCTCCGCCTCATCAACGGCCTGTATTAAAATTTTCCTGTACACTCCAACATCCTGGCTAGTCCCATGCTTACCCACAACCACTACATTCTCGAAATGATTGAGAGCACAAGCCCAAAATGATGCGTCGAGATTTAGTAAACAATATGATTGAAGCATGATCGAAAAAGTTCGTAGCTGGGATACAAAATGACTCAAAAAGTTTTGAGTGGGTATTTCAATTTCGCAGGACGACAACCAGGCAATGAGCTTGGAAAACGTGGCGGTAATTGGCGAGGTTTGTTGAAGGAGCTCTAGGAGTGCTTGTAAATTAGCAACAGCGGTTGGGAATGTGAACAAAGCATATGTCGAAATGGTAATGATAGAATCGGGGACGTCCAGCTGAGGCGAGATAGTCGTTTTGCGGGTAGCGTGTAATCTACCCTCACGCATGATGCGCAGGAGCGCTATTGTTGCATCGTAGCTGTCACTCAGAACTTCGCCCGCGGACAGACAGTCGGCGCGACTCGACAAAGCATCAAAGAGTTGATTCGTCCACGTCATTAGACGCTGCCGTAGGCCATCGGTATTTTCGTTGTTGGTATCCTTGTTTTTTTCTGACTTTCTCCGATCCTTCGTTTCCAGCTTCATGATGGTCTGAGCTAATCCCATGACCAAATAAACAAAGGATGGAAAATGTTGAGTTTTGAGCTTTTTGGCTAATTTGTTAACAGCTTTGCATGTCCAGAATCCGCTTGTTTCAGAAACAAGAAAGACTTCGATAAGCGACTTGACAAACGCAAGGTCAGGAAATAATTTCACAGTCTCCGGATGAGAAGGTTTCTTGTTAGGACCAACCCACAGAAGGTGGAGGTCCGTAAGAAATCCAATGTGAGCAGGATGACTCAAGGGAATTCCAAGCCTAGACGGGCGTAATGCCACGACAAAAATGGATCTAAGTAGAATGTGGGATTCGTGAACGAGGCCGTAAGAAAGGCAGACGTCTAGGAGTATGTTGAGCAGAGTATGATGGTGAGGGCAGCAGTCTAGTATCAGTGAGAGTGCATGAGAAGCAATCGACCACCTTGGAAATGGAAGGTAAGTAAACATAATACAACATTTGATGAAAAAGTCCAATTACTTTCGATAATGCAAAGGAACCGACTCATAAATCTCGTCTACAAGCTTCATAACCTCATCTTCATCCATTGATTCTTCATCACCACTGCATTCAGCCAGATCTTCTTCTTTCAGAGGCATGAGCTGCCCGACAACTACAGAACATAGAGCTGCGAGACTTGGTATTTGCTCGGAGCATGGCCTGCAGTGTGCCACTTGAAGGACGTTCCGAAAAGAGTCGCGTACTGCGTATATCCTGCGCGAGAGTTCAAATTCATGTGCTGGACCGGAATCGAGACGAGCTTTGACACCGCGACCCGCGGAAGGTAAGAGCAAGGCAAGCGGAGGCTGGTCGTCAGGTGACCAACCAGATGAACGCAAGGAGTATGTAGCTTGAGCTGAGTTACTAGAAGATGGAATAGATAGAGATGCGAGACTCGTGCATTTGCTTCGCAGGGGACGAAGGAGACGGTTTATCCGGGAGGTTGTCAAATGCGAACCTGTACCGGTAGAGGACATGTAAACGAGGACGTCTGGTACCAAACGCGGCTAGAAAAAAGTATAATTCAATATCAGTACAATGAAACCAGAATAAAGCGCACCACGATATGACTACTGACAAAACTACAGCAGTGTAATGGAATAAAAGCCTGGTTTCAGAATACTAAGGACAGAGAGGTTCGATATTACGCGACAGTCACGTGGACGAAAGGTTTGTTTCCGCTGCAAAGTTCGTCACTGCATGAATTTCTAGTTCACTTTCCCCCGCATGCAGAACCTTGGCTTGAAGCATTTCATCCTGCAGAAAAGGGCTCTTAATCTTTATCGCTATGTCATACGAACTTCAAGATGTATGTGTGTTTTATCACTCTTGTTTTTCTGATATCTGAACGTGGGACAGCCATTCCGGATCCAACGGCAAGGTCAGAGACTATCGCTTGGTTTCGTGGCGAGTTCGAGCGAACCCGGTATTTGACTGACTTGGTGAATTATATTCTCTGTTATGTGATAAACCAAGTTAAATTATATCTTGTAGGCTGTAATTGAGGATAAACTTGCTGCTGTCCGACGGGATATTCGACAAATTTTTCCAGCGTCGAATCAGCCACCGCAATGATTAGGAACTAACTGAATCTGACTCATACCCGCTGGCACTCAGTGCTCAATTCAGGTACAACAATCGTGCCTCGATGGCGGCGAATACGACTGAGTTGATATGGAAGTCGTTACTTCTTGCATCGGGCGTGTCACACCCAATCCTCTGCATCATAGAACGCCGCATATATCAAGTTCAGTCGTCATGGGGAGTCTTTTACAGTACGTAATCCTGCAATTCTTCCATCTTCACACACCCCTATAACACCCCTATTTCAAGATTAAATCATCAATCTGGAATATCTAGCTGGAGAGTAGTTGTTTCTATGTTCGACGTCGCAATACAGTGATGCCCTTTATGCTCCCTTCGTGCTTGGAAGACATTTATACTACGAGTGATGGATATCTTAATCACCGCGAAGTGGCGCCAATCTGTCAAAAGCAAAGAACGGAGAGGCCCGCAGTATGGTTAGGCTGCGGTATCCTTTGACTCATAACCACGGACCCGCTTTCCTTAAACTACGTTAAGGTTGAGGGGTGCACTTCCATCGCCCCATTCAACCACTATGTCCTTCAAAGAAACACTCGACTCAGCATTCGCCGCTCCGGCCACGAACGAAAAGCTCAAACTCTTGAAATGTCTCAAGGATGTCTTTCCCAACTCACAGCATGTCGCTCACGTGGGCCGTGGTGACTTGCTTCTGGCAGCTTATTTGAAATCTGTTGCCATACATGTTGAGGTTGCTCACGACGAACCTACCCACAGCTTCTTTGAATGGGATGTCTTGGGCCAAGGACTAAACTCCCAGATCTATTGTGGCGCCATCAAATTCACGTACAATGGAACGGACTTCACTGTGTATAAGGTTACCTTTACTAAAGATCGCACAATATGGCAGTTCTTCGATTTTGTGTTTAACGCTGCAGACGACGGAGCTGGAAGGGCTCTTTTACGCGCAGTTTATATGTGGGCTGGTAGTCTCAAGGATGAAATATGGGTGTTTCAAAACGGGGGCTGGGAGAAGAATGCGCCACTGTACCAGTCGATACAATTGTCGAACTGGGAAAACATTGTGCTGGAAAACTCGTTCAGGGAGGGTCTCAGAAGGGATACAAAGACATTCTTCGCTAACAAGGAAATTTACGACTCCTTGGACATCGCGTGGAAGCGCGGGATTTTGCTTTTGGGTACGTATGGAGTGGCCGCATTTTATATTAACTAACTGATGAATCGTCTCTAGGACCTCCTGGTAATGGGAAGACAGAAACCATCAAGGCGCTCCTCAGCGAGTCTCAGCAAACTACGCTTTACGTGAAGTCATTCACAGCTGGCTTCGTAAGTCAAGTCATTCATTCTGACGCTGTCCTTTAAATCAGCTCGAATACATTTGATTCCAAGGACCCGAAAATAGCATCCGTGCTATATTTGGACACGCCAGACGTCACTCACCTTGCATTCTTGTACTTGAGGTATTTTTATTTTTTCCTTCTTACAAGGGGAGTTCTTACTCAAGCCATGCGCCAGGATCTGGACACTATGATCACGCCACAAGTCCGATCATACTTCCTGAACGAAATGGATGGATTGGTGTGTATCAAATTCCATAGACTCAATGCTCATGAGTTAATGTACATTTTTTAATCTTAGGCACTCAACAATGGTATCCTCACCATCGCCACTACTAACCATCCAGAAGACATAGATGACGCTATCATCAACCGCCCTTCTCGCTTCGACGTAAAATACACGTTTGATCTCCCAAACGCAACCTTGCGCAGAGACTTTGCACTTAAATGGCTCTCGAAAATCCGAGCACGCCAAGAGAGTGGTGTTGCCAAGGATAGTATACTTACAAATGACGAAGAGGTGGCGCGGAAAGTGTCGGAAAAGACAGAGGGATGGTCTTTTGCGTTTCTGAAAGAGCTGTACGTATCAGATATTTCACTGTGCGTTCAGCCCCTGACATGTTTTCTGTAGTTTTGTTTCCTATCTCCTCCGCCTTGCGCATGACGAATCACTCAATAATGGCGAAACAAAAATGCCTGCAGAGGATATCTTCTTCCAGCAGGTGGATGCACTTTCAACCCAGGTACTGAAGCAGAACAGCGAAGAAGGTAAGAAGGCGGGTGTAGACGGGGCTGGAGGGCCAAGGATGAGACGCGCTATCACACCCGCATTGTCACCCTTGGGTTATACTATTCCGCCCCAATTCGTCGATTCTGCTGGGGTGAATTTCTAGTCATCAACAGCAGACAAAGTAGCTTTGTAAACACAAGGAGAAAGATCACAATCATCACCGTGTTATCGACATGGTTTAGAAACACATCGTGTGGAGAATATCATCAAATTTAACTATCTTTGCACCCGATCATTGACCTTTTCGCGTTCTGTCAACCAGTCGTCCCAGCAAATGGCGAGAACTACCGTGTTTCTGCCAAGCATGCCAGTCAATGGATCGCCCTCCCTTATTTCCTGCCCATTGGATACCTTCCCCCTCCCTCTAGGTACGGCTCTATCCCATCTGATAACAGCTTCTTTTTTGAACCCCATTTTCTCTGCAACTCGTATGGAAGCAGCATTCAACTCATTGGCCTGCCATTGAAGCCTACGAAGACCTAATCCACTCTCGCTTGGCAAATCTAGAGCATAAAACATAAGCAGTCCCACTGCATTCGACGTGACATGCGTGCGCTGAAACTGCGGCAGCGTGACGACGAAGCCAATCTCCGTGCTGAGGTATTTTGTTGATGTATTGAGAAGGCCAATGATTCCAGCAAGCTCATCCTTCCCGTCATTGTCGCCAGGGCTGCTCGCTTTACTGATGACTGCAAAGAGAATGAAAGTCGGGTTGTGGTGAATGCGTGGCTCGATGAAGTCGTTTACAAGTTCTTTCGCGGAAGCAAAAGGTCCAAATGGAACGTATTTGAATAACTCTGGATAGGGCAACGATGCTGCAACGAAACTTTCGGCGTATAGGGAAGGCTATCATGAGGGTGGATTATTGCAACCACATGCCATACAGATCGCCCGAAGAGGTCAGTAAATAATGGCTACGATGCGCAAAGCAACTTACAACGAAGGGGGTTAACCTGACCCTGTCATTCTCGAGGTCATGTACTGGGAAACAAAAGTTCACGTCATAGGGAACGGCATCAGAGTCCAGTTGCATGTGTATGTCAATAGCAAGTGTCGCTCAAGGAGATGTAACAGAGCAGATAAGATAGCTGTAAGGGAGAACAGTGAAAAACTATTGATGATAAGCTTGCAATCCGAGTCATAGTAATGTTTTGTGAGTCTGTATGACTCGAAGTCAATAAACTCCCTTGAGGCGCCTAATTAGGCTAATTGGCGTTCGGATTCTATAGCAGTAGCATCCTTGGCATACCCCCGCACTGCTCCCACGGCCTTTCAAGTTATAACCTTTCTATATCAACTTACTGCGTTCCAGCAAAAACCAATCTCTCTCTTTGCTTTAGCTTTGACAGTGTCATATAGGTATGTTACCTGATATTCTTGCGGATTCTGCAGTCAACAACAGCTCTGGCTCTCGTCAAACAACAACCCGAAGTCGGGACCGGAACCCTCGGCGTTGCTGCAATATGTGTCTAACTTAGCTCCTTCGCGCTTTCTTGATTCTTTTTTCGCGGGCCAAGAGATAATGAGGCTTGATTGACGTACGTTCGTGCATGTTAGCACTACCGGCATTATGAAACTTACTCAATAATCAACGCGTGAAGACCTAGCGTCGGGCAATCAGCCCACGATGCATCCTGCCTTGCATGTATAAATACTTGTTATTTGTCTGTCTATCTGTTCACTTGTAACTACCTTTCAAGCTCAAGAATATACTGTTCTACTCGTCGGTAAGTCCGCTTCACTGACTTGTATCCGTGGTTTCATTTTGAAAGAAATACCGCTCACTTCCCATCAAGTGATTCGTTTCCCTATCTGCATGTCTATCTTGGACATATGCGAGCCCTTTCCAGCCGAGTGCTACCCAAGCATATTCGACTTACTCCGTCCAACCAACTTCCCAATGCATTCAAGTTTAACGACCGATGACACGGCACTTTTCGACGAGGTCAACGTCTCCCATACGCGACACATGCTTCATCGAGATATCGATGAACTTGAGCGTTTAAACAGTGGTGTTGAGTTGTTGAACGCAGAGATGTCTCGGATCCAGACTCTTATAGCACGGTTCGACGAAAGGAGGAGTCATCTACAGAACAACATCTTCGTTCGTAAGGCCAAAATTCACCCTCTGCGTACGTACCCTGTCGAGTTACTCCAAGAAATATTCAAACACTGTCTCCCCGAGGACCGATCCATCAGACCCAACGCTCGTACAGCACCCCTGCTTCTTGGACAAGTCTGCCGCAGGTGGAGGGCGATTTCGTATGCTACCTCTGAGCTTTGGGCAGGTGTCGCATTGGAGGATCCAGGATACTGGATATCGGCGCTCGAGATCTCTATGACCCAAGCATGGTTGAATCGCTCCAAAAACCGGCCATTGACGGTCAAGATACACAGTTATAGCAAATCAGGTCATGCCATTGGCTATGCGTCTCCGTTGATGTCATTATTGATGTCCCACGAATCGCACCTCGGTCACCTTTCCTTGACAGGCCAATGGGACTATTTGTCGAGCCTCCTCCGCTACTCGAATTCCCTTCCCATGCTACAATCGCTCATCCTGAATCTCACGGTGGATCGTCCTGGCTCGTTCATCGTTGGCCTGTCACAGTTTGCAACCAGCTCTCTGCCGCTCTTCCCTCAATTGACACACCTCACATTAATGCCTCAGGCACAATCAGATATCACTCTTCAGATACTGGCTCAATGCCCAGCTCTTCGTCACTTAACTATGAAGTCGTACTCAAACCCTTCATATATCACGATGCCGTCGGACTTTATCCACGTTGACCCTTTCGTACTCGAAAGACTGGAGACCTTGGACATATCTTCTGACGGGCCTCGTTCTCCCCAGACCGAACTTATCGAGTGTGCTTCACTCTTCACAAAGCTGATACTGCCGTCCTTGTGCCATCTGACTATATCGATGGGAGAAAGCTCATTTTTCCCCGTGAATATAGAGATGTGGGATCTCTTTCCACAGCTTTTATCTCTTATTCGCCGTTCTTCGTGCCCCTTCGAGCAAGTTGTGTTTCGCAATTGTCGCATCGACGCTGGGAGTAGTGCTCTATCTGACCTCTTACAGTACACGCCCTTGGTTGTTGCCAGTTCGGTCCACTACGTCGAGGAATTCCGGCTTGAACCCGAGAGTACCCAATCGCGTGTTTGATAAATTTTGAACAGGTGTCGGTGCCGACACCGATTGCAAAAGTGAATAATTGTGGAAAAAAGGTCAATTTCCGTGTGTTTGAAAGTTTATTTGATGGGATAATCACAACTGGGCGAGCAGTATACTGTACAGATATGACATTAATTCGAGTAGACGCTATCCTACATGAATACTAGTGCACGTTTATGGGTCTTGAAGCTTGAAGGAGCATAACATAACACTAGCAATGCCAGCCAGTGCCTGTTTCACATTTTAACTCGCAGTAATAACCTGAAATCAGAAAACAACCAGTCTCATCAACGCTTGGCTTGATTTGCGGCTTCTATAGACAAAATAGGCGTTCAGCAGGTAAAACGTTGATATAAGAGTAATGAAGGTGACCTCTTCGTGTAGCATCTTCCAATAATTGTGTATCAACGTGTTCAGCGGGAAGTTGGACGTATCTGACGACAGATCCCCGAATAAAGCAGTTCTTGATGGCCATCTAAAGGAACGCAATGAAGATTAACCTGCATGCGTGTGTGCGATAAAAACATACCATGTGTGGATGCCTAGCCTCATCCAAGACCTTGATCGCGTCCAAACGGATGTTCAAGAACCTAATTCATTCCTCTGCTCGACATTTCACAATGCGCGCAAGTAACTTCATTTTTAAACGCACTGATCAACGGATTTCAAGACACCTGTGATGCAAAGATCATTCTTGAGCTCGACGGTGACTCGCTGGTCGGTGAGCGTTTTGAATACGGAGAATATAAGCTTTTTGAGGGGAATATTAGTGTTGTGTTTTCTGTCACATATGTTGAGCGGAGACTTGCCATGGTGGTCAGACAAGAAAGTGGCTGCTTAGAATACGTACTGCGATCATCGCGCGTGGCGTCTTGGGCGCTACGCTCATGATCAGTTTATCATCACGGTGTACACTCAGAATGCAGCCTCATGCATCGTGTTGGGGCTATATCATGTGGCCATTGATGTCATCCACCACGAAGCTTATAAGAATGTTGGAGCTGCCCTCACTTGCTTTTGTCCCAACCACAACTTCCAAGTGGCCCAGGCAAGTAGTGTTGTCAGTACTAGTGGTCCTTTTCGTTATTGACGATTTTTAAAGCTAGGTTTTACTATTCTGTTATATCTGATACATCATGAAGACACCCTTTTCTCAACTTTTTGAAGATGTCTATGACTTTCCACTACCCCTACGAAAGCAGACAATAGCCGCATTTTGGCTAAGACTGTCGTCAGATGAACAAGCAGCGCTCAGATCTGAGCTCGATTCCAAACTCTCCAGTCTTGAGATTACACCCTATGACTATGGTCTCCTACTACGGATCTCCAAGTCAGTCGATTGGTCGTTGTATGCCATCAAAACATATGATCATAAAGCTATTCTTCAGAGTGGAATATCTACGCTCGTTTCGGCTTGGGAAAAGGATCATCGTGCGTTGGAGGCTGTTTTTGGAGGAAACGATGTAGAAGGAATGGTCCATCTTATCAACACAGATCTTCCACGATACATCGCATCTCGCCTGTTTCGCCTTCTTGCCAGTGCATCGTCACAGAGCCCACAGCATTTTCATCTCATCGACGGCATCCTTAAAGCCATCTTTCCATTTGTTACAGATGGCTTGCCTACTCCTATCGCACGATATGCGAAATGTGCGCTCTTATCTCTTTTCACGGCTGCGTCACCATCGGTTCTGTTTTCCATTGTAAAACACTGCGCCGCAGACTGGTTTGATCAAAATACTTGGCCGCGACTTGCGAGAAGACGCCCAGAATTAGTGGCCGATTTGTTACTTCACAACGTTGATGCATCCAGTATCACCTTGGATTTCAAAGTCCATTCGCTCAAGGACTTGTCCTCTACGATGGGCATCGTCATTAGATACACAGAGCCAAGGGGCAAGTTGTTCTTCACCCAATTCGTCTCTCATTACGTGACGTTTGTTGAGGAAAAGTCGGAAAGTAAAGATGAAACACTTTGCTCAAATCGTATGCCTTTAGCAGACCTAGCTAAGCATATGGGCTACGTCATTGGCAGAGAAAAAGAATCAGCGACTATCATACGCGTTTCCCTCGTTCAGTGTGATATTTTGACCAGGGTTGGGAAGGCATATGGTCAACTGGAATGGGCTTATGAGGTTGTTAAACCATTGCTAGACGTCGCAGTTGATCAATTTGGAAAGGCCGATGGAGAGTGGTCGCTGTTATCAGCAAAGGACGCATTACTCTTATCCGGATCGCAGTCAGCTACGGGACTGTTGCTGACTATTTTCAAACAGCTGAAATACCTCGCCAGCAGCCTATCGTATCCGGATACACTCATTATCAAGGCCTTAAGGCGTTTACCACGTCCAGCCCGCTTCCCATTCTTGAATTATTTGCACATTGCCAAGACAGGAGAAGACCTACATCATGCTCCTTCCGTACTCAAATCATTTCCACAATGTTCAGCTTACATTCTTTCCCTGATCCACCCAGATCATATTCGTATCTTACTAGATGTAGGAACTGCGTGTTGGCCTAATGACTTCGTCACCGACCCTGGAACAAGTACTCCAGCTACTTGTGCACTGAATACGCTTTGGGTATATCTGCGTACTGCTGATGCTATACCGGCTGGACTTCATGCGATGCAAATCGGGAGTGCTCGCACCATTCTGTATAAATTCAAGTTAGACCAGGAGGATTCAAGATGTTTGAATGATATCGAAGAATACAAGCAAAACGCGTCTCGCAGTCGCGACTCACGACCTGCAAATGTTAATGCCGCTCTCACGCTGTGTATTCTATCTCGGTCTCCATCGCTTTTCGTTGATACCCTATCTTGGGCGGTCAAACGTTTCGGGAAAGACGTACAAGTTTCTCCTCAGTTGTTCGAATGGATAGTTAGTCATATCGATCAAGATAGCATGCTATGCTTTTTATCAGGTCCACTGGGGCTATATGTTAGCCACCGAACCAAGGTTGCTTTCGATCTACGGCTACTGGCTGATTGGTGCCAAAAGACCAATGTAACTATTCGATGCATGATAGATCTGCTCCGGGTGTGGGTTAACGAGCCTGATCACGCGGTCTCCATAGTTCGACATTACGACATGATGGGCGACATGTTCCGCTACTTAATTCAGAGCCGAGTAGGTGAGTAAACGGAACTCGATGTTTTCAAACAAAGTAACTGAAGTTGTGTATTATTATTAGACATGATTAACGCAATTTTTCCCGTCTTGGCTGACGATCTTAGGGAGTTGCGTGGGCTTTTATTGGATCCACTTATTGGTTTGTGGGTGCAGTGGGAGCGAATGAAAGTCTTTGATTATCCAGAGTTGCTTGGCTTTGACTCCGTCAACAACGTTCCATGTTTGGTTTCGTTCTTTGACTATCTTGCCGAACTCGTGGTAGATGTAAGGGTCCTGCCTGCAGTTCTCCCCTTTTTAGAATCCCTAGGAGAAGAACGCGAGAGGCTTTATAAAGAAGGTCGAGCTGGCTTTCCAAAAAAGTTGGATGCTGCTACAATCGAGTCGAGGCGAAATGACCTCAAGGTAGCATCCATTAGGTACTTCCTCCCTTTCAGACTTTGCCTCCGCGGGAACTCCCAGAAGCACGAAGCTCATCTCGATCTGACTGGTCCCTTGGGCTCCTACCTTGAAGCGGTACTGCTAGGTAGCCAGACACATCTGGAAGACCACGAAGATTGCTATGACTGGCATCCACTGCAATTCGGAGAAGCTTTGGAGACATACCTTACGTTTTCTAAGAAGGGCCAACATAAGGTATCAAAAATTCGTGCACTTTTACAGACCTGTCAAACAATGGACCATGGAGATTGCTTGGTGATGCAAGTCTTGAGGTCAACTACCGTCCAAGGATTAGTATGGCAAAACGGGGAGCTTTGCGGCTATTTGCAAACTTTTCTACCTGATTACCCGCCTCAAAATACAGAAAAATTCGATTTCGATTTCGATCCCGTATCCCTAATACGTCCTCGCGTCGATTTCCAGACAGCTGCATCCGACTTGCTTTTAGCGTTGAGAGTTTCAGACATAGAAGATGCTGAATTGATCAATATTTTACTTGCCTTCCGGCGTAGGTCGGGGCCTCGTTCGATCCGTGGTGTCTCACTCAAATTTATCCACCAACTCAGCGTTTTCACTTTCGCGTGGATCTTTACGATGTTGGACATCCCCCGTAGCAATAATGATGCTTTACCTAAAGGGCCAGTGGGTTATGCACTGAAATACGTTCGAATGACACCATCATTCATGGAGCTATATAAACGTGCAAATGCAAGTTACCATTATAACTATGGCTTACTCGATCCATCTTCACTACTTGATTCCCTACTACCCATGGTCTCTCCCTCAGAAATCGACCAACTTCTTGAAACCATCTTCTCTTCTCCCATGAACCCAAATAACCGGCGCGTGGTGATGTCTATCATGTCAGCCATCCGCCGCCTTTCGATGCCTAATTTGCAGCGAAAACAGGCTTTCAGTATCCTGGAGGATACGGATGCTTCAAGCTGGCACCGTCAAGTTGTTACCAGTGGTATGATTGCGTCTTTCAGGCCCCCACAGGCTAGAGAGTATACCTATCAACTTTTCGAGTTCAACAAGGATCGACGTGCTCACCAGAAATCCCAGACACAAAGCGTCGTTGGCCAGCAATCTGATGGTGCATCTTCAGGACCTGCGATCAAGATGTCTACTCAGAAGATGCTTCTTCAGCTATTGGTGCCATCATTCAGAACCGGGGCGCTCGACTACCAACTTATCAACGACCTTTCCCAAGCCGAACTTTTGGAGACTCCTCCTGCCATTATTTCGTATCTGGTGGATGCGTTCATAGAATCTGCTACCACCTCATTTGTGTTATCCGGCAACCGGGATGTATCTCAAGACGTCCAAAACTTGCTAGCGCCATTCATAGAAATAGCCCAGCGCCTCAATGAAGCGGTCTCGGTTTCTGAAGAGGACTGGGCTGCAGCACGACGCGGAGATGGACCAATGCCACAAAACGTTGAAATACGACCTGTAGCAGAAGCTCTCCTTAAATGCGGTTTCAATTTCAAGTCATCTGTCAAGCAGTTCTTTGCCAGATATGTCGTGAAACCCATCCTAGAAGGCCATATCGATGTGAGGACGAGATGGCTCAAGACAGCTGTAGTTCGTGAACATGGATCAGGTGATCTCGAGGAGTCTATAACAGCTTCCTGGGGAGAGGGAATGGAGTTCACTTCCATCTATGAGAAGTTTGCATTCCATCTCAGTTCACCTCACGACGACGGTGAGGGAAAGATATTGCAAGTCTTGTCACGTCATGCCCTTGCCTTCTTAGAGAGAGAAACTTCCCTAAAACTACATCGACTCATGGCTGCGAATCATCCAAAAGGCTGGGAGCATCAGCCATACGGCAAGACGCTTATATCTCTGACAACGTATGATAGCTCAGACACAGCTTTGAGAACGCTGTCGGTTCTCTTGAATTGTATGCGGGATCCTTTTATGCCTGCAGCCCTCGCCGAAAGGCACTTGTCTTGTCTCATGCGTATTGGAGGTATATTACTCTCACCTGAGAACACGATTGTGCAGGTGCATGGCTTGGATCAATATCCTTTCTTTACTGTCCAACATACAGTCCAGTATCACGCAATGGGATATATCGACACGAGAACTGATAGACTTTTGGCATATTTATTGGAGATCGCAGAGGGCCACGAACGCCAACAATCACAAGAGAAAGCTAACGGTGGAGCGATCTATTGGCAGCTCATTTTAAGCCTGAAGGTATGTGAAGCTTTTGATTGATTACCGTTCAGTGCTGAGTTTCTTCAGCTCGTACTGTTACATCATACTATGGCAAGTTCCACAGCGTCAAGACCAGGATATCAATATGCGGAAAGCCTCGCCTCCCTAGTGAACTATGTATCACAGAACAAATGGTACCACGCCGGTTTTCCTCACAGATATGCTGATTATCTGGTGTGCACGACCGACAACAAGATGCATATCGAAGACTTTATCCTCGCTTGTCGCACGTTATCGCAACCTCCACTCTGTCCAAGTGAATTAGGCACTATGGATCGGACATTGTGCTTGGAAACAGCGGTCGCAGTGCTGCAGGCGCATCGTCGGGAAATCGATTTGTCTACTGCAGGAACAAAATTAGTGGAAGAGCTTATGAGCGAGTGGGTAGAGGATCCTGATGGTGCTCTGCGCTGGCTCGCGTTGACTTGGCGCAAAAATTTAGCTACTCGGGGGTGATGATGTGATTTGCATCGTAATAGTTGAAATGCTTCAATATCATGATATTAATTCTCGACGCAAGCTATATTATTCCGTTTGACCCGACAGGGGGTGGCTGCTGTCTGTCATTCTCCCGGATTTAGAATCCCTGAAGGATGAGCGCGAGAAACTTTACCGTCAAGGCGGCAGAGATGCTTTCCAAAGGTGCTGGATGGCGCTGCTGTCCAGTCAAGGCGGGAAGAGACTGGAAAACAGGACATTTCCCCCTTTTTGACCTTCATCGGAACCTCAAGAAACATGAAGATGCTCTTAGCTTGGACGGCCCGGTAGATTCCTATCTAGAATTGACGTTACTACACGTCCAGACACATCTGGAACTTGAAGATCACGATGATTATTATGACTGGCACCCACTCGGCTGCAGGAACGAAGTTGGTTGAAGAATCACTGAACGAGTGGAAGGGAGAGTCTGACATTGCTTTGCGCTGGCTTGCCCTTACTTGGGAAGGAAAATAATTGTTGGGAGACATCACTGCCACCTTGAGGATGCTATTTCGAGCTCCTGAATGGACTAGGACGTTGATGCTCAATGGCTGAGATCAAGACTCCTTTGCTGACACACACCCCTGCTGGTATTTGTATTCTTTACAACGCTATTGGCGGTTTACGATCCTGATTATCGAAGGTGAGGAGATAGATCTACATTAAATATAAATATACGAGAGCAACTTACTCTAACCATCATGCTCAAGCGCTGGCCGCCTCCGACGTTAAGTCCACGAAACTCGCCCTTGAACAGGATGGAGTGCTTATATCCGAAACGTACAGCATCTCTGCAGCCCAAACCAACGTATGTATAGTTAGAGCGCGAAGAAAGCGCAGCAAACAGAGACGAAACGAACCTCTGTATATAAACGGAACCGGATGGCAACAAAGTGTCAAACGTATCTTGCGGATCTTCTGTCGACTCCATATGCATAATTCTCTCAGCTCCCAAACTGATCCCAAGGATCCAGGATCCACTGGCTTCGACATTATCTACATGGGGTAGGATCTTTCCGGTGGACGAAAGATGTAGCAAATGTGTCTGAGTGTCTTGGCTCGGATATATTTCCTGTAGTCGATCGAATATCAAAGAGAGACCGAGATTTTCTTCGACGGGCCAGGACGAGACATGCATTTCACGATAACCATGAATGACATTGTCATAATGTCCCTATCAAACCGTTAGTGCGAATACGCAATCTGAATACGTGCGGACGGACCTGCTCGAAAGTGTAATGGTCATCGGGTAGAAACATATCCTGTATGGATGATGCTTCCCCCAAAGGCTTTCTCTGCTTTTCGAAGGCTTTCTGGCGCTTTCGAACGTGTCGGCTCTCACTTGAGTTGAGTTTTTGCAAAGCAGCGGCCAGTAGGATACGTTGTTCGGCGAGGTTGAAGAAATCTGGAAGCATCTCAAAGCCGCGGGGACGACCCATTCCCTTTACTTGTAAAAAGAAAGCTGTAGGTACCATGGGCATATAATGCCTAGGAATCATGGTATTGAGCATACGAATGTCTTCCGGATTGCTAGACTATCGAGTACTTGTTGACTATAACAGTCACGGTAAAAGCAGTGCTGCCACGGTCTTGCTTAGTCATTGCGTTCTCCTCACAACTTATACTGTCAGTATTAGTTATTATACTGGTCGTAAAACTTCGCATGTATGGCATTAACTTGGGACTATTCTCTTCAAGGCTGATAGTGCACGCACCCAAGGGCTTGAGTTGGAATGACGCCAACAGTCACGCTGGTTCGTTATTTCGGATGTGCCAGACGAAATTCAAGAAATCATTCCTTGTTGTCAATGGCTTCACATACTTAGACTATCTTTTGCTCGGTTTCGTCTCCTAATATGTTCACTTTACACTGTCACCCTGAACGATAGGTGCTGAGAAATCAGGATGGTATAATGAAGGTTGGTGTAGCACCTAATCTACCAACTGATCGGTACAACATTTACACCCGTGACATTGGGTTATTGTAAAATGTCTCGACACCGTGGCGCAGAGGTGAGGTAGATTCATTGGTTAATCACAGAACTCTTTTTTCATTCACTAGTCCAGATTGATTGAGATACTTGTTAGTCTCCTCAGCTATTTTGCCCCAGCGTCCATCATGCCAAGACCTCATTTCCTCCCATTTTTCCCCTTCGAACACCCCATTGAAGCACCTCACCCACGCACCCACGATGATATCTGCATAAGAAAATGTATCTCTCATTATATGTTTACCATCGCTCTTCGAATACCATCCATCAATGATCCCAAGAACCTCCTTTACGTTTTTCCAATCCTGTTCGCGTCGTGGACCTTCGGGCGAAATATCCTCCCACTTGGCACCGAGTCTCTTCGCAGTATCTTTCTTGAAATGTTCTGCACTTATGGGGTTTAACTTCGCGGAGACAATAACAGCTATTATCTGTAACATCGGGACCAGAGATTTCATGAGGGCAGAGTCAAAGACGCTGATAAGAGCCACGCTATCGTGAGGAAACAATGTGGGTTTGGACGGATAGGTCTTCTCGAGATATTCTGCGATAGCGAAAGAATCGGAGACAACAACACCTGTAGAAGGGTCCTGGATGACGGGGAGGGTATACGAATCGCTTCCGTCAGGCTTATGCCCAGTAGGCTTTGCGTCGATGGCTTTCATCCGCTTCGCGATGTCAGGTAATTCAATCCAGACGGTTTTGAAGGCCAAGCCTTTGTAGGCAAGTGTGTACCTGCAACAGCGAATGTAAGTCATCTGTACTCGGTGGGTAAAATGGTGATGTTGCTTGCGTTACTTACCTTGCTTTCAATGTGTTGCCAGACAATGGTTTTCCGGCCACTTGATTTGGGATATCGTATAGTATAATTGGTTGAGACATGAGTAGAGGATCGGGATCGAGTATTGCTTGTCCGATGTCTGCCAGAACACATCCAATTAAATATGTGCGGAGAAACTGCCGACCTAAGCGGGTTATGACGCGTTCCTCACTCTCAAACTCCAATTGATCTGAACCCCTCGAGTCATTCGGAAGATAGCATCAGTGACTAGATTACTGTTGTGGCGAATCAGTTGGTGCCATGTGTATTTCCCGGCGAGAATGTATAGTTATAGTAGCAAGTCGTGCCTTAAGATGGAAGTCATTTGTTCAAGTATGTTGTATAATCAAAGAATGTCCCCTGTCCCTGGTTGGCGAGCAAGTATTGCGGATACAGAGTCATCATTTGTGGACGAACGTGTTTGCGTATTGGGCATTCCTCCGTCGTTCGGCTATACATTTAGTAGAATGTGTATAACGAGGAAAATACATGGATAAAACAAGAAGCAAAGCTCAAAGCTTATTCCTGATTCAATGGAAGTTCGGTATCACCGTCCGGGGTTCTTACCGTAGCTTTACATTGCTCTTTCACTTGATCCATGTTGCCGCCCTGGACCTTTTTCAATGACTGGTTGAAAGAGTCGAAACGATCGGCCCAAAAGGCCAAGTCGTCAGTTACGTGGATAGGATCCCATTTATACATAAGTATCGCGCAGTAGCTGCAGAGTCGATTAGTCTTATAATACTGTTGGTTTCAACCACATGCTTACAGGGTTCCAAATTTCCAGACCGTCGACGGGCCTCACCAAAGGTTGAGTATTCTGGAAAGTATAGAGGGTGAACTAACCCAGCGGGAATACCTGGACGGGGTGTGAATATGAAAGGTCGGAAGACAGTCGGAGATCGGCAGTTCTTACATGGAATTTCGTTAAGCATCATTGGAGTCTTACTGTCATCCGTCGAACGTTACCTTTCTGTACAATATTGATATTGTCTGCTTTAACCGGAAAGCTTGAGCTCGAAAGCTTATCGTTGTCGCTCCAAAGTGATGTCCTCGTTTGCCAAAGCAAAACTAAAGGCGGCAAGGGAAGCTTTAGGGAAGAAACAATATGAAATAGCCCGCGAAGCTGCTAGTCAGGTTCTTGATTATGAACCTGACAATTATAATGCGTACGTCCATCAGAAGGTTGTCTGGGATTGGCTGATATACTTGTGACACAGACATGTATTCTTAGGTCTCGCATCACTGGAGCTAAACCAGTATGAAAAGAGCGAGCAAGTAAACTTGGGTCGATAAAGATGAAGTTCGTAAAGGCGCTGACCTTTCCCGTTATAGTTCTATCGCAAGGCAATTGAATTGAACTCGGACCAGATTCTAGCCTGGCAGGTCAGTGTCCAGATACCATTCAAATATCTGCTATGATTCAAACGGATCATACTAGGGCATATCTAGACTGTACGAACGCCATGAGCAGTGGAGTAAATTAACAGATACCCTTCTGAATTTGATGGACCGGTTTGCGCGTAGGTGTGTGAGAACTGAAACAATGATAGCAATGGGGTACTCACTCCGTTATACAGTAATGACGCCACGAAGTGCGCTGAGACTTTACAGAAATACATCGAGCTGTGTCGCGACCAAGGTACTCGAGAGCAGGTATGATGCGTACATGCCCTCAGTCGTGATTGTTCTAAATCTTACATCTTATCATACAGATCATTAGTTCACTATCACTCCTACTCCCTGAGTCGCCGTATTATCCTGTTTTGTCGGCTTTGCCTCCACCTGATCCCACCAGTCCCACCGCATCTTCGACGCATGTCACTCAAATCGCACTCCTTGATTCGTTGCCTACCTTACAAGAAATTATCACACTGACAGAGAAACAGGAAGAAACAACAATCAAGAGTGAATTTGACAAGCGGCGCACACGATTAGGCGCCCCTCCTCCAGACCAGCTGAAGAAAGAAGTCGAGAGAGAAGTTTGGGGGGTTTCTAAAGCAAGGATCATCTGCCTGGTACTCACGAACCCGTATCTCATCTTATTTTCAGCTGTTGACCCTGTATAACGAAGTCCTCAACCACCCTAACACACCGGATGAGCTACGGCGCGATGTCGAATCTAGGCTTATCCGTCATAAGCAACAGTACTTTTATGCGCTCTCTCTTTCAGGAGCATCAGCAGCAAAGAAAGCGGAAGTAGGCGCTGAATTGGATGGTTTGGTAGGCGGTATCGTCGCTATCAGCGTTCCTGACGAATTGGCCTGGTCACTGTTCCTAGAAGGGAAAGATAGCAGTACCTTGGGCAAGTTTATCGCGTTTTCTTTTACAATTTACATAAGGTTGCTGATATTCCTGGCAGAGGGATACGGTTACGAGTATCTGAAAACATACATACAATTATTTGCGGGTAAACCTCTAGCACGATTACTGGAAGGATATTTTGCCTATAACTTAATAAATCTATCCAATGAGGAAGATGATGAAGTAGAAGATACTGGCGACGATAGTGAAGAAGATCCGTACGATACCATTCTTGTAGGTCCTTCATTGCCTGTCATTCGATGAGAAAGTGGACTTAACTTGACTTCTTCAGGATGCGTTTACACTTCTTCCAGATTCTATCGTCGCAAATCGAATAGTAGCGGATACTTATCTGCAAGAACTCGATTATACAAGTGCAATCCGAGTGGCCGAGAGTGGTCTGGAGCTTGTCCAGAGGCATGAATCAAATACAGGAAGGAAATTAGTACAGTAAGCTTTCAAGTGTTGTTCTGAGATCCTTACCTCACAATCATGTCAGAGTTCGGAAAGCATTTAATGTAATATTAGGTACATCCCTAGTGCACCTCTTCCCACCCAAGCATCACTCTCGTGCTCTCTCTATTCTGGATGACGTCCTTGCGCAAGATCCTAACGATCTCGATTGTTTAATGGGGAGGGGTTATATATTGGAGTTTGCTGAGAGATGGGATGAAGCTGGTGAACTGTTTGCAAAAGCAGACGAACTAAGTCCAGATGACTTGGCGAAGGGACTTCGGGCTAAGGAAGAGCATGCTTGGTGTTTGAGGAAGAATGATTTGGATCATAGCACAGTTTCTCTCAAAGGGGTTCTCGATACGCTCGAAAGCCTAGAAGGGCGTGATCAAGACAAGGCTCGATGTTTGTGGAGAATAGGACAATGTTATTGGGCCATGGGAGGTAGGCCCTTTCTTCTATGTTGCTCGTGGATTCAGATCATGTTAAACCAAAAAGTCAGACCACCACCGCGAAGAAGCGTACACATACTTCATCACGTCTCTCAAACGCGATAGTGTCTATGCTCCATCATATACTTCCCTTGGCATTTACTATTCTGAGTTTGTATCTCCTCCTGATCCTACTCGAGCCTCAAAATGTTTTCAAAAAGCCTTCGAGCTTGATCCACGTGAAGCAGACGCTGCTAGGAGACTTGCAGAGGGCTTTGCTGACGAGCGGGAGTGGGATCTTGTTGAGGTGGTCGCTCGGCGAACAATCGAAGGGGAGGGTGGTTTGGATGCTGGCATGAAGTCAGATGATGCAGTAATCGCAGGTAGATACCTTCCCACCAACGCATGGGCGTGGAAAGCGGTTGGCTCTGTTGAGTTGGTGAGAGACTTTTTTTTTGTGTGTTGCTCCTTGTGTTCAGTAATTGTACCAGGCACGTAGGAACTACTCTGCTGCTATTCAGGCATTCCAGGTGGCTCTAAGGGCCATACCGGACGACCAGCTTTCGTGGGTTCGCCTAGGTGAAGCATATAGCAAGGCCGGTCGGCATGCTGCAGCTCTTAGAGCTCTTATCCATGCACGGGAACTGCGAGAAGATGATTGGATATGCACTTATCTCATTGGTGAAGTCCAGCGCCAGACTGCACAGTTCCAAGATGCTCTTCTATCATTCCAGTCAATTCTTGATGAACGGCCTTCTGAAATAGTAGTCTTGATGGCCGTTGCACAAACTCATCTTGATCTTGGCCGCGAAGAACGCACTACCGGTTTTTTATCAAGGGCTGAGGAATCCTTCGTGGCTTGCATTTGGGTGGCCTTACGAGCTGTAGAAGAAAGTTCAGGATACCGAAGCGTAGCTTGGAAGACTGCTGCGGATGCTATCTTTTCCCTGTCCAAACATACATCTTTTACGGATGTGGAAAGCGTCCGTGATGTTTTGAATGAAGTTCTTCTCTCAGTTAAGCCTCATACAAGTTCTCGTCTTACTGGTATCCTGGTCCCCGCCTCCATCGAACTTGACGTCCCCCTTAATGGACTACGCGCCCTAGAAGTTGCGATCGCTGCTTATGATTATCGCCTAAGCCTTGGTTCGACTGAAGGGGCTGCAGCAGGCAGCTCGTGGTTTGATCTAGGTATCGCTTTGAATTGCTGGTCGGTTCATTGTCCTTCTGAAGCACAAGAAAAAGTGACCGTGCAAGCAAACACGTGTCTAATGCAAGCTTTACAAGAAGAGCCAGCAAATCCTACTTACTGGAATACTCTGGGAGCTCTGAATTTCATTGCAAAACCGAAGACGGCACAACACGCTTATATCAAGTCTCTTGAAATCGATTCCAAGGTCAGATGATGCAAACAAAAATAAATGTCATGCTCATACCATACTGCTATAGAGTGTTATTACTTGGACGAATCTTGGCTTACTCTATTTATATCGCAATGACCTAGAGCTGGCCAACGAAGCTTTATACAGAGCTCAAACCTTAGACCCTGACTACACAACTGCTTGGGTGGGCCAGGCGCTTGTAGCCACGGCTAATGGACATGAAACGGATGCGCGAGCCTTACTTGAACATACAGTTACTCTTACTACCGACCTTGTAAGTCATTCTTTTTGTGCATGCCTGTACAATTTCTGATATGCCTTCCAGCCTGAAGCTGATCTTCTTTATGCGACGCGCGTATTCTCAGCTACTAATAATGCATCCTCAGTCCCTTCTTATGACACCTTCTCTCCTGTGTTCTTTGTTCTCGATCGATATACCAAACGTCGCACGGATGACGTCTCTGCACAGCACCTTTTTGGTCTTGTGTGTGAACGCCTCGGTCAGCTTGAACTGGGAGCAGACCTGCTAGGACGCGCAATAACCCTTCTCGAGGCGGCTTACGAAGAATCAGAAGATCAAGTTGTTGAACGGCAGTTCGTCATAGCACATTCAAACCTTGCGCGAATAAGGCTTGGGCTGCATGATGCCAGCGGGGCACTAGAATCATTCGAGAGTGCGTTGGGCTTGTTGCCTGAGGACGACGCCGGCCAAGGTGAAACGATGATTCTCCGTGTACACGCGCAGTTTGGCTGTGGACTAGCACGTTTTGCAATGGGCGAGCTGCAAGAAGCACTAGAAGCATTCCAGGGAGCCCTAGATACAGCAGGGGAAGATGCTCTGCTGCGTGGGCATGTGAGCGTATTGCTGGCACAGACGATGTGGGCGATCGGAACGGATGAATTCAAAGAGTCAGCGAAAGCATTATTACTGGAATGGTGCGTCTTATATCCCCTGCCATACTAGAGAACAGTCTGATTCAGTGTTTTTTAGTATCTCTGCAGACCCAGAAAATTTGATGGCTATCAACACTCTTGCGGGTATGGGCATCCTCACGGCCGACGACGGGCTTGTTGATGCTGCCCTTTCTGAGATTCTTGCTCTCCCCCTCGAGCAGCGGCAAACCCTTGACCCGCGAAGGGACGTAGGATATCTTCTTATCAGGCACCATTTGGGTCAGGTATGTGCCGTGGTTTACCAAACCTATGAAACGGGTTTTTCGGTTGTGCTTACACAAACGATTTTTGTAATTAATAGGGTGAGACTGTGCAAGCGCTTCAACAGGCACAAAAATCTTTATTCATAGAACCTGCACGGAACCAACTTAGACGTGACCTTGCTACTCTGACTATTCAGACGGGTATGCCAACCTCTGCGCATGCATTACTATCTGGTGCTGCGGCAGACACGTCGATAACAGACCTTCGTGAGACGCTGGCCTTAACCGCAGTTGCTGAAGCGATGGTTATAACCGAAAGAGAGAACGGAACACCAGAAGGCAAAAGGCAACTGGAGAAAGTGTCGAAAATAGCACAAAAAAACATCATGTTGACTCCTTGGAGGAGGAGAAACTGGGAAGTATTGGCATATGTGCGAGCCAGCATGCAATAATGCCTGTAGTTAAAAGCCACGTCTCGATTGTACAGTAAATAGGTGTACGATGTGACGCGTTGGTCAGATCTTGACGAATGATGACACTCAGGTTGCCCGCACGCCGTAAAACTCCTCCGAGGAGTGCGTTTGACATCGGCTTAGACAAGAGTACAAGTATTTCCCGTAATTCGCTAGGGCATTCTCTTCCGTTTGGGAACTGGAAGATAATACAGTATACCACGAGGTGAGGAGTGATGAAAATAACATATATGCTTGTAAGATACAAATGGAGCCAGGTAATCCGGTCGCATCCAGTTCTATAATAGTATTATTACCCCCAAAACCAATGGCCCCACCACATCAACCACAGTATTAATAGCTTTAGCAGAAAATAGAGCAGATGGTTACCAAGACCGACGTGCACCAACTAATGCAACAGCGAGGATTCGTCTGGTCACAGCATCCGTAGCCTCATCACGATGTTCACCCTCGCAGAAGGTCAACCACCACTTTAAGCGGACTTCCATGTCTTCGCGAGTAAGAGTTTGCGTAAGGCTGACGGTTCAAATGAGTTGAGGGTTATCAATAGAAATGATGGAGCACACTCACATTCCCCGTTCGTACAATGCATCGCTCAGTTCTGGCATAGTGAGATCTTTTCCGAGGCCTTCTTTATGGAGCAACGCGTCATCCATCGACAGGTATCGCAAATGCCGACGTAGTCGCCACATAGAAAGACTCGAAGGGCCCCACTGCGGTAGGCCTAGAAGCCCACACATAGCATTTACAATGCCGTTCTGCCCAATCGATACTACTTCAGTTTGACTTCCTTCGGCCTTTTGTATAGCGCGAATGAAGAGCTCGCCGTTCCCGGCCTGCTTCCACACGTCGAGTTGTCTTTCTCTTGCCGCGACACGGATACGATCGTGCTGTGCTGGGAGGGAGCACGTTGAAGGTAACATGCGAGGAGCATATAGCGCTACGAGGGGAATGAGCTCTTCTAGAGTGAGAAGGAGAAAAGTGAATGGAACGAGTCTTTAGAAACATGGGGAAGGCGGGAGGCGTAAGTTTTGGGTGCAAGAAAAGATACAGCACGACTCACTTCAAAGCATCTTGCTTATACGTCCTTATGAACCGTGCCTCTGCACGAGATATAGCGGGACCACCGGATCGAACACGCGCATGGATAGCGGCTGTTTGCTTGCGGTGAGTGTTGATAGCTTTCAGACCACGGAAGTAGAATTTCTAGGAATAAGCAGATAGCGTTAGTTATAAAGAATGAGAGAAAATGGTGCAAACAAGGTAGGAGTATCGTGTATAGCTACTGGCAGTAGAGATAGAAGCAGGAGGAATCATTTGGAGAAAAGAAGGGAGAACGACAAATGGACAAGCCATAGTCAAGGCATACAGAAAAGAAAGTGGGTACTCACCAAAAGCTGTATAGCCTGGTGTGTAAACCGCTTGAACGAGCTTGCGTCTTTGGGAGGTGCCTCTAGTACACCTTGGGCAGTAGCAAGCGCAATATCGTATTTTGCAAGTTCAATAACCGAAGCCCCAGGCGGCGGAGTGGTGTCTGCCTTAACGGCGACAGGCGAAGGCTTAGGTTTAGATGAGTGGGGCAAAGGAGTGGATTTCGTTGGATTGGTTGTCGAATGAAAGGACGGGGGCAAGGAAGATGCTTTTATTGGGGCAGGTTTGAGGTCTATCTTCTGTTTTCGCGTTTGCGACGGAAGGGGGTGGGAAGTATCGGTTTGATTGGCAGTTTTCTGTGCAGACGGCGTAGTCACAAACCGTGCAAAAGAAGTGTTCGGATACAAGACGAGAGTATCGATATTACACTTCGTATTTGACCAGTGAGTCCTCAGGACTATAGATCTAGAAAGTATTGCGTCGTAGCTTTTTCTTGAGAACATCAACGACCGAGCACGCACCTTTCCACCGCAACATTTCTTCCCAATAAACGTAGCATAAACCCAGAACAAAAACTCAGATATTCAGTTTTGGCGGTGTTTCTAAGACTGGCGCTTTCTTTTGCTTGTGGTGGCGGAAGACACTGGCAGAACTCGGCTGGCTTTCGGAGTGGGAACTGTCACACAAAGTCACAGTCATCACGATGATCTTGTCACAACCAGTAACGTCGTTCACCGGTGGTCTTTGTGTTATAATAGACATTCGTATACCACCACGGCCATGTTCCCAACAAAACAAATTACAAACAGCAAGATTCTTTCCAGACTAAGCTCAGATTGGTATTTAATGATCAATCGTAAGGCTCCTATTTCCATCAAGCGGCCGGAAATGAATGCTCGCAATAACATTCACAAGGGCAACCGTGACAAGCGTGCAACTTCACAAAATTCTTCCAAGCAAGCTCTCGACTTCAGGTTTCCGACGCCGCCAAACCCTGAGTACGTTTTTATTTCACATCATCCGCACGATCAAATGATACGACACTGACGAGTTTCTTACGATCCAGAAATAAACGACTCAAACCCTTTATTATTATGGAAATCGCAGCCCAAAAAAACCAACTATCGGCAGTGCGAACAACTGTAAACTATATGGTACCTATAACACTGTCCATCCGCTAATTTTAGTCTTACGACTAATAGCTAATCCTTTTAGAGGTTGAGGTTGATGGGCGAGCAACCGAGGTTGATCAAGCCGTTCTGAACAAGAAGATCAGACCTTCCCTCCCTTATGACATTGAAAGGGAGAACTTACGAATTGGTTGTTGGTGCAGCAGACAGGTTCGGCGTTGCAAGAGCTTGCACCGCCGACTCCGATAACGCTGAGAGGAGAGCAGCTCAAGCCAACTTGACCAACGATGCCCTCGAGGCTGACGCCGAGGAGACCCAAGAGACCCGTCACCGCAGTGGAGTTGGACTGGTCGAACCATCAGCAATGATGGTCACCATTAATTACCATGAAAAGACTCACGTCTTGGACGCTGTTGCAGCAAGAAATAGAACCAGTGTTGCACTGGTTAACAGTGCTGCCGGTACGCTCAACGATAGGGCTGGCGATAGCCATGAGAGCGAAGAGGAGGGTGAACAAGAGAGTGGAGATGCGAGCGAACATTTTGTTAATGAGCTGGCTTTGGAGAGTAATGAGTGTCTGGGTAAGAGTGTTGGACTCGAGAGTAAAGCAGGTAGAAGTGCTGGATGATGATTATACAGCGCAGTGGAACGGGTCTTTATAGGTTTTTGACATGCCGGTAAGCCTATATTCGTTCTGAATTTTTTCCTGCCCTTCACCGCTCTGGAGCCTAGGAAAACATGGCTTTATTGATGCCGGCATAGTACCTAATTATGGTGAGTAATAAGCGCGCCTGAAGGTCACCGAGATTGCCCTATTGGACAAGCCCTTTCGCCCCGTGATGAACCTGGTTGAGGCCCAGGTATCTCATCAGTCCTCGGCCTTTCGAGACCGAAACGTGTTTATCCGTTTCTTCATGATTTTTCCAGTGTGCCTTTCTTTTGACAAACGCCCAACAAATTATTTTTTCACTCTCGACACCGTTCAAGATGATCACGACGGCCTTTTCCAGAGAAGTCTATTGGTTGAAATTTTACTGAGCGTTGATGCCACGAAGTACAGGAATACAAGACTTCGACGCCCGTTACCTACGTTTACGAGGTATGTCATTTTCTGACAGCTGGGACTGAATCAACTGACCGTAGTAAGCATAGAAGATCAGAAGCTCTGTCAGAATGGTAGCATACCGACGCGACAACGAATGAAAATTCTGTTGGCGTCTATCGATTCTGAGAATCCAGGCAATCAGATTCCGCTCCTACGGAGAACCTATTAGTATGTACCGCCCTGGGGTTGTATGCTAATTTTCTTTCAAATTGTCAAACCCTCTTTGCATACCAGCCAAAGTGGCAGCATATCGACGTAACAGCAAATGAGGATTCTGTTGTGTTCGTTGATTATGAGAATACAGGCAATCGACTTCCACTCCAACGAAGGACTTCCATCTACTATTTACTGCTCTGGGATGGTGTGTGAATTGTGTTTGAAGTTATCAAACCCTATTCGCATACCAGCCTGGGGTGGTAGCCTGATTGTGATGTGAGCCTTTGAGGCTTTTCGCCCATCTGAAGTCGGTTCCCTTTTTCTCTTCCATGATACCTCTCGTTCCCCTCTCTTCACCTTTTCTCCCACTACACTGATCTCGGTTGTTCTTGATTCAGCAGTGTCGCTAGATGCAGAACTTGTGGTCTTGCTGCAGCAGAGGTTAGTAATGTCCAATGATATTTTTTTATGACTGACTGTGACCCGTTGCGAATGCGAGCGGACGTGCGGGTTGGCTTCTCTGGGATTAGCCAAGGTCGTTTTCGTCTTGTGTAAGACCTTGACCGGATTGTCCTATCGTCTTCGCTTGCCTTCGCCTCCTTGGGCCTCTCCTCTTTTGTCGGGACCTCCTCTGCCCTACGACTGGAATCCAATTCTGCTACGAAAATGAATTCGAGTATTTGTCAACACAATGTATACTAATCAGGCAATACAGTAGACTGACCTTTCTCCTCATCTATGGAAGACACTCGACGTATCTTGCACGGTACGTCTTGGCTATCTCGCCTGAATCTTTGACGTTGATATTCCCAATGTAGATGCTCCAACTTAGCTCCCTGTTTTTTTCCTTTTACTGGGCCTACTTGTTCCCCCCGAGTTACTTTGGTTTGCGGCGCTTGTGAACTGAAATTGTCCGCGAGGGCGTTCATCGGGGGGGCCGAAGAAGTGCCCCGAGCGCTTGAAAGACCTGAATTATTACGCGATACATGAGTATGGGCGTTGAGGGTATTGTTGACCTCGGTGGCACTGGTGGCATCGTTGAGAATGAAGTGCAGGGACATACGAGAAAGCGGTGTCTCCTGAACGGAGAGATGGATGAGAGCTTGCGCTGCGATTAGCTCGTTATGGGAATGCACGTAGGCGTCTGCCATCATTCAATATATCGGATGCGATGGTGTATGGGATGAGTGGTGTATGAGATGAAGTGTGAGGGGGTGGTGCAAGAAGAAGGAGACGCGAGACGCGTCTGTGGACGAGCTGAAATACCTGTGAACAATCGCTTTGTCGCGCACCGAATTCAAGCAATCGAACGGCCTGTCCTTTCGGTGGTTTTATTTTGTAAATGTGTGAGCTTTTGGTTGCTTGGTATGGTACGGATATCTAACGGCTTAAAGCGTAGTTTCTTGTTTAATCTATTAGTTTCACGTATGCCTCGATAATACGTTTCCACTGAATTGAGGTTGTATATACTTCTGAGCCGTGTATGTACCAAACACTCTAAGGTATACAGACACTAATTTTCGAGTTGTACTAAGGATATTTATCCTGGTATCGAAGACGTTCTCTCTATTGGAATGAATGGCTTAGTATACGCGCATCACGTGAAATGCACATGACCGATATCTTGGAGAGGGGTAATGATCTCAGTGACTCCAACGCATCGCTGATCTCGTACGACCTGTTACTTTCACTTTCATACTCTGCATATCATCAGAACTGAAAAATGGCCACCATTAGACTTGATCTCGATACCCTCAAAAACCAGAGAGACTTTATCCAAACCATCCAAAGCCATTACCCTTCATCAGAATCGTCTTCGTCTGCAGTGGTCTCAACTCTAGCAGCTCTTCTTCAGATTGAGACCGAATCGCAAGCTCAGCTTACCGCCGGAGCATCCAGTCCTGCGCTGAAATTCCTCCCTTCGCGTCTATCGGTCCTCGCCTCTGGAACCCACCCGCCAGATGCGCCCGCTCAGGAGTTCGTCTCGCGTCTGACGCACGCAGCACATGGGGCGGCTGAGTCGCTGACCTGCGGGAGTATTGTCGCCGGGCATACGAGTGAGAGTGACGAGCATGCCGATGTCGGTGTGTGGCTTGGCGAGGGTGACTATGGGAGAGGGAAGGAGCGAGAGGTGCTCCGTGCACTGGGACTCGATGGGTGGTCTGTAAAGCAGGTGTGTTTAGATCCCTTCTTTGCATATTTTTTGGGGGGACTTTCATAACCGTAACTCTATCTACACGTACATCACCCCTTTCTGATGCTCTCACCAATAAACATGTAGATCGAGAACATCGAACTTCGTCCGCCCCTAGGTCTTCCTTCCAGCATAAACATCGCCACCCAAACCAATGCACAGGGGCCGGAGATGGATGCGTTTATAGCGGCTTTCGAGCAGCTTGAAGAGCGGTACTGTTTCTTCGCTTTTGGTGGACCCGGCTCGGGGGGTTTGATTGCCTGCTTATTGCTGGGGAAATTCAAGGCTACTGGTGGGCATAGTATGGCTGGGAATGTAGGGTGGTGTGGGCTTGTTGGAATTTCTGTTGCCGCCGACGACTAAATGAGTACAAGACGGGTAGAGCATTTAGCCCTGGTGGGCCGTGTTCATTGATTCATTCATTCAACACAAACCTGCAAGGTCACATATTGTATCGTCAAAACTGTAGCAAAGAGAAGCTGTACTTTAGTTCTTTTGGTCATTCTCACATGAACACAGAATAGTGCTATATTATCGCAGTGACTTTCGCCAGTGTGTTTTACTTGAAGCAAACTAACTTGCACACTGAAACCGAAATGATCGAGGAAAACTCCGATCACGTGACGTAGGCGCTTTTCGTGGATCACGTTGTTACTACTATGACCAGTCTCACTAACAAACGCACTAAGTTACAGTTGGGTCACTTCACACTGGAAACTACGTTAAAGAGTTCACTATCCAAGCTGGAATTGAAGCAAAAGTCGTGAGTTATCACAGAGCATTACCCAAGGGTATCCTTGTTAATCTTCTTATGATGTGTCGCAGGAGCTTCCTCAGAGACACTTGGTCGGAGGACTTGCCAACAGTCACGATTCAAAACAGGAGCAGGCAGCATTCTCTGGCACACCATTTGTCTCACTTGGTTCACACTTAGTTTCTGAGTGTACGCTTCCATGCTTTCAGTCATACCACCACCGAGATTTTGAAATTTATGATGACAGAGTAGCGGCAGGTAGCGGCACGGGATCAGGTTCAACGATCGTCCTGCTCTTCAGCAAGAGAGATCGTTTATATCCCCTTAATTGCATTGCACCGCCTACTTTCTATCTTGTATACACGATGCAGAGCGACTCACCACGCGATCAAACGCTGGTCACACTCCAATCCCATATCCAGACCCTCACCGATTTTCACGCCCGCCTCCAATCCATCCGCCAAATCCCCACCCTCCTTCTCCACCCACCAACCTCTGCAGATGCCTTCTCGTCTGCCGTATTCTCGCCCGCCGCGTTCTCCTCTTCTGTCGTTGTTTCTGGGGTTCCTGGTGCTCTGAAGCAACAGTTCCAAGTGCTAAGCGAGGTGACGGAGGAGCTGCGGGCGGATAAGGTGCAGGATGCGCTTACGGCTGCGCAGAAGGTGGATGCGACTGGGCTTGGAGTTGGATTTTTCAAGGAGAGAGAGAGGAAGAGGAGACGGTATGTTTTTTTCTGGCCACGTCCGTATCTATTAGTTTGCGAGATGCCACTCTGTATACACCCATGAGATTTATTTCCGTGTGGTTACTGGACATAAGCAACGAACTATTGTAGCTATCTACTCACGCTGAATTAATACAGGCGTACGCCCACCCCGGAATCTCTCTCTCCCCAGCCGCAGTCATATTCGATCTCACAAAAGGACCCGTCTCCATCGCTGTTTCCGCCTCCCAGTGAGGATGACCAGGGACCACTAGGGGCTGATAGTTTGATGGACTACATTCGAACGTTCAACGGCGGTGGGTCGGGATCGCTGTGCAAGCTGCATATTTGGGAGCGGACTGGAGCACCTCCATCGCAACGGCAGGCTACTCCTATCGGCGCTGTTGTATTGCGGTTCACGATCTACGACGTCCTCACAACGTATATATCGCTCGCGCCTAGTTGCGAGGGGGACTCGACTTTCGTTGTTGAGAGTGTCACGGCGTTTGGGCCGAGGGAAAAGGTGGGCGTTTTTTTTTCTCTTCCCGAATCTGGTTAAATTTTTTCTGCGCCGCTCTCTCGGGCTCATTATTATGTCGTTGTGACTCGTGCAGAAATTACCACATATGCAATCGGATTATTTAGCCTTTCAGAGCCTCTCACAGCAGCTTGCAAAGATGGTGCAGTCCGATCCCAAGGTGTCAATCCAAGCTCTCGTGGTAAGCTTTTGCATTGTTGCTTTCATTCAAAGAATGCTTTTGTAAGTGCTAACAACATGACCACTCTGTAGGACCTGCTCTGTTCGTATCAGGGTTTATTCGTGGACCGCTGTTCGACTTGCGAACGCGTACTCTCGGCCGAGGGGCATGTTCCGCCCGTGGGACGAATTTGGGTGAGTGATCGCGGCGGCGGTGTTGGTATTGAGAATAGTACGGATGATAATTCCGAGGGGAATGGCTCCACTCGTGGTGGGACTGGGAGTGAGATAACGATTGAGGGCGCTAGTCGCAATGAGGATACGGGCCATGGAAGGACGAGGTGGAAGAAGAAGATTGGGGGTCGATGGGATCCCCGCCATGTCACTTGCATGCATGGCTGACCCACATTGCAATTGCCTTGTTCTAGAGCCCCTAATATAGTTTGATAATACGTTTTCGGTGCTTATGAGTACTATTTAATTATTTGATTATTTGACGATTCTCTTGGGGTGGCATTGTTAACATAATTTGACGGCGGGAGATAGTTCTAGGAGATTGATATGTTGGTCCAATGATTGACAGTTGTGACCAGCTTGGCGGTACCGGGCAATTTGTCGCTGGCGAGTTTGTGCTACCATTTTGAGATGAAAGCAAGGTTGAGGAGGATATGGTCCTGATTAGTATTAGTTCGAGTCCTAAGCTCCCTCGAGCATGTTCGCAGGCCGAGACATATTAGGCCTGCCGTGTGGGTGTTCTTCGTCGAGGGCATGGTGATTAGCACTAGTAGTAGCAGAAAGATGTGATGGGGACGGTGTTAAAATAATGCCTAACGTCTAGATCGGTCAAGAAGAAGATAATTAATTTAATTAATATCAATATGTCGAGAAATGAGCGGGGCACAAGGACATCAAGAACAATGGAGGGAGTGACATTGGACAGTTCTGTGTAGGCTTGGCTTTAGCGAGCAGAGTAGCTCGCCGCGGCAGCGTGAGCGTTACGGCACATGTCCTTACTATATCGGGAAATAAGCGGAGTATGAATACGGGTGTGCCGGCATTGTGCCACCTTCGGGATATTGTCTAATATTCAGAGTCCGATATGTAGGCCTAGAATTGATGGTAATTTAGGGTGCTCGATTTGAACTCCGCGAAGACAGATTGTGCCATCGTGATTTACCACGTTTCTCCTAATGGCCACAGTATGCTTTAGACTTAGACTGCCATTAGGCCAACATTATGGTAACACTATGGCTATGCAACATCCTGGCCGCCGTACTCTAGCAGCTGCAACACAGAATTTTGTAGAATATTCAATGTATATATGAGGCTGCGCTTGCACTCCCAGGTACAATTCCCGTTCTCTTGTCATTGCACCCAGCACGGTGACATGGCATATTCATATATTCATCCAAGATTGTGTTCACAGATCGCTCTTGTCTTGTCCCAAAAGGCACTTGGGCCCAACACGAGGCTACCAAACGCCCAGCCAGGCGGCGGGTGGCCAGCCCATGCCACATGGCCCTAGCTACCTTTGCCGAAGAGGGTGCATGTCTGCCAGGGCTATGCCCATCCGCATTTGTTTTTATTTTCATCATTGCCATAGATCTCTGTCCACAGCACTTCCTTCCTTCCTTTATACTAGTCCGATCTCGCCAATTATGCAGACAATGGCCAGATGACGCCCTCTATCCGAAAGCGCAGTTTCCTTTAGAGGGGTAGCCCATGGCCACTCCCCCGTCGGAGTCCTTATCACTATTATTATCAATAAAGGTACCATTGTTCCTATGTCCACTGCGCTCTCCCCTATACGCTTTTCGCCCGTGCCTTCTTTGTCCATTCGTCGATATATCCATTCTCGTCTGCTTTTAAAAGCCAAATATTCCTTACAAACCCTCTTTTTTTCCTTTTTAGCCCAAGCACCTGGCGGTTTCAAACATTCCTCTTCCGAGTTTAAGTACCATCCTGGTCACCGAGGCTTCTTAAGACCCCCTCGCACTAGCATCCCACCTTCCATTGCTGTCAGCCTCCTCTGAATCGTACTAGTAAGTTTCTGTCAGCCACTTCCAACATTCTTAAACCGACCGGCGTCCGCTTCTTTCTATCTTCGAAGCTTCATCTTCATAGCCACATCGTCAACTTTCGTTCTTATCAGGACCCGGTAAGCCTCGTTTTTTTTCCTGCGTGCTCATCTATCACCCCCACCTCCCAACGTTCATCATGCTCTTCCAGCAGATGTCTCCTCGCGCTGTGCGGTCAAGTGCCATGTTCCCTGCTGCAATCAACCCCACCGTCATCGACGGCCGTAGCAACATGAGCCGCGGTGGTGTTGTCCCTCCTCGCCATCAACCTCGGTCTATCGTTGACCCACGCCCCCGCACCATGGCCTCCACGGGGGGTCTCATCCAAGTCATCGGTTATACGCCTTCGGAGGGCGAGCAAGACGTTACTATCACCGTTAACTTCCACATGTTTGACGGTCCTGTTCTAACTTCCGACGTCCATGCCAGGTTACTCGTCGGCAGGGACGCACTTCGTACAGATGTCCGCCGACTCACCTCTGTTGTGTGGCAGGCAAAGGCCATTATTCCCCCCGTTCATGAGAAAAACACGACGCCTACTAGAGTGTCCCTGGCGTTGCAGATGCTCGATAACCAAGGCGCGACCGTTGACACGGTCACGTTTGGCGACTTTACCTATTGGGATTCCGGTAAGTGTCTTCTATCATGTCCTTGACTCGAGTCCACTGCTCACCTTTTCCTCTAGTTTGCTCATGCCAAGGACAGTGTGGAAAGACAAGGGCGAATTCTGAAACCTACAGAAGTGCTCAGCAGCCGTACCAGATCCAGTCAAAGCGCAGGACGAATCGCACCACCTCCAACAGGAATGTCACCCCAACCTCGCCAGTTGATTCCGACTACACTGTACCCGCCCGCTCTCGCCAAGTAACAAGGGCTAGAGCGTCATCCACCAGAATTAATCCCAGAGGCGCACGCGAGCTTCGTCGCCCGCGCAATGCCCAAGATCCTGCAGATGACTCGTCTCAGAGTGCGGTGCTGGAGTTGCTGACACCCCTCGACGATCTTTCTCGCGGCTGGGACGAGGATGAACTTGCGGCAGGCAGGCGTCTCGTGCGTTTTTACCGTGTCCAGGACGGCAACAAGTTGATCGTGACCGCTGAACACATGGCGCCACAGATGGAGTACGATGAGACGGATATCATCGTCTCTTGCATATACTTTGATGAAGTAGACAGGTGTTGCATCACTTCGGTTGACATCATCCATTTGTTGGAGCGCCTTGTCGATCTGGACTTTGAGGTGGACGAGAGGAATCGTATTAGGAGAAATTTGGAGCATCTGAAGCCGACGACTATCGCCAAGTTGTCAAAGTACAGCCGCTTCTTCCAGAAACTTGTTGACTTCCCTGACCCCAAGCCCCGGAAGATTGAGAAAGATATCAAGGTGTTCAACTGGGTGGAGTTGCCTAGAGCGTTGAATAAGATTATCTCGAAATATGTGAGTATCTTGATCTCGATATAATGTTTTGTTGCTCATGAATGTTTCACAGACTCTTACAAGTAATACAACCAAGACATCATACGACGTCCATCACGGCGGCGGCGGGCTACCACTCTCAAGCTCTCATAAAATGTCGAGGTCCCCCAGCCTTCCAGGCCTCTCGTTGGACTTGCCTCCGGCCTCTTCGTCTTACAGAAATGATTTCGAGGGGGATGTCAACCAGCAGTCTTTATCCTCATTTGTCGACTCCAACATGATGAACGTATACCTACCCACACCCGACTCGCAACAGATGTTGTACAGTGTACCCAACAGCAATTCGTGCATTGACCTCTACACCCCTGTGTCCTCGGACTCATCGTCCTCTTCGCCAGTCTCCCAGACTTTCCTGTCCGACTATCCTCTTCAGGACAATGTAGACTTATCGCATGGTGTATGGGACATGAATACGGTTGGGATGGCCGTCCCAAATATTCAACAGGATGATTTCAGTAGTTCTCAGCCTTCAAAATATGAACCAGCGTGTTTCCCCCAGGATCCTCTCGACATGTACGGTGTAAACTACCCCCTCAATACCTACGATTCGCTCGATTTTCAGACGCTCCGTGAACACAATATGCATGATGAATTCGTCGATCAAGCAGCTTGAAGAAGCTTTCGTATTTATCGCATTGTCTTCGTCTGTCTCAGTTTCCGATCCCCGCTGCCCTTCCGTATCTCTCCTCAACCCCCCATATGTTATTTTTAATTTGCCTGTTGTATGTATGTATCATTTCCTCATTCTTTGTCACGGACTTGCGCTACTCTGATTGTTTCATTATTCGTATATATATATATGACCATATGTAACCTTGTTATACCTAGTTCATCCATATATTTCTCTGTATTACAATTCCCGCCCCCCTTTTGGCATTTCTTTTCATCTTGGGTATCCTCCTCTTACGGAAAAATTGTTATTAGCAAGTATGCAAATATAGTGTTGTAAAAAAAGAAAGTGTGAAAGCTACAGCGAGTCATTCAGATCATCCAGCATATCATCGAACCTGTAATGTAGAAACACACTAAAAAGAAAGTAAATTCTGAAAAGATTATGAACCACCACGACGACTAAAGTTTAGACTTCCAAATCTGGAGAGGCGCCCTTTGATAGAGCCTAGGCTACCTACATTAGAGGCAGCTACTGATGCACCTGATAGTCCGACAGCTGAAGCGCCGTTACCTACGGTGATCAGAGAGTCATGAAGCGATTCTGCTTCTCCATCACTTCCGCTGGTTTCGCGAGGCCCAGAAGAGACGCCGGTCAAGCCGTGCCGAGTAAGATGAGCGAGATGTTGCTGAAGCGGCGTTTGCTTAGTCCTCATAGGGTTCTCCAGGGGCAAAAAGTTACGGGGTGATTGGGGTGTCAGGAGGGGTGAGGTGAGAGTCTGAATGCCTAACTGTAACGGGGGAATCACGAACGGAGATCGTGTGGATGAGGCGTTTGACATCGAGCGCTGAAGTGAAGATTGATCTTGCGTTGACCCCTGGTATTGTGATGGCGCAGAGGGAAGGTACGATCTTGACGTGGGTGATACGGGGACTTGTTCGGAACCTGTGTCCATGGCTAAGCGGCGGATTTCTTCCTGGAAGTTTTTCCGGAAGAACTTCTCGAGGGTTTCGTGGAAAGGAAGCATCTCAGGGGGACAAAGCTGACCATGTAGCTTTAGACAGCTATCAATGATGCGGACCTACGGTAGGGAGCTTAATTAGTTTCTTTCGAGCGTTGAGAGCCGAGGCCGCACTTACCTGATCGTCTATGGCAATGCGTAACTTTTCAACTAGCTCTGCCCTTTCCGGGTATTTGGTGACGTAAGTAGGATCAAAGAAGGTTTCTCGGTATGTTGATATGCCACCCTCTACCGGTGCATCCACTGCACTGTTCAAGCTCATAGATAACGGATTCGTCGGTATTGTTTGAGTCGTTTTTGCAAGTGACGAGTACCTGAGATTGAGGGCAGCGAGTTCTCTGGTCTTCTGCTCTATCTCGTTCAAGGCGTTTTCAACGGGAGAGATATCAAGCATCTCCAAAGCTACGACTTCTGATCTCCGAAGAACAGTAGGAAAGGCTTCCTCTGTAGTGAAGTACGCCTTTTCTAACCACACTTCTTCGTCACCATCACGTCCAGCTTTGACGACCTTGTTAGAACAGCTGAACAAATCGATGGCGCTGCGGATTACGTACACCAATAAGATATGACAGACGCCCGATAGTTGATTTGACATACCAATGCTCATAATAATTCCGAACTGCAAGCGGAACATCAGGACTAGTAAAGATGGGGGACAAACGATTTGGTTCTGGTGCCACTGCAGTGCATTGTATATATTGGGTGTTCCCAAATCGTATGTCTACCGGCGGATCTCCCATCGTTTTAAGCAGTTGGGCTCCGGGATGTTTGTTGAGCATGCGTTCGCAGAAGGCACCATATTTTTCCCATTCATATCCACGATACTAGAAAGTATATCTAGTGAATTGTCTCGGCCTGATAATGTGCTACGCACGATAAATTGCTTATTTCGTATAGCATCTGGAAAGTCGCCATAGAATGATACACGGAAATAGTCAGAATAATATCGCTGGTCAGTAATGATATGTTCGAGAAGAGCGGCTTGATGGCGCAAAATCTCTGACAACCGAGCACTAGTAAATCGGGTGAGCTGCATGTATCGAAAATGGTGACCGAAACTAGACGTACTAGTTGAAGGTAACTTCGGCATGCTGCTTTGCCAGTTCCTTGCATATCTCGATCGCGTTTTCATATGCCTTCCCCTTGCCTGTTTAAGGAAATGAGCGATTATCACGGATACCGAAAAAGAACCATCCTTACCTAGGTAATCTAAAATCAATAAGCAGAGCGTCTCTTTACGATGGAATTGTGATTGCTGCGGCAACCCTAGATCTTCCATAGGGTCAACAAAAGTGTGTAGATCCCACTCGTGCAGATCAGAATGTAGCTTCAGTGTAAGAGCAGCTTCCACGTAATTTTGAGATTGGAGATGCATCTACTTTATCATTAACGGGATATGAAAATTTAAGAACTGAGCACATACATTAACTAGCTGGTGGACGTATTTGATGTAAATCTCATCACGTCCAATTCGCCGAATGAAATTCATCAGACGGAGCTGTTCAAGCGCTTCAGTCATGGTAGCCCTAAGTAATGGCACTCTGCTCACCGTAGCAATGACACGGTCATCCGCATACTCGTCACCATCAGGTAGCTGACGCACGCTCAACAGTAGTTTAAGGAAAAGGTCTACCGAATCAAGGAAAAGTGCTACACGTTCCCGGAGCTGCTCGTCAACATCGGAGGTCTCGAAAAGGTGCCTAAGCTGCGCAATGAAGAAAGCACGAGATATGTCGTCGCCTTTACTATCCGACATAAACAAAGAGTCCAGCTTGTTGACAAGCTCATTCTCGATTTGGTCGAAGTTATTGTATTGTTGATATTCGGAAACGATCATACCAAACAGTATTTGAACGGCGTTATTGCGCAGCTGATCATGATGGCTAAGACAGAGATTAACCACATGCCCGACCAGTGGACTTAAAGGAGCTTGATATTCCTGCATAATGAAATTGACAGTTAAGTGGAAGAATGACATTGAGGGTGTCAGCTTACGCCAAAAGTCAGAGCTAATTCCGAATCAGGAGTGGAGTTTTCTGGCCATCCGAGCGCTATCCAAAGACGTAACAAGATATCAGCCCCTTCTCCCCGAATATCGCCACCAAGACGCCACACGGCACGACGTTTCTTAACCATCCATTAGTATAGGAGAATCATGGAAAGCCTTTTTTTAAACGTACCTGCGGACTAAACTCCTCGATAACCAGTTGATCCGAAGACAAAAGTCGGAGGAGCATGTAAAACGCCTCTTTCCATAAGTTGGCATTGAATTTTTGAAATGACAATTTCGATGGTATGAAGTCTCTCTTCAACAGTGTTGCGACAGGATCCATCATTTTGATAAGAACTTTATGCGCTAAGATATTAACGTTGAGCCAACTACCAGGGAAAGCATCGTTCTCCAGTATCGACGCTGAGACCTTGAAGAACTGAGATAGCAAGGATGCAAAGTTGTCTCTACCCTCGATTTCAAAACTAGATTCCAGGAAGTTGTATATATGCTTGGTGGGCGCAGACAAAACCAGCACCAAGAAGACAATGGCGGTTTCACCGAGGCCGGGGTTGAACACAGAGTTATTCTCGCAAAGGAGCGATGCACTTGTAGCATTCCGAGGCGCATTAGGAAGGAGTGCCATTAGCGAAAAGGGATAAGACTCTGGGAATGTAACCGGAACTGTCGCAATGGACATTGTAGGCGACCGAGTACGCTCAACAGCACGATGATTGGCGGGATCCTGGAATTCGCGATACGAGTCTAACAACCTACAGACACATTAGTAAGAGCTCGGAATAATAAAAATTAACATTAACAACTCACCTCGGCATAAGCGTCAAAAGGTATTCGACATTATCTTGTTCCTGGCGTAAAAGATTGCGATCGGCAGTGATAGCAGGGGATACCAGCTGTTGTTGCAGTTTATCTAACATTACCGCCGTAACCGTGACACATAGCCTGATACTTTCCAACCAACTGACGCGTGCAGAATCACGAGCATTGTCCGAATCATTCAGATGAGTTTGTGTGTACTCATCAAACCGACCAAAGTGGGGCTTAATCCAGATAACGACAGCTTCCACTAAAAGTGCACGAGACTGTGGATGGTCAAACAAGAAACTCTTGACGATCTGGAGGTACATGATGAGTTTCCAGATCACAATCTTGCCTTTTCCAGATGAAACTGCTTTGGCAAAGTTGCTTGCTATGGTCACGAGCTCTACGGTGGAGAATACACTGGATAGGTCTGGCAGTATCGACGTGAAGTGTTGAAGGGCAATTGTTTGGGTCCCGATAATGGATAGAGGAGACGATGTGGCCATCATCCGGTTAACCTCGTTAAGATGATTGCGTATCTCACGCTTGAAAGTCGATTCCAAGTATTCCGCTGTAGGCCCGATTCCCATACCAAGTTCTGTGGCTTTCTGTAGTTCGCGAGAGCGTGTAATGAACTTGAAGATATAGTGCCAGACCTTGAGGGCAGCGCGCAACGGCGAGGCAGTATCGTTCCCGGTGGGATTCCGGAGAAGACGGTCCATTGAGTGTATCATGTGAGAGGAGGCTGCTGCACAGTTGAAGTGTTTCTCGATGTAAACATCTAGCACTGGCTGGAAGTTGCTGAAACGGCGGTCTTGGACAATACGCAGTACAGTCACCAGCGCATTGAAAACCAAATGATCTATCTCTCCAGACTGATTGTTATGAGAGACCAAAATCCCAAAAAGCGAATCGAAGATATCACGAAGGAACTTGACGATCTCGCCCTCCCCAACAAAAGTGAACTTGGTCAAAACAGTAGAGAGCAGCTCTGTATTCGTTATCTGTTCCCAATTCAAAAGGCTCAATAGGACGGGGTTTTGTGTGAACTTGGTAGAACATAGAGACGATCGGATGGTGACGGTATCCCGCATGGGAAGTGCTACCCTCTGCAGATCGGGAGGGACATAAACTTGTTCTGGCCTCTGATTTGGGAGCAACCATGGTGTCAAACCAAGATATAAATCTGGTGTTATGTGGCTCAACCGGTCAGCCTTATAAAGAACTAGTGTGTGGCTACCATCTTCGAGAAAGGCTCCCTGGGCTGGGTACAGTGGCTGGAAAGCAAACGCAAACGGTCGATCCACGACCTCTGTCGTTTTCGCGTACAATTTTTCTCTCCCAGTTCTGTGGCGGAAAGTGAAGAACAAATGCCAGTTGGGCACGCCCTGGAGCGGGAGCTGTAGCTTAATGAGTTCTCCAAATGTTGGCTGATTGTTGCGCGTGAAAACTATGGAGTGGAACTGTGTCACTTCGGGTTCACCGCTCCCTTGCGATATGGCTTTCTCGATTGCTCGCCCATCCTGATCCCTGATTTCGATGGTCATTTGCACGTTGTTGTTGTTGACGGGCCCTGGACGCGCAAAGTTTAGATTAGCCATACTAAGGCGTGATGAGCCCGTATGGGTGGATGAGAAATCTCCACTCCATAGTTTAATATAAAGTTCGTTTCGAACATCTCCCGGGAACACGACGTCAGGAAAGCCCAGGCGCAGAGTGAGTGGTATGTCCTGCAATAAAGACATGTTCTCGCGAACAATGGTTGCTGCATCGCCGTGGAAAATCTTGATGGAAACAGCCAGCATTTCAGCCCTATAGATTACACCAGTCAATTGAGGTTTCTTTTTGACAGCTTTATTGCGACAGACCTAGGTGACTTCTCATACTCTTTGGTATTTTTGGCGATGATATCTTGATGTAGCATGGAAAATAGGGCTTCGTTAGTTGGTACGTAAATAGGCATCGTATACTCCTTCGTGGGAGATACATCAACTTGCTCCGACATCATCTTATTAAGCTGCGTAAGTTCTAGGACTGCGCATCCAAACGGACGTCGGAAAAATAAAGGAGGATCGGCCGCGAATCCTCGTGCACTGACTGGGGTCGTCGGGCTCAAGGTCACCTCCTCCCTGATAGAAGCCTCTGAAGTTCGTCTGCCATTATCACCAGGAAGCCCTGAACCCATACTGGTCCCCATCTTCATCGCACCGTTCCTGACAATGCGACATACAAGGAACATCGGATCTTGCGCATCCGAGATGGAAATGTCAGTAAACAGTGTCCGTATACGTGCTGCAGGATCGCGCGCCAGTACTCCATTGTGGTTCAGTATGACACAGCGGTCTTCGGTAACGAATCGGGGATATTCCGAATTTTTGCACAACGAGAAGTATAGCTCTGCAGTCTCGCCTGGCGCACATGGGGACGCGACAAAAGCGCGCAAGTCGAGGAATATGTGGTAAAATTTGGCTGTTGCTTGCCTCTCAGGTTGAGGCGGTGCAAGAGAGCCCATGAGGCGAGAGTTTGTCCTGAGACGCGACAATTCTGGGAAGGCAGAATGCGCAGGTGTAGGTATGGGGGCCGAGGAGTAATCGATCGATGGGCCGAGGTTGTGTCTGGAGGAATTGAGGTGCTCATTGGGAACATTCATATATGCCAATGATGTCTGCATAGCATACATCCTCACAGCACTCATCCAGCTTTGAATGTCGAGCTCGCCCTCGACGTCGACACTCACCAGCGCGCCCCAGCTTGGGTGACGTACAATGATGTCGAGACCTTGTACTACATTCCCACTCACGAGCTGTGCAACACAGTCCCGTCGGAGACTAGCCGTCTCCTCCGAACTAAGCGTCTGCGCAAGGAGCTGCCGCCGCCCAAGGTGGAGGGCTTCTATATGTTCACGCACGGTATGAAAGAGCTTGTAATCGCGCCGGGCAAGGTACTGGAACATTAAGTTGTGCCATTCGCGAAGTGCGGACGCAATCTCATCGATGATGGGCTGACTGCTTCCTGACGCGGTGTCGTCGCCCGATTTGAGAGAAGGGCGTGGAGGAAGTGGTTTTAGTGCTTGAGAGTCATGGGAGGAAGAATGTATGCTTGCAGGGTAGACTGTCAGGCCTGCTCGTGAAGACTTGGCTTGATCGGGAGGAGGGCCGAGTTTGAACGACTTTCTCTCGTCTTCCATGTCTCCCTTGGCTGAGTCGGGGACGGTGGTAGTTCTATCCTGTTTGAGCTGAGGCGACATGTCTGATGGCGTATTTACTAAACCATTCGTGGAGGCAGTATTGGGGGTGAGTGCGGTAGCGAGGTCAGGTAAGCGTCCTTCTGCATCTGAGAGTTCGTCGCGGACGTATATATGAGAGGCGGGGAAGATGCCAATGAAGACCTGTTGGGGCTCTTCCGTTTTGACTGGCGTCTTGTTCGAACATGAAGGGTCAAGTGACGCAGCCCAAGTGACAGGTGGACGACGGGTCGTACAGACGACATATCTGCAGATGTACAAAGCACATAAACAATTCGCAACTGTGCCAAGGTGAAGCAAAAGTAAGGATGAGAACGTACCCTCTGTACCAGATGCCTTCGACCTCTTTCCCGCGTGGAGTATACTTTTCGAAAGCATAGACCTCGTCGCCGACTTCGAGGGAGACGACGTCCCTGTGTACGCCATTCTCGTCGTTGGATGCTTCTGTGACAGTGGAGAGTCTGGTGCGATTGGAGATGCGAGTGTCTCTTCGGGATTGGGACAGGGCATGGACGGCGTAACCGTAGACAATGAGAGGTAATGGTTCCCAGACGCCCTTGCGTTGTCCAGGTGCTGGGCTCGTTGCCATCGCGGATGACTATGGCTTGCACGAGCGATTGTAGATAGCCCAAGAAGATATAACCGAAGGCTCGAAAGTATAGGTACAAAATGTCACTAATGACTGGTGTTAGGTGGGCCTTTCCGGTGCAAAATGAACGAGTACGGAATAGATAGCGAGCGATATTGCGTTGATAGAAAGGTTGAAAGGGAAAAGAAAAGCTCGAAGCTGGACTGACCACGAATGATGACTGTCGACAAGCAAGCAGGCGCGTTTGCAGTTGGAAGTATGAGAAACAGAGGACACTCGTGTAATGATACCTTGGGTAAAGACGCACAAAAAAAAGCGCCTCGGCTTCGCGTCTCCATCAATTGATCATTTTTTACCTCATTTTGGCATTTTTTCTTTCAAAGATCGACGATTCATACCTCGCACAATTAAATTCAAAGATACTTTGTACCCAACATGTAATTATAACATATCATTACCTGGGGTAAGCACCAGCAAAGTGTCTCAGATGCTTCACTGGGTGGACTGGCTGCGTTATCATACAGCAAGTTCCGACGGACTCCATCATGGTTACCATGACTAGGATATCCGCTCCCTTGGATGATTGAATGACAACCAGTCGACGTGCTAATGATTCACCGTGAAAATCCATTTAGGTTCAACGAGACTCGAGCATGAAGCCAATCCCACGAGTATACGACACGTAAACTGTGGGGAAGAACCTTTAGTAATGCACAAACTGAAGACAAAGACTTACCGATTACCAAACCGGGAGCCGAAGTAACGAAACAGACATGGATATCGACGAAGGTGCCACGCACTGACTGGAGGCTTTGCTTCAGGGACAAGAATAGATGGACATTAATCATGTCGCGATGAAAAGTAATTCCGATCATTCACAGCGGCGCCATACAATCACCGGCAGAAAGCCTGGGGGCAGTACTTTTGAAACGCTAGTCGCTGATAGGGATCATGGTAGCATTGTTTGCACGCCAACCAATGTTTTGACATGATCAAAGAACAGGTCGCGAAGAGATAAGATCATGCATGGAGAGCAACATCCTGGAGGAGACCTATAGAATAGCAGAAAGCAGTGCAGGTCAGTTCGCTACATTCGCGGGTACAACAAACAGAGAAGAATCAGAGGGGATGCCCGATGTTAAGCTGTGACGGGCAGTGTCGTCATCATAGATACGAAGACCGTCGTGATAGCGCATATTTTGCTGCAACCCATCAATACTGCATGCTGCCAAGATGTGCTTACCTGGCCAAAGCTATCCCAGCAACAAGGATACATGTCGGTCAATACTGGGAATCCTATCACCTAATATCCTTGTTGCTTCAAATTGATCTTTCGTAGTGACTTTGTTCGTTTGATACCCAAGCCGACGACGATGCAAACCGTGGCATGGTTCAGCTCAAGGGGCAGCCACAGGGTTAGGGTTATTGGCGTTAGGGCAGGTCCACACGCGTACGCGACGTTTCCAGTTTCCAGCCAACCCGCCATCCTTACATTCATCCTTTTGCATGTGTCTGGTTCTATTGAGGGCGTCTTCGGTGGACAATAGCGCAAGAGTACCTGAATCCGTATATAAAGTCATCGCAAACGGCAATAAAACTGAAGAAGCTATCCAGTCAACCCAGGACGACACTGAAAGGACATTCACCTCATAATCAGACCTGTACAGCGCGCATATAGCTAGCATGCCTTCACTTTTAGATCAGATCGACCACCTCACATCGACAGCTAAAGCAATTCGCTCATCTGCATCTTCCATCTCTCCAGGCCAAGGTGTGCTGTTCCCTTTCCGCCTTTAATGCACCAACTCAAACACACCCAGGGCCCTTTACCACCGCCGTCCTTTCCACTCCCCTCGGCAACCTCATCCGTGACATCGACGCATCCGAGTTGGGTCTCTTCACTCTCGTTCCACCCCCAGGCCATCCTATTTCTGATGCTAATACGAAATCAAACCCCAAAGCTAATACGAAGGGTAAACTAGCACGCGTCGAGTTTCCTGGAGCTACTCCCCTGAAACGCCCTCCTAGGAGGGTGGCAGAGAATGTGCCCACGCCTGCGAGGTTGCGGAAGGGCACACATGAGAGAGAAACAGGCAAGGACAAGGTCGTAGCAGATTATGACCCAGAGGTGTACGCACAGGCGGCGTTGAAGTACCTAGATCGCTAGTATGTATCTGCACGGTATTGTTTACTCTCTACGTACTTCTTGTGCTTCTTTCATCAAATTTGTTACCTCCTCTGATTACTAAACTGATCCGGTTTGCGATATCTAGTCAGTCGATCCGCCCAATGCCTCGTGCTCGTGCCGAAGTGACTTCTCTCCTCGAACAACTTGCAGAGACGCGAGAGAGGATCCAAACGCTTACTGATACCCTCCAAAAGGTGCACCTATCTTTTCTTCCCCCCCCCCCCCTTCTTTGACTGACTGATAACGGTAACGAATAATTATCTTGGTACTTTTGTGTAGATAGCAAATGCCGGACTCCCTCCTGCCCATCCACCTTTATCCCAGTCCGCTGCTGAGGAAGAAAAACGCGCACTGGAGCTCCAAGACCGTTTGACAGAGCTTCGCAAACGGGTATGTCCTGATCTTTCTTCTACATTTATAATATATGCTCATATATTGCAGAAAGCGGCCCTCATGCGACCTACGCAAGTTTCTCGCATCTCACCTGTATCTCATTCTCCACCAAAACTGAGTCTTCAAACTCAAAAACTAGGCAACTCGCTCGCTCGTTCACAATCGCAAGACCACGACCAAGAATCCACCTTTTGGACGACTCCCGGACCGGGGCCATCTGCACGCACACTGCGCTTCACGGAGAACCTACTGCATGAACCTGAGCCTGAGACGCATCTCGACTTCGGAGACGTATCGAACGTGTCGTTTTCTAGCCCTGTGCAGGGGGACATATTGTCTAGCATCATCTTTGTTAAAGACCAAGATAAAAGCATTGAAAGGATGGAGGATCAGGAGAATTCGACTTCAAACGACCAGGTTGACCAAGAGTCAATGATGCAGGAATCAGATGCAGAAGAAATCATGGATGACGAGCAGACAGTTGTTCTCCCAAAGGTGCCTCTATCGACTACCACACTGGAAGACGTGCCACGATATGTATCCCAGAACAAGCCTATGGAGGATTCCACAGCGCCGGGTCCGTCATCTAAAGACCCACCTCCCGAGTCTGCGAAGAAGAAGGCAAAAATGCGTATCAATAGCGAGACGGAGCGCATTGTTGTAAGTCGTACAGCTATACAACTAGCATATATGCGGATGCTGCCTCTAAAAAGCTGACTGCTCCATACTAGGCGAAAATATGGTCAACAGTGGCCGAGATCATTATGCCTGGCCATCCATTTGACATTGGTCCAAACGCCACCGTGAACAAACCTCCAAGGGCCAAGGAAACACTGTAAGTTTCATGGCCTGCTCCAGAACAAATGCTAACTGAAATCTGAAGCGCATACCTGCAAACTCTCACCACCCTGACGCCAACCTCAAACCTCGATTCGCCTTCCACTTCTTCACTCTCATCGCATAGTTTGTCCTCACAGACGGATGGCACTCAGACAACTGTACAGCAGATCCTGATCGCACATCTCTTGCTGGCGCTGTTAAGCGCGCCACCAGGATACTCGATGTCACTGGGGAGGCTAAAAGAGGTGGTGGCGGAACGAAGTAGTACGGGTAGTGGAGCGGGTGCTGGTGCAACGAGGGCTTTGTACGGGTGTGTTGCGAAGAAGTTGATCAAGATTCAAAGGGGAAGTGGGGAGCAGGTTGTCAAGTTCGATGTTTGAGCTTGACAAGATTCGTTATGCTCCGTGCTGCCATTGTGAATGATTATCTCTGGGCTAATTTTGGTGATCTTCTCCAGATTGGATGACTGTGCAGTGGCTCTACGCAAGCTTGAAACGATAAGCAAAATGATTAATGCTGTCCTTATCGCTTTCATATTTTGTGACGCAAGTCGAGAATGTCCCATTAGATGGGGACCCCTGCTGTGTCAGTATGATGGATAAGCTAATTTAAGGACCAACTTGAGTTTGCCGGTGAGTAACGATGCTGTTTATAACACTGGCACAGTAATACGGAAACATGGACTTGAACCCTTTGTACTCGTGATTGAAAGATGCAGATAAGTAAGCCAATGAACACCAATGTTTGTTTTATTAGGAGAGAACCGTACAACAATCAAGACTGTCATTATAACTTGTGAGACGGTTCTGTGCTAGGCAAAGTAGACGAATTAGAATACCTGCCTATGTAACTCGCCTCTACGATCACTACTCTCATGAACTCAAAGTATGGAGATGCTTCTGAGGCCCACTCCATAAACTTTAGCGCTATGCACAAGGTTGGGATGGCCATGTCATCATTCAACTTTCTACCCTTGGTATCAATCTAGGAAACCTCGAGAAAGAAGAGGGCGACCGGGCTATTATGCTCACCGCTTTCCAAGGTTGTTGCCAGACCAGCTTGAACACCAGCGTGTTATGGCAGCCTAGGCATAATTTTGTCCAGTATCGTGTAGTTGTTATGCATTAGCATCCATTCCAGGTCTGTCTCCCGGTATTCTTCCCCCAGATTTCGAAGGGATAAAAGTGGACATGAATATATGAGCGCAGTAGTGTGATCGGAGGAATTCTGCTGAAGATCGATTCTTACCGTAAGTGTATTCAACGCTGATCATCCCCAAACAAAGTCTCGAACTCTCGATGACAACACATGACATCACCATACCTCTCTTTCTGTCTCGACGTCATTAGCATGCCAACTTGCCAGCCCGCCTCTCGAGAAGTATAAGTACCAGCCCTCTCCATGTTCTCTTTTCTCATCCTCCCCTTCACCCACATCCTACTCTCTCTCCTGTCTTTTACAGTTTCTTCAGCGTCCAACGTTTAACAACATCAACGCCTTCAGAAACAATGGTTCAACTCAGCCTCCGCTTCGCAGTGCTCCTTGCGCTCTCTCTCGTCGTTGTAGCGTCCCCAGCGCCCCAATTGCCCAACGGGGCTCCATGGGTACAAAACGGTACCCCTGCCGCTTCTGTGAGTCATTCTTGATAGCTCTTGGACTCTTGCCTACTAATATGTTCACTGGTTATTAGCCCGCGCGTTTGGGAGCCAGGAATATGTTTGGTGCCGCAGTTCGTAGATTCGATGACGGGAAGTACCACCCTGACTCCAAGTTTGACGACGGCCAATACCACCCAGGCAAAAAGCATGCAGTGAAATCATCCCAATCATCCCATCGACGTCGCCAAGACACTACCGATGATACCGCAGACAGCACTGACGACTCCACCGACGACTCCACCGACGACGCTGGCGATGATAACACCGATGGTTCTGGTGACGATTCGACCGACGAAGCTACCGCCATGGCACGCCGTCAGACAGACGATGATGCCCCCATTGGTAGTTCCACCGACGGAGCTGCCGACGATTCTACCGATAGTGCTGATGACGGTACTACCGACGACGCCGCTGGTGACGATTCTGCAGACGATGCCGCTGAAGACGATTCTACAGACGATGGCACTACCGACGATTCTACAGACGATGGCACTACCGATGATTCTGCAGACGATAGCACTACCGACGACTCCACCGACGACGCTAGTGACGACTCTACTGACGACGCTACCACCGTGGCACGTCGTCAAGACGCCACTGACAATACTACCGACGACGCTGGCGATGATTCGACCACTGATGATGGCTCTGACGACGCTAGTGACGCTTCTACCGATGATACCACGGATGGGGATGATACCGACGCGGCAACCGCATAGATGGACATTCGCAGCGGAGTATTTTTTTCTTAGGATTGATGTTTGTAACAAACTAGATTGATGCAATTTTCATACAAAGTGAAGGATTAAATAAATGCCTGAACTCGCAAGTGAGTCGTCTGACTTGCAAACTACACACTTACAGTAGATGGGTCCTTTTCAAAATGAGTTTTCCCATTGAAATGGGTGTACAATGATTATGTGACGAACACTTGTTATTATCAAAGGAGTTTGGACAGTATTGCGAACTCACGTACTAAGCTCCTGAGCTGGACATCAAGTTGTGTCAGGCGAATGACGATATAAGAAAACTGAGGAGTGGCGCACACTGTTGTATAATCGCTGTCAAACATGTGGATTGCATGATTGTTTGCCATCGTAACGCTAATGTCTGACTGGAAGTAATCGTAGTTTCCTTTGCAATATATTCTATTTTATGTGTGCTGACATTGTGTCTTTCGTGCATGACATGAGTAATGAGGTAATCTTGCAGAACCATACCAACGACAGCGGTTTGACGATTCCACGTTGTCAAGGATGGTAATTCAGAAATTACATTGATAGATGCTGTATGGCGCACAAGTGTGTTTTCATTACGATGACCATCTAGTCCCTTGCATGTTTGGAAGAGATTGCCAATGGGACCTGTATGACTCGGTTATCGTATTATGTCCATGAGTACTTGGTGATTAAACACAGGAACGCCCGACTCGCTCACCCGGGTGGCTGGCTTGTGCTCATTGAGATCTACAGCCTCGCAAAATGAATTTGCAATGACAGGACTAGAGAGACGATGAGCTGAGGCCGCTTGCGACTATATGAACAGTCCTTCAAAGGGCGACACCTAAAAACACCACGTCAAGTCTGCAGGAGTCCCATAGCCTAGTCGAATAAGGTATTCGTATTCCTCTCATGGTTAGGCTCCTCGGTAAACTCCAAAAATCCAGTGAGAGTCGTTTGCATGGCTAGAAGAGTGCGGAGATGTTACGGTGGTTGTAAACTGGTGGATTGTATTCTTGTCAAAACTTTGGCAAATTGTGCGACAAATGCAAGAGGTAAACAATATTGAGCAAGTCGTTGGCGAATGTTACAGTTATAAGCGCGAATATTCGTGCTTTCATTATGATCGTGAAATTTGAGATTCTTGTGTGTTGGGTGTTTGAAGCTTGACTCGGAAGACTAGAGTCGATACCAAGTCTAAGTTTCCCACGGGAGGACCTTCCCCCGATATCAACTTGAAGCAAGTCCGAGTCAATCCGGGCCTGTCTTTCAGTAACAATATAACGAACAAGGACTCTGATCCACATTAATGATCTATGGGTCGAGAATTCTGAATCCCATGATGATATTGCCTTGAGTCCCTTCTACATACCCGAATTGACTGGTACCGTAGCCTATGCGTTTAAACATCTAGACAGTCAAAACCTAACAGACGATTGCAATTTCTAGATCACCGCTTCCAACCTCGTGTCCAAACGATTTCGAAGTCGATCTTTGCTGGCGGTACGCATGCACATTTCAGCTTCATCGATGTCGGTCCCTTATCCCGCACTCATTCTCGACTATAATTCATACTAGGTGACCTCATGACGTCTCATTGCCGCCAACCCTTCGCTCAAGATTCTCATCTTGGAAGGGGGACAACACACATACAACCAGAATGCACATATCCAGCCGGTGCGCTTCGCCACACATTTTGCTCCGACGAGCACAACTGTGTCATCCTCGCCAATCCCAGCCAAGATGTGGGCGAACGTACAATGTTATTTCCCAGTGGTAGGTGTGTTGGGGGTGGAGTGTGAATTGCGAGCCGTCATAATGTTTCTTGGTACAGAAATAGTCATTATGAGCGCATATATGCATATTGTCACTTTATTGTAGTTGTGGCCTATGCTCGAACTTCGGCGTCTGACTACGATGACTGGGAGGCAGTCCACCAGAACACAGGATGGGGCTCTACAGTACTGATTCCGCTTCTGAAGAAGGTTCACTCCTCCACTAACTTCCTTTTTCTGTGCATCATCCTCTCACTCTTCACAGACAGAGACATAACAGATCAAGGACATCCAACCTACCCACGGATACAGCGAGCCTCTCAAGGTCTCTTGGTAAGGCGCAGTCGAGTGTCGGTAAATAATTCTTGGGTGTAGCAGACTAATACCACAAAGAACGGCGATGTGGATGATGACCACAAATTATCTAGTGTCAATGCATATAGTGTGAGTGAGTTACTTTTTCTGAGTTCCTTTCGAATTGTGTGTAATGATGATAAATTGTTGGTGGAATGCTACAGCCTTCGCCAAAACGAGTCAAGGAAATCCTGTGACTCGTAGCTATTTACCTCAATATATCTCCAGTTAGATTAGTGCGCAAACTGGACCGTGGTCCGACACGGCTCATCATTTCATCTACAATCAACAGAGCAACAAGAATTTTCATGTTCTCACTGGAAAAAAGGTAATACGGGTCATCATTGAGTATGCCAGCTCAATAACTCACATGAAGATAGCCATCACTTACCTTCGCGCATAGGGATAACCGCGCGAGGGGTGTAGAGGACACGAGTGATCTTCTTACCTGTCCCAGCGACGACCAAACCCCTTATTTTGCAAGGGGTCTCGCTTGGTTGTCACATCTGCAGACGCTTTCGGATCCCCATTGATACCGGGGCGCTCTGTGATTGGAGCGCCTGACGTTCCTGGAGAGCAAGTTGTCGATCTTCCTGGAGTGGGCGAGAACTATCAAGGCATGCTTTAATTACTTTATGATAAACAAGATTGTCGTGGGGGGGAGATCGCTAATCTTTAATCCAGATCACCCAGGCTTTTTTGTGCCCTATGTAGCTTCTGATGAAGCCGAAATTCTGGACGCACTGTCAAGTACAAGGAGAGAAAGATGTAGTCGAAAGTAAGTATACAAATATGTCCGTCTGTAAGGAGTGATACTATAGTTGTCCCTATAGCATCATGCACAATGAGAAAACAATGGAGCTGACATAGTTGCGCAGACGTCTGTAATCTTGCTTCATCTGTGCCCTCTCACTTCTCATATGTCATATATAGTGTAGATGCAACTATGAAGCTCCGATCCACTCCCAGCGAGCTCAGGGCCATGCGATCCGAGTTCCAAGAAAGGTGGAATACTACGAGAATAGCCCTGATAAAGCGATCGTGATTATCGCCGAGATAGCTGAGTGAGTTCATGATTCATTTATTTTGTCACTTTGCCTTGTCCCTGACTAGATTAGATTTGCCAGAGATCTATCTCAAATGCCCAAGCGGAACTATACCGCAGCATGTTATTTTACGGTAGGTCTTTAGTATACTTTGCATTCCGATTTGGCTCTGATCGCCTGCCAGTTCTATTCCATCTCAATAGGTCAAATGCACATCGGGCCCGGGGCCTATCCACACATGCAGTAGGGTGGCCTTATTTTTCGTTTCCTCCTGCGGAGTTAATATATTGCTAGTCCTGTTGGCATCGCCACGTTGCGACTGGGCTACAAGAAAACGCGCGAATTGTTCCAACGTATGCTAGCCCTCAGAGGAGAATACGTCTCACTCCATCCCGCTTGTTCAAGCAATAGTCAGGCTTCGTGTGGGGAGGCATCTGGTCCAGTGCATACGATCGCTCCGGAGGCTGCATACAACAAAGAGGACGACGCAGCTATAGATACCTTTCATTGAATTTTCGGTAAGTTTTGGTCGCTCTAACAGCTACTATATATACCGCTCACTAACATAAATGTGTTCCCTCACACCCCGTTCAATGCGGTAGGTCTGAGCACTTGTATCTAATGTACAAAGTAGCTCGGTACTTGTGCAATGAAGCCTCGCGAAAAATGCGGTGCCGTTGACGAACATCTGGATGTACACGGTGTGTAGGGACGAAATTGCAAATTTCACTTAGATTTATCCATCGCCCCTTTAAATGTTGGCGCAGTAAGCCACTCAGCTATTTATTTAGCTTCACGAGTACTGAACAACGTGATTTAGAATTCTTATTCTTATTCTATCGCTTTGGTCATTGGCGAAAAAGCTGTGATGATTGGGGAAGGGTTGAGCCTCACAGGTGTTTGGGGGGGATGCACGACCTGGCACGTAGAGGCTTCTCGTCAAGCTGGCTTAGGTCGCTCATCCTGTTTAAGATCGAAGCAAAGGCGTACGACATTGGATATACTCTACTAGCCGTTTACAGTGGATACGCTGGGTGTTGGTTCTGACACGGCTTTATGGATGGCATTCTTGGTACCTATGCGATCAAGAATCGACGTGCAAATGGAAGTTGGCATTATGACATGGCCTTTTATGTTTCCACTTCGAGGTAACCGAATTGACAAAGATGTCAAGATACCATATCTATGACATAAGTAGGTTCGGTTCTTGTTCGGATACTGAAATAACTTTCGCCGAACCGAGTTGACTGAAGAAGGTCGGTGCGTAAACAATTGTGGCTTATCGCCTTACTTATCATGATCGCGGGACGACTTTTCCACCGCCGACCCCCTCTTTGAAGATACTGATTCAAATTCCAGAGATGCGGCTCCACATTGGCATGAACAGTAAAATGGTCTTCTTCTGGCCTGCGCTCTGAAAGATTGTTGATACATCAACTTCTGCAGTTATGGCATATATTCTGACTCCAAAGTCTTGAGCCCAGTCTTGCGTACGGTGAACTTGTCGATTCTTGTTCCATGACAATGGCTTTTGTAACGGAGACGTACACGTACCAAGTCGAAGACTACCGACGTAATAAGTTGGTGTTCACCGATTGTCAATGTAGGCTTGAGCAACATGAAAGTAAGCTAAACTTTTCATGGGCCAACGTAGATAAACGATAACTCGACACTGATACAACCACCCACAGATTGCGGGTAAAACGAGTCGTAATGGAGTAAGGTTATCTTATTCAATGAGGCGACGATGACTCACTTCCATCTATTGAGACAATCGTGCAGCGAGCGTAGGATATACGGTCGACCTCGTCGCGTAGTTGAGAGTTGTGATGTTTTCTTGAGTTTACCCAGGCTAGACTCGCACCATCTTCTTACTCCAAGACTCCGATGTACGGTGCAGTAGAAGAGCCACGGCAAAGGAGCTATCATGGAAAGGTCAGTTACAAATGTTGACTTTCCTTTTTCACTTTTTTTCTCTCTATAATAGCCCACACCAGCTATCTTGGACCAGGGATCAAAAGAGCCGGGCTCTTGGATTCGAAAACAGATGCGACGGGATACTTTGAAATTAACCCCAACAAGATTGTGATGGTTATTACCTCCGTGCCTGCGCACCCACGCACCTGCTAATAATAATCAAACTCATGGCGAATTTATATGAGCGCCACCATGGAACTAAGTACTTCTCGGCTTCTTACTTCTTAGAATGTTAACAATAACAAGGAATCTACCATATCAAGTACAAACCAAGTCTGGTGACGACTGTATGTAGCGCCAGAATTCATCTTGAAGATTTTACAGCCAGAAGGATAGATACCCCGTCTCTGGTCCAGTCCTGCGGATTCCATAGTACATAGACCGGCTCGGGGGATTAACCCCCTGATTCATTCAGATGGGCAGTTCAACTGTTGTTGGAGAGACCCTCTCAGATATTAGGACGACATAGTAATCAACACTTACCATCGATTTGTGGTCGGTTCATTCCATTTGCAGTCGGCTTTTGCAGTGGCCCGGCCGTGCATTGCAATCAGCATGGCACACCAATGTCGATGCAGTAGGCCAGCATCAAAATCCAACAATGATAATCAGAAATGATGTCGTAGAATACATAAGTACTCGACTCTGATGATGGAGAGAAGATCGTCCCTAGAAATTGAGGATTCATGGGGTGTGAGCGGCGCTATGGAATGAACTACTAGAGTGATGTGACGGGTGGGCGCAATTGCAGGTTCTATGACGAATGTCAAAAGAAGTAATCTGGACATATTAACTGGTCTCGCGTGACCCTTCGTCGCCTGAATTGGATACTAGTACCCATCTCCGGTCAGAATCTGGGTGATAAAAATGAGCTCTCCGTCTCACGGACACGGCATTTGATAGAGGGATAGATAAAAGGGCAGTCAATTGAAATGTCGACCCAAAAGGCCGTGTAGGTACTGTGTAAAGACATGGAAAAGCAAATCTAGGTACCAGGTTCAAAGATTGCCACATATTCTGTGCCAAGATAAACAAGCGCCACTTACCAACCATAACATGCAACATATACACGATATTTCCAGAAAAATCAAGTTTGACAGCAGTTTCCACTCCAGACATTTTAGGGAACGAATCAAAAAATATGAGCCTATCTCCACTTACTAGGAAACCCACCTGGTTTTTTTGACAGTAAAATCAACACTTTCAGGTTTAACACGGCGACCGATGTCGAAGGATCAGTCCGTAAAGAGACCGGCCATTACTAGTAGCGTCCCAATCGTTACGGTAATGCCCTATCACAGCGAGGACCGTCGGTGTTGTGTCGTTTGATTATGCAATTGCAGCTAATGCGAACTTCAACGGCTGTTCGTAGACAGATGGCCCGACAACAAACGAACCGCGCATAATGCATAAGCAACTTGGAGTACTTAGGTGGTGCAGCGGCTGTGTCCGGAAAAACACTGAGCATGTTACTCCGATGGCACGGACTCATCCTGACATAACTCACTACCCATGACTTTAGCCACAGGAACCTGCCAGCATTCGGATTCCCTGTCATGGAGCTTCGGAAACGAACAGCTTACAATTGGGCATGGTCTGTGTCATATTTGGTTGAATGTACGTGTATCATATCAGATATTAGGCGTCCTTTATTCTTAGGGTCTACTGGACGAGGAGTCTTCGTGGGACAATGGAGTCATGATGGGTGAATACTTGTAGTAAGTGCCGAAGAAAAACTTAGAGCAAGGTGACCTTTGCTCACCGCCTTTCTCTTGTGTTTATACAAATTCGTCGAGTCCAATTTCTTCGGTTGCAGTTTTCTCGGCCCTTCGTTCTGACTGCAATTTGCGATGCAAATTCTGGGGAGAGGTGCAACTGTAACATAAGCAAAAGTCATGTCAATTGGTGGATGACGGAGGGAAGAGTGTAGTAGAAATCATGATCCACAGAAGTGCTACTAACCATACCCATTGACCCTACACCGCGGTGTCCCAGCTGGCATAAACATATACATAGTGTAGTGAGTACGCGTACAAATGTTCAAGCTTTGAAGCTCTATCTCTCAATGGCACAGCGAGTCACTCACTACCTTGTAGTCAGTTTATAGTCAGACGTAATAGCACTTCTGCTCACTGGCACTCTGTCGCTGTTCGTGATAGGAACAGACATAACAGTAGTCGGCACGAAGGCCCATCTCATATTCTTAACATGTGCACACGTCACATCACCGACCTTACAAACTTGGTATTAGGCCTTATTATCCGATCAGGGTTTTAACTGAAGACGTTCTTCGAGTTCTAGTGATCACTTCACTTCCATCAACCTCAGCTTCTTGTCGGTCCAAGTTAGTTCTCCTGATGCGGTGCCAGCTGCACCGAAATGAATTTCCACCAGTTCAGCGGAACTTCCGCACTCCTTATGATCTAACGTTATCTCGTCACGCGGCCAGGTATAAGATGGAACACTATTTAGTTGCCATAACCCAACCCACTCCCTACCTCTTTACATCACTGGAATTATGTCTCGCATTTGGGATCTTAGTCGTGCCCGTCAGGACCCACCTGTTGCACCTGATGGTTATTATGACTGGCAAGTTAATGGTGGCGCTAGCTTTTCGGACACGCACCAGCAATCTGCCATCGTCAGCACCGCTAGTAAGGTCTTGACCTTCGTCAAGAAGAGCGAGGACCTCCACCTAGCAAGCCCAGCTAAGCTTGTATGTTTCTAGATTGCGCTAATGGCTTGAGCTATATTGACAACCCTTTTTTAGGTTGCCTTCACCGACAAAGTTGTCAATAGTTCAGCAGAGAACGATCGTTTGGGTGCCGTAAGCTCAGTCTTCTACAATTGGTGAACCCAACCTCACCAGTTTGCAGTTCCAAGACGGCCTAGATGTCCTATCCAAGATTCCAGCAGGTACCAAGATAGGAACAGACTTGGCAAATACGGCTGTTGGCCTTCTCTACAATACGATTCCGCATCCCATAGCTACTTTTGTGGGCAATGAATTCGCATATCGTCAAGCTGACGGAAGTCTCAACAACGTTCACGATGCTAATGTGGGCAAATCCGGTGTTCCATACGCGCGGAGCGTTCAGCCAAAGAAAAGTATTCACCCAAGTGCTCTTCCAGACCCAGAGCTGATATACGAAACCTTGCTAAGAGCAAGAGACGTGAGTGTTCAAGGTGTGACTGTCCTACTTTTGAAGCTGATTTCGGTATCCTTTGATTTTCAGCGTGTGGATCATTTAGGAGGAAATTCTGGTCTGACTTTTGCCTTCGCTTCTCTTGTCACCCATTCACTGTTCAGGACTCGTCGAAATGATATGAACATGAACGATGCGGATTCTTACCTCGACCTCAGTCCTTTGTATGGTGATAGTATGTGATGCCTCTAGTCTTTTCTCTCATATGTTGACCTTTCACTAGACCAAGCTATTCAAGATAGTGTTCGTAACAAGGATGCTGGACGTGGTCTTTTATGGCCAGATACATTTGCAGAAGAACGACTGCTATTTCTCCCACCCCCAGCTAGTGCTCTATTAGTTCTGTTCAGCAGAAACCACAATCATATCGCGGAGACGCTCTTCAAACTCAATGAGAGGAAACGTTGGAGTGATAATCCAACTGACGTTCTTCAACAGGATGAGGAAATCTTCCAGACAGCTCGCCTTGTTAAGTAAGGGATTTTATTTTATTTTTTCAACTTCTCCGATGCTGATTTTGCGCACTAGCTGTGGACACTTCATGGCGATGATCAGTGAGTACTTGCCATTTTTGAGATATCAGTATTTTAATGTCCTTTCAGTGGGCGACTACGTGTCTGGTTTCCTAGGTCTTTCAGAAGGCAATGCCTGGAATATGAATGCCTTTGATGTACGTAGTTTTCATTATTTTCATTTATCATTTTTTTATTTTTTATTTTTACAACGATATCACATGTACTGATATTTATCGTATCAAGCCTATCAAGACGTCGAGTGGTGAAGTTACTCGTGGCCAAGGTAATCATGTTAGCGTGGAGTTCAATTTACTTTATCGCGTCAGTCATTTATTTGTCTCGTATGCTGCACGTTTCAACTCACGTATCATTCAGTGGCACACGACCCTCTCTGCTGCAGATGAAAAATGGACGAATGATTTCCTTGCACAGTCCTTTGGCGGTAGAACTCTGGAGCAGGTCAGACTGATTTCGTAATCCATATTTTTTGACCTGACGAATGTGCGCACACGATTTATTAGGTAACATGGCAAGATTTTGTGAGAGGTTTAGGAGGAGTCATTCAAGGAGCATTAGCGACGCCGCCAAAGGAGCGTGTTTTTGGAGGGTATGTCATTTTCTCCCACAGATATCACTTCACATTATTGACTTCGGAAACAGAATGAGCCGTGGTAAAGATGGGAAATTCCCCGATGACCAATTAGCGCAGATATTCCATGATGCAACAGAGGCACCAGCTGGCCAATACCGTGCTAGGGGGTGCCCTGCAGCCCTGAAATATATCGAAATTCTTGGGATCCAGCAAGGACGACAGTGGGGAGTGTGCACGGTATGTCCTCTCCCTTGCATCCATTGCATGTTATCAGAAGGTTTATCACTGACTTTGTACTTCCAGATGAACGAATTTAGGAAATGGTTGGGCCTTAAGGGTAAGGATGCTGTCAGTATCATTTTAACGAAGAAATATCTGAACCGTATTATTTTCAGAGTTTGAAAGCTTCGAGGAATGGAACCCAGATCCCGTGATTGCCGTGCGTATCCTCTTGTATGTTTTTGTGCATAATTCAACTATCACTGTAGAATGCTGCCCGTCGGCTTTACCAACATATCGACAACCTTGAACTCTATGTCAGTGTGCAAATCGTTTCAAAATTCATGATGTACTGACGTCATTATCAGACTGGCTTGCAATGCGAGCAACATATGCCTCTCAGTGATGGCTTAAGGTTTTCGTGTGGTTATACAGTGAGTGTCATTGATAGTTGAAAAATACGAAGAGGTTTAACATTGTTTCTCCATCAACAGATGACGAGGGCTGTTTTGAGTGATGCTATCGCCTTGATTCGAGGAGATAGGTTCTATACTACAGACTACACACCCCTCGCAATGACTTCATGGGGCTTCCAAGACTGTCAGCGTGATCCTAACAATGGGGGTTGGGGTGGTGCCTGTAAGTTTTATCTCTCTTCAACCATAGCTTTTGTACTGAAATAGTCGTTAGTGCCCAAACTCTTGATGCGACACTTCCCTGCTTACTATCCAAACGACAATGTGTATGGTTAGTGTATTGAAGATATTTGATCTGTACTCCCACACAAACAACTTTTGCTCTGCAGGCATATTCCCATTCTTCACTCCAGAGAAGATGAAGTCCAGTCTTACGAGGCAAGGAATCGCATCGCAATACAAATTCGATCGCCCTATTCCTGCTGTGATTCCAAAGTATATCGACACGTTTGAGGCTATCAACTATGTCTTTAAAGACCCTACGCGTTTCAAGTCTGGATATGACATGTCAGGCCTGGGTCAAGGCTACGGATTCATGTTAGCGATCGATGACCGTACTCAGTCAGTGCTGACCTTGATTGCAAGATTGACTGCTGACTTAGGTGATACAGACATGATAAGGATCGTGCTTTGGTTTGTTCCTTTTATTATAGTTTCAAATCGAATATGAAATTGACCACAACAAATATGACAGGCTCTACACAGCCTATTCCCTGACAAAGACGCGGTCACCAAATATGTCAAGTGGTGGAACGAAACGACAGCGGCGGAAGTTAACAAACAGTCGTGGAAGTGAGCTCCGTTATCTTAAATGCTCCCAGACTTTTTCTCAAACCATTTAGGTATGACTCTGACTACATCCCTGGAAATTACGTGGATATCGTGAATGTTATCAAGACCGTCGGGGTACACTGGGCGGCAGATACATTGGTTTGTCGGATACTACTCATCTTTGTCCAGGCACTAAACAAGCGTATAGTGCGGGATTTCCCTCAAGACGAAAGAGAATCCAAAAGGACAGTATACAGTTCAGGAAGTTTTTGATCTTCTTGCTACACTGGTAGGTTACACTGTTTGTCCTTGTTTAATTGATTATTAACCTTGCTTGTGACAGTTCACGTAGGAATTCTCTTACGACATGATTACTTTTGGCTTCTAAACTATTTTTCACAGGTATTCGTTTGTCGCGCTTGATGACCAGGAACACCTTTGGTCTCTCCGACTGAGGACTATCGATGCTGGTACTACTATTCAAGAGATAGTCCTGAAAAGTCTTTTAGACGTTGCACCAGGGACTGCTCCCGGCAAGGCAAGTAGTCAACTTTAGCACAGACGGAATCCTTCTCATGTCCGTATTACAGCTATTCGTGGTTGGTGTACTTGGCAGGATTAAAAACCTGGTATGGGCCCCAACCGACAAGCCTTATTACGATTTCCTTTCTCGTTTGGGCCAATCTGGACGTCCCTTGAATGAGTTGGTTGCAATGGTCGTTGGTCTTGCTGTTGGATCTTCCGTGAATCTGGCACATGGTAATTCAATACTCGTTCACCCATGAGCAGCACTTATCGACGAGTTACGTGGCAGCTGCAATCAACGTAGTTGATTTCTACCTCGACGAAGAACGGGCAAAGGAGCGTGCTCAGATCATTGCCCTTGTGCAGAAGACCGATGCGACCAGTGACAACTTGCTGCAAGGTTATGTCCGGGAGGCAATGCGTAAGCACTCAATCCTTCGATGTTATTATAACTTGTGTTAATGAGAATTTGGTGCAGGTTTTAATCCACAAGTATGTTTTCATGTACCTTTGGCATGTTTTGGAGGCTCAATGATACTCATGTCCACAGTTTACTGGTCTCTACCGAATTGCGGCAGCCGACGCTGAGGTCCCTATTGACGACAAGCATACTCTCAATATTAAGTCAGGAGATCGTATCTTCGCTAGCTTCCGAAATGCATACATAAATGTAAGTGGTTTTACTTTATTTTTCGATGATCTGCTTAGTCTCTTGCTTACCTACCTAGCCGGTGAACTTCCCGAACCCCGATAAAGTTGACCCTACACGGCCTGCTGCGTCATATAACATGAATGGTTCTGGATTCCATCAATGTGCAGGTGTTTCGCAAGCAGAGAGGGCTGTCGCAGAGGTCCTGAGGGTTGTCTTCAAGTTGAAGAACATTCGCAGGGCAACGGGAGACGCTGGAGTGCTGAACCAGAGCACAAGAACGCCGAATTTCACGCATACGCCACTGAACGTATATCCCAAACCCGATGGCACGTTGTCTGATTGGCCTGTTTCGATGCACCTCGTCGTAAGTATCTTAAATGGTTTCATGCTATACTTTCTCTGATCATGTGGTTGTTTCAGTACGATTCCTGAACATCTTGGCTTTAAGGCAGCAGTGTTGTTTATCTACCTGACAGTCCATGAATTCTTGCGTTGACGATTTTGTCCATCCTGTAACGTACTTGTGCCCTGGATATCTAGCCTCATCTTGAAGTATTCCATACCATAATTGTACTTATACACATTATATATATAACTTTGAACGCCTTTCTGACGGGCTCTTTTGATGTCTTTGTGTCTCCCTGGTTTAGTGGGTCAGGCAGACCGGGAGGAGTGAGGTATGTTAGTATTTTCTCCTATCTGCGCCATGCATTCCGAGACTGCATCGTCAAATGTGTTCCCTCCTCAACTAGCAATAAATAAGTATAAAATTGTGTCATCGAGTAGCATGTAATCAATAACTGCAGTAACCCACTTTTATAAACCGCGACCATGGCATCACTCTGAATCAGCCACCCCGCCGAACATTCTTGGAGATTTGTTTTTTATCACGACCAACGCCTACTATACATATTGAACTGGTACCTTGCAATATTCATTACAGCGCTAAACGCCAAAAATTGCGTACCAGATGGACGAGATACCCCATAAACGGTATGTTTCCTATATAAATCGGGACGTCATTCGTACACCGGCTTCACAGGACCTTGTCGCTGCCGTCGTGTTGGTCTCCCATGCCATATAATTAGCAAGGTGAGCAGCCAGTATGCGGTATCTCTTCAGTTCTTGAATTTCTAAAGAATCCGCTATCATGTCTCCTCAGTCACATAATGAATACGATATTATTTTTGCCGGAGGTATGCTCCATCTTGAAGGGCTCAGACTCGGATATAATGTGTTTTTCATATAGGTGGAACCACGGCTTGTATAGTTGCTGGTCGTCTTGCTGCCGCAGACCCGAACCTAAGGATCCTGATCTTAGAGGCTGGCCCACATACCAAAGATGTTGATAAACATACGCAACCAGCTCGTTACCTGTCGAACATAAAGACGCAGACCAATAGTGAGACGACGTGGTTTCACAAGGCTGAACCCTCTCCTTATCTCGACGGACGCGCGCTCGGCATACACTGTGGACGATGTGTCGGGGGTGGTTCCAATGTTAACTGTGTGTTCATTCTATGCGTGGTGAAATTCCACTAATCCTTCCGACAGTTATGATGTACACTCGAGCTTCTGTGTCGGACTATGATGAATGGGAAAAGAATCATCACAATCCCGGGTGGAGTTCCAAGGATCTAATTCCTTTAATGAAAAAGGTCCGTTATACTAGAAAAGGATCTATTTGAGCCAGCCCTTTACTCTTCAACGTCCCACAGTCCGAGACTTATCAAGTTAAACCTGGCGAACCAACTCACGGATATTCGGGACCGTTGAAAGTCTCTTATGGGGGCCTCTTCACCAATGTTGGAAAACAATGCCTCGAAGCCGCTCTCGGATACGACAAAGGACGTGTTGCGGCAGAAGACAGCAACGACTTGTCGACTTGTAATGCATACAGTGCAAGTTTTTCGATGAATTTTTCACACATGAGCTAGATCTAACCCAAATGGACTGAACAGAGATGGGCGAAGTGAGTTTGCAGTGTAAAAATAAATGAAAAAGAATATTGAATAACAATGGCCTAGATGGATCGATGGAGAAACAGGAAAGCGTTCCGATACAGCACACTGCTACATTTACAACCAAGAAGGCAACAAGAATATGCATGTTCTCGCAGGGAAAGTGGTAAAACGAGTGGTTATAGAGTAAGAATCTCATTTTACCTGTTACATATCATTGCGTTGAAAATCGACGAATAAGGAACGGCCGTGCAGTGGGAGTGGAGTACACTGATGATCTTATCACAAATCCAGATGGTGACCAAATGACTCACCTTGCACGAGCTTCTCGTCTCGTCGTTGTTTCTGGTGGTGCATTTGGCTCTCCGGCGATTCTCGAGAGATCTGGAATAGGTGCCAAGGAAGTCTTATATAAGCACGGCGTAGAGCAAATTGTGAATCTCCCTTGTGTGGGTGAGAACTATCAAGGTGTGTGAACTGTAACGAGCTGCTAGAAAATAAACTTTAGTATTCGGTCTCGTCTCACGTATGAAAATGAACCCACAGATCACCCTGTTACGTTCCCTGTGTTCCTCGCAGGGAATGACGCTCAAACTCTAGACTTGATATATCGCGGCGATGAAGATTCCATCACAAGTGAGTTATCCCCGTTTTTAACCCACCAATTGCTTTATGACTGATGGTGGCCGAGAACACGTAGCTCAATGGAAAAGCAAGGGTAATGGGATTCTTGCTCACAAGTTTGTTTATACATGATTAATGGCTTCACTTGAAATCAAAATTCTTGTTTTATTTTAGTGGATATGATATAGCTATAAAACTCCGACCTAATGCGGCAGAGCTGAAAGAGCTCGGCCCTGGGTTTGAAGCCCGATGGAAAGCGAATTTCGAGGATAAGCCAGATAAGCCAGCTGTCCTCATAGTTCCTTGCTCCGGGTGAGTCTTTGCAACGTTTTGATGCCTTTCCCATTATGAAAAAGGAATGAGGACATCTCATTTTATGTTAATTTGGGTGTAGATTCATCGGGGACCATAGTGACATACCAAAGCGCGAGTATATAGGAGCATGCTATTATATCGTAAGGACTACCCTACCCCTCTCTATTTCTTTTTCAGCTTAAGTGTGTGCTCAGTGCTATCCCTCTTCTATTGGCCGCGTTCACATCGGCTCTGGACAAGACCCCAATGCGCCACCCGAATTTCACTCTGGTTTCCTAGAAGAGTGAGTTTTTATCGTGTTATTCCCGTTTTCCAATCTCATACGATATTGTGTGGCACAGCCCGCGCGACATCGCAGCATTCCGCCTCGCTTACAAGAAAGTGCGTGAGATAGTACGGCGGATCCCTCTTTATCGTGGGGAATACCAGCCTCGACAGCCTGTATTTCCGGAAGGAAGCGCAGCAGCATGTAAGGAGGTTGAGGGACCTGTTCCAATCGATGCTCCCGATATTGTATACACTCCAGAGGATGACAAGGCTATTGAGATGTTCCATCGCCAGATGGCTGGGAGTGCACGTCATTCCGTAAGTAGTATTTGTTTGATGCTTCGAGGCTGTGACATGATGTTTTATTCATTAGCTGGGTACATGTGCGATGAAACCACGGGAAAATGGAGGGGTAGTCGATCCTCGGCTCAATGTGTATGGTGTAGAAAGACTGAAGGTAGTAGGTAAAGCCTCACAATCGCATGTTCTCCTGTTATACGCCACTTATGTCTCCCACTAGATCTATCAATCGTTCCATCTAATATCGCTTCGGTAGGTCGCATCTAACCCATCTCACTCTAATCACTTCGTTTTGGGCTGCTCTGAATTTGTATTCGTGTGCAGAATACCTATTCCACTGCGGTAGTAATTGGAGAAAAGGCTGCTATGCTCATCGCCGAGGACCTGGGGATTAAGGGTGTTTGAAAAGGTGGAATGTCTATGACGCGCTCAAAGGTTACGTAGTTATGCTGTATGTGAACTTGTTAATGTGTATGTTTCTACATTTATGCAAACATTGAAATGAATATTGACGTGATTGCACTCGTTACCTGTCGTGCCTTGATATCAGAGATATATGTTTTTCGTATACAAGTTGTGTGCAGTCCACCATTACTACCTTCCTATTCTGGATTCATTAGCTAAGCTGTCCCCAATCTTGTTCCCATGTCTGAAAAACCACTTTGCCATTCCCTTATACCGAATCGTAAGCCCACAAAATGTCCTTCGAAACTGACTTACACATATTGATATAGGTTTGTACTACATCCAGGATTTGTGATGGGAAGATTTGAATACTTCGAGGGTTTGAGTCCACGGATGACACAGTCACTCCCGTTAGGACTTCGGTTCACTGGGATGTCATAAAATCTTCAACAAAAAGAAGAATTGAGCCAGAGTCCCCTGTTGCAATTATGGACGATAAGAAGGTAACATTCGCAAGATCACACCAAGGCCGAAGTCTATGTGCTATCTTTTTGAGGTCTATGATGGAGAGCTCCCAAGTCTGTTTGATGTTCTTGGAGTGACCACAGTATCGTCGCTTCCCTCATAGTCTGCAATACGCATTCTATTTCTTTTGTGCCAGTGACACTGTCCCAATACCAGGCTACAAATGTCTTCAACATGTTTTGCAGAAGAGCGGCAAAGTCGTCCATACTCTTTTGACTATACTCCCTTGTGTCACTCGGGTTCTCTTGGGGCCTACTATATCTGCCTGTTCTCGAGCCCAAGTCCTGTGCCAGCTTGTAGCATGCCTTCGTCAGCGATCGTTTATCATTGATTCTGCTTCAAGAGAGCGCGAGCTTTAAGCGATCCAGATGTAGACTTTATTCGATGAAGGCTGTAACAAGAATAAGGCGTTGACATATACATGCTATTCGACATTCAATATTCAATGTTGGAATATTATTTGCTCATCGTGGAGACCATTGACACTATACAGCAAAGCTTGGAATTGATCGTGAAAGTGTGGTGTCCGGTCACGAACATGCCCGGTACCGGCTACATAAAAGGAGACTGTTACGTGAAGATAGACCATTCCAAGGTTCAACTAGTTAGATTTGGTATGTGCGACTCTACGGTCTTCCGTACCAGCAGAACCATCCCAGTACCACTTGAACATACTTTGCTTTAATGTTAACGTCCATCATACGTTCTAGGTTCTCTCCAGCCATCATGCAAGCATCAAGAGCTGCTTCGACCCACACCGCGAGTGGTCGTGCTGCACTCCTACAAAAGAATCCGGACGACGTCGTGATTACCTTCGCCAAGCGCACTGCTATGGGGAAGATGAAGAAGGGACAGTTTAAAGACGTGCCAGTCGATGAGATGATGCAGGCTCTCTTCAAGGTGCGTGTGCTCCCTGTCGTTGTAGCTTACATTGATGTTTGACTATCACAATGGGACAGGCAACACTTGAAAAGACGAAGCTCGACCCGTCAAAGATTGAGGATATTTGCGTAGGTGAGTTATTCTCTAAATATCACGTGGAGATTCCTCATTATCATGATAATACTATTCCTACAGGGACATGTCATCCGCCATCCCCCACCTACGTTTCCCGCGCAGCTGCACTTGCTGCTGGCATCCCACACACCGTCCCCATCTCGTCCGTGAACAGACTATGCTCATCAGGGCTCATGGCAATAAAGCATATAGCCCAGGCTATCCAGGCTGGTGAAATCTCCCTCGGTCTTGCTGTAGGTATCGAGAACATGACACTTAAGTACGTCTCATCTTGCTGCACCGTTTCGCCTAACTGAGCTTCTCCTTAAATTCCTTAGTCCACGCCCAACGCCCATCGTCACAGAGGCAGTAGACCAGCATGGTCAGGCTCATGATTGCATTCAGGTAGGTGCGTTTGGTGCTCAACACGCCCGAGTTTGCGTGAGTCTGTCGTAGTCATGTACTGATTAACTGACGCTATCACAGCCCATGGGTTGGACGTCCGAGATGGTAGCTCAGACTTACAACGTCTCTCGCCAAAAGCAGGATGAATATGCTCTGATATCACATACCAGGGCCAGTGAGGTACGGTTATTTATTGCCTATCACCCATTCTCTACACCTCCGTTTTTCATCTGTACTACCGTTACGCCTGGGTACTATACTCACTATGTAATTTTCTCTAGGCTCTCGTTCGTGGAACGTTCGCCTCGGAAATCATCCCCGTTGAGATTAGAGGGGCTGTCATCTCAGTCGACGACACAGTCCGACCAGGTGTTACTCTTTCCTCTCTTGGTGCACTCAAACCCGTCTTCCCAGACTGGGGCGATGCTTCCACAACTGCAGGGAACGCAAGCGGAATCGGCGACGGTGCCGCCATCTGCATGCTTACCACGCGGGAAAGGGCAGAGAGGGAGGGAATGGAGGTGCTGGGGAAATGGGTAGGAGCCTCTGTAGTAGGTCAGTTTGTCTTATTTATCGAGGGAACGGGATGGAGTCTGATGGACAGCTTAGGTGTTGAACCTCGCTATATGGGTATAGGCCCTATCGCTGCTATCCCGAAGGTCCTCGCCCAGCATGGTCTTTCGAAAGAGGACATTGATGTCTATGAGGTGCGTAAGCCACCATCCACCGAAAGGGGGGAAACGTGGACTACATCGTTTATATTGACATGGACTCGCGCGCCAACAGATTAACGAAGCCTTTGCGTCCCAGTTCGCCTACTGCGTCGAGGAATTACAAATCCCAATTGAAAAGATTAACCCAAAGTAAACCGCCTAATGAACTCTTATATTTTTACTTGTCTAACAGATATACTTCTTACACTGCAGTGGTGGCTCTATCGCCCTCACACATCCTCTCGGAATGAGTAAGTCTGATTAGCCTTGCCTTGACTTCCTTCCTTCTGCTTTTACTTGGGGTTTCTCGTCCTCGTCAACTCTGGAGCTGATTTTTGAATTCACAGCCGGTGTTCGACAAGTCGTCACAGGTCTCGCCGAACTCCAAAGGCGCAACGCAAAGTTACTATGCACGAGCATGTGCGTGGGCAGTGGGATGGGAGCCGCAGGCATCTTTGTCAATGAGGCCCAGGGGATCACAGCCAAGTTATAAAAAGACTCGAACAATTCACAATATAGTAGTTATGTATGTTCCGCGTGTCATGGTGTCATGTTTCATAATGTTTTCTGTATGTATACTACTAACCACACAATCACAATTTGGAAGCGATTTGTGATTTGACGGCATCCAGTGCGTTGCTCACGATCTCCGTCATTGCAATAACCGCTTCTTCCTCTAGCGTTCGTCCGATGAGCTGTAGAGAGATGGGCGCGTCCTTGAATGTCTCGGGCTCGTCTAAACCAGGGGTGAAAACGCGAATATATCAACAAACGATTCAAACACAAGAAAAAGCAGCCATGAAGAATGAAACGTACACATTTCATAGTAAACCTTATCAGTGTCGTTGAGGAAAGTCTTCCGCGGTTGCTTGGCATCGATTGCCGTGTCGACGGCCGAGACGGGGAAAATCGAAGCAGTATAGTCCAGTGCGTTCCAAACTGTGGTGTATGCAGTGTAGCTAGAGTAAAAAGGAAAACTCAGATCTGCAGAGTGACAGAGTAGTGGGCAAATGCTAACGTGTTCAATCCGTGAGGTGGTGCAGCATATGGTGCAGCAGGTCCTATGATGGCGTCCACAGGCCTACCTGTGCCCGTCTCTCCAACAGTCGCCTCCCACATATCCATGTACTCCTTCCGCATGTCTCGTCTGCCTTTCTGGATCTGCCAGAGCTTGTACGAGGAGATGCCAGGTTGGTGTGCAGGGCATGATTCTACCGGGGGAAGAGTGGGGGGTCGCATGGAGGTGAAAAGTGGTTCAGAAGAGGGAGTAGTCACGACGGTGAAGTCTTCAAACGAGGCGGAGTGCCACATTCCACGCTGAATTGCTGTAATTGGCTCTCATGTAAAAATGAGGAAAATGTGAGACTCACTGCCGCATCGCAGAGTTCCTTGTGTTTGAGTGGTTTCCAGTTGATCACTACGCATTAGTCAACGTTAGTCGTGACGCTTTTGCGAATAATAAAGAGAAAGAACAGGGATATTTACCTTTATGCCCCGCTTTCAGAAGGGCTGCCTTTACCAACTCTAAACTTCGCGTTATCGGCGGGTGTGGGACGACAGTTCCATCATGCCACATGATAGCAAAACATAGACCCTTTCCCCGTCCGTGGTCAGCGAGCTCATATTCATCCTCGTCCCACTTTTTCCGCGCCGCGAGAGGGTCTTTGAACCATGGCTTCAGCTCGACAACGGCTTTGGTGAAAGCTTTAAGACCTGCGAGGCTGGTGGTGATGGGCCCGAGCACGGAAGGGAGGGAGTCTTGGCCCTCGAGAGAGTTCAGTGCACCAGAATAGGGAATGCGGCCGTAGGAGGGACGAAGGCCGTAAAGGCCACAGAGTGCAGAGGGGATACGAACAGAACTAGGGAAATATGAAGGTAAGGATAGGTGATATAATGATATGGTGCTATGATGGTACAATACGTACCCTCCGATATCAGAGCCCACACCGAGGGGACTTCCCTTGAGCGCGATGAGAGCTCCTTCACCTCCAGATGACCCTCCCGATGTCAATGAGCGGTTATACGGGTTTGTAGTCCTTCCAAAGACATGATTACATGTTTCAGGAAACTGCAATACGTTATGGGTTGAAGTTTCCGGTTGCGGTAGTTGATTTGATGACTCACCATGAGCGTCTGGGGTACGTTCGTTCGCACGTACAGAACTGCGCCGGCTTCCAAGAGGATATCGACGAGGACAGCATTCTTGTCAGCATATTTACCTACCCAGGACGCGTATCCTAAAGTAAAGAAATGCGTACAGTAGACTATTAATTGATAGTCTATATAAGCTTACCCATGACTGTCTCCAAGCCTTCGATAGAAAGTTGATCCTTGAGTGAGATTGGCAGCCCATGGAGAGGCCCAACTGGTGTACCAGTTTTCTTGAGATGCTCATCGAGCTCTGCAGCACGAACAAGGGCGCGGTCGATGAAAATCTCAGTAAGGCAGTTTACCTAAATGTCAAATTAGCGCTGTCGGATAGGACGAAACGCAAAAAAGGGTCAAACTCACGAGTTGGTGAGCGATGATAGCCCTCTTGGAGAATGCTGTAGTGACTGCGACAGCTGACCATTGGCCACTGGCTAGCTTTGGGAGTAGGACATCGATAGTTGCGTTGGTTATCTCGAGCTCGTGAGTGGTTAGCAGGCCACATTTTTCCGGATAAGAAGTCACATTGAGGACCGAGTCAGGAGGCGAGGTAATGAGCCATTCTTTGGGGATGAGTTCTTGTTGGCGTTTTCGTTTGTCGGCTACGAGGTCGGACCAGAGTGGCATTACGAAGCTAGAATTCGGATGAGGCGGTGAGGATGGATGCTGAAAGCGCTATGGACGTTAAGATAAGGATAGCGAAGATATAAGCGGAGGTGCAGCGAACCTTGGCTGGGAATTCGAATGCTTGCATTAGAATTGTATGCCTGGTTTGGCAACGATAAGAACATAGTTCTCATGCATGGCAGGTGTGGCAGCGACGGCCATGGCATATTGATATGAATGCGTTTGGGCGTATCACTATCATTCTCGTGTTCTTGGTCGCTAAAGAAAGATAAGCAAGTCATAAGACTTGAATGCTGAATTCAGTCACGAGAACGCGTGAGGTCACGTTATCGTCACATGGTCACGTCGCTCCCTCCGACGCGTCAATGACCTTTCAAGGATTCTAGCATTTACCACCACAGGCCCTGCAACCGTGATTCTGCATCACAGGCTCTAAATATCGTCCTTATTTTGTGCAATGTCTCTCTGGGTTGACAAAGTATGTTTTGCAGCTGTCGTTCGGTGTCCACATTAACTATTTTCTAGTTCCGTCCAAAAACACTGGACGACTTGCATTACCATGAAGGTCTATCCGCCCGGCTCAAGTCGCTAGTAAGTATTTACCACAATCAAAAGAGTCCTGCATATTCTGAAGTCTAGCTTACTTACTCATAGGCCGCTTCTGGCGATTTTCCCCACATGTTATTCTACGGCCCTTCAGGAGCAGGAAAAAAGACCCGCATAAGCTGTACTCTGAGACAATTGTTTGGAAGTGGCGTCGAAAGGGTGAGTGGGCTACCTTTCTGCTCCCCAGAGACTACGGTAAACGGTCAAGTAGCTGAAAATCGATCAACGAGTGTTTCTATCACCGTCAAAACGGAAACTGGAGATAAATATTGTTCAGAGCAACTACCACATCGAGATTACTCCAAGGTGTGCATTCGTGTCAAATCATACATTTTTTATTAAAAACCACTCGCTCAAAATACAGTGAAGCTGGAAACTATGACAGAGTGGTCATACAAGAACTGCTCAAAGAAATAGCACAGACCCAGCAAGTTGATCTAAACGCAAAACAAAGATTTAAAGGTGACTTCAAACCTCTTCTTCCTTTTTCAATTGTGAATAGTCCCGTCTTATCATACGATTATACAACTCCAACAGTGGTCGTTATCAATGAAGCAGACTCACTTTCTCGAGATGCACAAGCCGCACTTCGTCGTACCATGGAAAAGTACATGTCCAATATGCGGATCATACTATGTGCCAACAGCACGAGCAGACTAATCGCCCCCATAAAAAGTCGGTGTCTGCTGATGCGAGTGGCCGCGCCCACCCCTGAAGAAGTCTGTTCCAAGTTTCACTTCAATGCACTTCGAATTCCGTGGACACTTTTTTAATTTTATTTACTTTTTTAGATGCAAACTGTATTACACCACGTCGCGAAGAAACTCAAATTTGATCTTCCGGACGATGCATCTAAACAGATTGTTGACGATTCAGGAGGCAACCTACGAAAAGCCCTGCTCGTGTTCGAAGCCCTCAAGATGCAATCGTAAGTTCTTTTCACGTACCCAACTAAACACCGTTCACCCAGATATTATGCACAACAGTCCAGATCTCTCAGGCTCCCTCGCGATAGCCAAGCCCGACTGGGAAACATATTGTCATAAGGTCGCTGATCTGATCGTGCAAGAACAGTCCCCTGCTCGGGTAATGGAAGTGCGAGCCAAGTTCTACGAGTTGCTGAGCCACTGTATACCTCCTACTATTGTTCTGAAGGTGAGCACTCCATACCTTCTTTCATGAGGTTGGTTTTTTCTGAGCGGGGATTTCCGCTACGAACCAACTTGAAGACGGTGGCGGAAAGAGTTGTGGAAAGAGTGGACGAGAGCTTAAAAGCTGATATTATGCACTGGGCTGCGTTCTATGTACGTTTTCAGCATGTCGCTACCTTAGTGCTAAACAACAAAACGCATTCAGGAGGGACGCATGAGAATAGGCAACAAAAAGATATATCACCTCGAAGCATGGGTAGTCAAAGTGATGAGTCTGTACAAGGCGAGTTTTTACATGTTAACATACATGTCCACGGTCAATGATCACCATTTTTGTCATATAGCATTTTGTTTATAATTTCGATATGTCGGAATTTGAGTAATGGAAGGGAGCGGTCGAGCTCACTGTAATATCGGTCTAATATGGCGTGTCCCTGCTCCAAGGACCCGGACCCTCGTACAAGTTATGGAAGACGGCCAATAAAGACCTCAAGGCCCTACCTTTAACTTTGTCATTGCAGAAGCTCTGGAGTAACGTGCTCGAGTAAAGCCGCACGAGATTACTGAAAAGTATCGATATCCCAAAACCTGGTTAGTACAGTAGTATAGTATCAGTGTTCTGTCTAATCTCTGTACCTACAAACGTCCGAGGTAAATAGGAAGTATGATATGTACTTCTCATACATCGAATCTCCGAAGCTCGACACCTCTCACACCAGCACTAACTATCCTTCGTTCATCAAATACTACCGTCCCTTTCTCAACTAGCTCTGATTCCTCCATATTGAGACTGATAGGGGAAGCAACCACTGCTCCTCCAGTATCAGATCCTTCAAGATCCCAAACCCAGATGCCTCCGTTTACACCAAGGCTCACACATCTCCCATCTGCGAGGGCGAGAGCACTGACAGGTCCTATGGGACCGTGCAGCGTGCGCACAAAAGATAGCTTGGGTGTATGTGAAACGCCACTAGACGAGGGGAGATGTAAGCGGTAGAGTTGAAGATGTGTTGGAGAGTGATGTGCTGTGGCAATAGTGGAGTGAGCTGTGGGTTGCGGGCTTGTATGAGGGTTGCTAGACGAAGAAGGCGGGGAGGTATGGGGTGTATCTCCTGGTGCGAGTACAACCCATTTTCCGTCTGTCTGTGTGTCTGCGACTTGTGTCACCTTGCGACCCCACTGCTCACGGATCGTTTCAAGCTTTCGCTCGTCGATCCAACCTTGTGGAACGTCAAAAGCCCGCGCGGTCCGAGTTGTGCTGACCTCCAGGGGACCAGACGGTGCTGTAAGCCCTGACGTGGTGGAGTCAAACGGGTGTGACGAACTTGGTGACATAGTGTTAGAGTGCGATATTATAAGTTCGGTAGCACCAACGCTCCAGTGGGCGGGGTAGACTGGTACTGCGTACGCAAGTACGAGTTTATACGTTCCTAAAGTAGGCATGGCGGATAGTACCAACGAACTGGGTGGATGGCTCGTGAACGACGTGAGTGTTTGCACGAGTGAGACACTGTCATTGCTGAGATCATAAATGGTTAGCACGAACGAATCGGAGAGTGTGACGAGAACGGGGTGGTGGTAGGCTGCGTGTGTTATCGGTGCGCTGAGGGAACGGGTAGTGCTGGATGGGACGTATGCGAGCTTTGGAGAAGAGTTAGAGGAGGGCGTGGTGTAATCTAGGTTGAAGACACTAAACTCGCCGGTGGAGAGCAAGGCGACAAGGCGGATGTGGTGAGAGGGGCGGAGGGAAGGTTGACAGGGTTTATTTGGGGGAGATTGGTCGAGTGCGAGAGCTGTGATTCTGGTGAGGGTGTTGTGAAATGTGGATCTGCAGACTAGTTTGTGGGTAGCGACTGCTCCGCCATGAACATATAATGACGGTCGAAGGCAGCTGTCGGACTGAGCTACGATAGTCAGACTTCCTGCTAGTAGTACGTGTGTTTTGTCTGTTCGGGTCCTAGGCAAAGATCGGGGTACTTCTGATGTTTGCGACAGGGCCAAGTCGACTGGAGTGTTCATGTTTTCGACAGAGCAGCGACCTAATTTCGACATGAGATTATACCGAATGGCAAGAGAAGAAGGACAAACCACTTCTCCAGTTAGAGCTTATACGGTACATCCATTTCCAGTCTTTCAGATTGTCGGGTTTTGCTCTTCCAGGTAAAGGCTTGACTTCTCTCCCGTCTGCACGGCCAACAAAACCTCTACCACCTCTCAGTCTGGGGCGCCCGTAGTCTCGAAGGTACAAAGCTTTCCATAGCTGTGTGAAAGCCGACGCCGTGACAATATCGCAATTTTATGCAAATGTTTGTATCCAGCATGGTGCAGTGCATGGTGCAGTAGAGGGGGTATTGATATAGAGAACAATAATCCGGTAAGTTCAACATTCTGCTGCTTGCGTAAAAAAAAAATGAATCAAGTATGTACCTGATTATCGCTCGCAAGCCTCGCCCAATTGCTATTTGTTGCCTGGATCGCGCACAGGTCCGTGCTGCCTAGAAATGAGAATATGGATAGTATGAGTTCGTCGTAGAAGGCATCGTCAAACGTTGTCGAGACCGGTGCTGAAGATGACGACGAGGGCTGTAGAAAATGAGCTCGTTTGAGCGGAGGGACTGGTGCAGACGGAAGACGATGCTTGGACATGGTGGTTACAGTAAAGAGATAACGGGGGGACCACAGGCTTCCCCCGTCCGGACCGGCATCGGCCATAAATGTGGGTATATAGCCAAATATATCTATTTCCTACGTTCAACTATGTAGGAATTACATGGTAATACACTATATAAGGTGATAATGTCCTATATTTGCGAGGTTTGCACAATTAATCGCATAAAAGTACGATGGCGTGGAAACGCACATGCCCCGGTCACCTTGCGGTACTCCGTGTTCAGCTCCGCCTCGTCTCTATCGCTCACATATAATGGCCCCTTCTCGAGGTCCCCAATCTCTCGCTCGTAACCTCCACACAACGCTCGACGGTCATCGGGGACCTGTTCACGTTGTACGATATGCCAAAGGAACCTCAAAATACGTCCTCAGTGGAGGACAGGACCGCACCGTTCGGCTATGGAACCCACAGCTGGGTACACAAATCAAAGTTTTCCAAGCGCACGGATACGAAGTTCTCTCGATAACTGTGTGCGTATATGCGCCTAGGATCTCCCCGGGTGACATGCAAAATGTAACCATAAGTAAGGACGTGAACTAATTCCTTACGTTTGATTCTTGTGGTATCACAGGAGCCATGACAATGCTAAATTTGCATCTTCTGGCGGAGACCGCTCAGTATTTTTATGGGACGTCGCGTCAGGGGTAACGACGAGGAGACTTTCTGGTCATATGGGCAAAGTACACGTCGTCGAGTTCAATGCAGACGCGTCTGTCCTTGCTAGCGGTTAGTTTAGTTGTCGTTGAACTGTTGGCATGCTTAGCTAGCACGATTGATATTGTCATCGATAGGTTCATTTGATGCTACAGTAAGACTATGGGACCTTCGGTATGTTTGCACAAGCAGTTGTCAAGCTATCTGCTCACTTGGTTTGCTACGCCAAAAGCGCTCAACCACGAGCTCCCATTCAAGTCCTCGAAGAAGCTCGAGATGCTGTACAAACCATTCATATCGACTCCACTACTATAATAGCAGGATCCATCGATGGCCACGTCCGTACTTATGACCTCCGCAAAGGCGAGCTTCGGTCTGATTACATTGGTCGTATGTATGCATGGTTTTATTGTCTTAAATCTCATTGAGCTTCTCTTCTTTTGTTCTTGTCGAATAATATAGAGCCTGTCACGTCGGTAGTGCCAACGGCTGATGGGACTACATTACTTGTCACGACGTTAGATTCGCACATTCGACTATTCGACATGCTCACTGGTAAACTGTTAAATGACTTTACTGGCCACAAACACGCCTCATATCGCTGCCGTGCGTGTTTCGGACACGGTGAAGCAAGTGTTGTGTGTGGAGACGAGGATGGGCGTATATGGGCATGGGATTTGGTTGATGTGCGTAAAGTTTCTTTTTCATTCCTAAATTTCTCCCAAGCAATAATGATACTTTGCAGGCAGGAATCCTCCAGCCGAATCCTCCGCCAAAGGTACACGAAAAGGTTATAACATGGACAGAACATCACCCCACTGACCCCAGTGAAATGATTACCGCCAGTGCTGATGGCACAGTCAAGGTATGGCGACATCCTAACTTAAACCCTGATTAGTATCATGCATTCGTCATCGTGTCTTCTGCCTCTTGATAATCCCTTCAAAAATTATTACACCATGGTGGTCATTTTCATGTAGAAATGTGGTTATGCATTTTCTTTTGACTTTCTGGCCCACGCAGTGTCGTGTTTATGAGGAGTCAGTACGATTATAATCACACCTCCCGAGTCGCTCTCGTAAACTTGCCTTCGGTCACCACGCTGTGTATGGAAGGTGGTGTAATTTACTCCGCTCTCCCGGCGCTTCCCCACTCCTTGCTATCACATGCAGACGATGTTTTTTCTCATTCTGGTTGACGCCTTTTTCTCAATGGGACTAGGAAATTGTAATTTTCGCGGTGGGTTAAAAAGGTACGTGATGCTGAACAAATTAGGCCTCTGAGGTATGTGTAACTTGTGCTAGGTACTGGAACTCTCGGTCCTACTCATCTCACAGCTCTTCATTCAAAAGTCGTATCTGTTCTTGAATTGCAGCCTAGCGAGACGAAACTTGGTTATCGAAAATATGTCTCGTACGTCTATTGATCTATTAAGTTCCTGATAATTATTACCGGTCATCAAGGAGTCTCTGGCTCTATATTAGAAACCGAGCAAACAACGAAATTTGCGTTACAGTCGAAATGATCTATAAAGTATAACTCTAATATCAATCTAGTTACTGTTCTCACTCACCGAAAAAAACAGGTGGAAGCTGAGGGAGACGATCCCCAGTTTCCACGGCCAATCAGTTCGTGTTCCCTATGGACTGCCCATTTATATTGCAAACGCAATTTAGCTAAATACTCCCTTTGCATATCCAACTTCACACCCGCCCCACAGATGAACGTCTGCGTACCCCTGCACAAAGCTCGTATGTATCACGGAACTTGAGCGGTCATTGTCTCGGGATCATTAATATCCATAACCTTCTAGGGATAAATTTTTACCACTGAAGTGCTTGATTCAGGGGGTGATGTGGCCGACATACTAGAGAACAGTATCACAGTATGAGTTCGATTGCTCAAGCTCATTGCTGCGCTATATCGCTGCCGTAACAACCTAGCCTTGCATTACATCCCGCGGGTCATAGCAACCGTCCTGAGTCTCTCACCAGATTAAGGTCAGTTACCCTATCGCTCACTTCTGCCAGATTCGCAGCTCACAATTCAGACGTACGGGAAGATCTTGATATAATACCCAAAGGAACTCCAAATTACTCGACTATTTTGGAAAGCTTCATCTATGCTTCAAAAATCAGACTTTTTGTTGAGCAGTGGGTTGACGCAGACGCAGACGCAGAGCTAGCTGTCAAATAATATAGTGGAGTCCTCCAATCATGTCTCCCTGGACATCTACTGCTGCCCGAGCCCTGACTAAAGCGATGATAACGCTCTCGAGGAAGGGGATACCTTTGAATCAGCGTATCATCTTCATCCACATTGGAGCTTGAGAGCACAACACTTAGTGGGTTGTTAAATATTCCTGCCCTGGATTCATCTCTCTCGCTTGATCTTTTGCTTATGTATGGTTTCGTGGTGCACCCGCATCCGCTAGGATGCAAGCGTCCAGAATCGGATAGCGAGTCGATTAAGCAAAGAAAAGAGTCGAAGTCTGTATAAGATGTAGTATGCAATATACAATCAATACATAATTACACAAACGGATGGAGAGGACCGGTCACATCTTCATATATTAAATAAATGAAATTAGAGATGAGTTGTGCCAGGTCTATGAACGCGCCTTTCCAGTAGCTGAACCGAGTCCATTTTCTTGGGAAAAAAGCGTTCCAGATCAAATCGTCTATCGCTGATTGTCTGCGTTGCTTTAATATCGAGCATGGAAATATGTGATGTGACTTCGTTCCTGCCAAGCGATAGGAAAATGGTTTCATCATCAGAATCGCTGTGAGCGGAGGCATATTATTGGAAGTCCCAGATAAGGCGCCCAATTACATGTTCCGTGTTTGAATTGGGTAGGACTGCGATAGGTAGAACCTTTAATTTCACCCCCTAGCATCATCCGAGTGGTTATGGGGGACAACAATGTCCATGGCGCTGAACACCGAGGGGCGTGGTCTTTGCTTGAGGAGTTGACCGCGGACGAGATCCGTTCCCGTACAGGCACCTTCGGCAGTCCTATGTATGACTCATGCTGATCTGATTGAAAATTCTATCAAAGCGACTGACTGGCGCGTTAATATCCAGACCTTCCTCGTCGTTTAAAGATACACCTTCGCAATCGAGGGAGTTCAGGATTGTTAGTATCTGGCAATGAAAACGAAAAACAAACGTCCGCGTTGGCGGGTGTACGAGCCAGTCCAGAAGAATAAATAGTTCCATTAGTCCTATATAGTTATTCACGGTGGGGTCTTGCGATCTCATCTTTTCAGGGGAAGTAGACGACCGTGAGAAGGCACTATGTCGCTATCTGTTGTTTTAGGCTCCCTGAAATTCTCCCCGTTTGTTTTCCTTGGGCGACTACGAACATACCTTTTGACTGATACTATCGTTGGACACCGGATGCAACCGGTAAGAGATATGCACTTGGGCCTCCAGAGGCTCAACGATCACTGCACAGGTAGCTAGAAAATTGTCAGATGTAGAATATAGTATAGAGAATATAATTGTGAAAGAATTTAGTGAATAGCTTATCTGTAGCAACAACGACAGACCCGACACTATGCTCTTAAACTCCAGAAGTGTGAATTTTGAGGGAAAGATGGCCAGATTTGACCAGATCTCGTGCTGGGAATATTGCAATATCTTTCTAGAAAACGTCAATAGGTAGACCCCTACAATGCCAGATACTTACTGAGCTGATTGGGGCCTCAAAGCGTCTGGAGAAACGAAAACAATGATGGAGTCGTGACTAGGCGACCGAAACAGGCAATCACACACCAAGATAATCAATCAAGGACCGCTAGCTCCGCTTCGGTACGTACCGCACATACCACCAGCGTCAGGACTTGGTGTGACCTGGCGGAATTTGACTTGTAAGCTCCGCCTGATTTGGTCTGTGAGTGCCGCTGTGACCCAGTGTGACCAGAAATTGCAGAACCATTCCAAAACATGTGTCGTCTTTTCGGTTTTGTTCCGCTGCTCCAATGCTTCAAGTTCTTGCTTATTTTTCTACATAGACAGCTAGAAAACTAAAAACTATATCTACTGGTCAAGTTCCGACAGTCTAAAGCTCAACGACTGGTGAGTTATTCAACTTCTCCCCAGACCAATTGCACCTATTGTCCAACGATAGTACGGGAGCGCCAAATACAAAAGCGTCAACGATGATGCCGGTCATTTCTGGGCCTATGACGGCGGTTTAATCGGGACGCCCAAGTTCAGCTTCGGTACGGCCTAGAACGAACTCGCTCGGTTGTATATGCGGCCCAAATCGACAGAAATCCATTCACCAAGGTCCCTCAGTCTTTCAATAAGGCCCACGGGTCCAGCTTTTCCCTGTTTTACTCCCACATTTGTTTTTCGCCCCCCTCTTCTATCGAAGACGAACTAGAGTAGTGATGACAGTTCTTCTAATGATTGAAAACAATAAAATAGGAGGCGCAGCTATGGGTTCTCACCTCCTTTACTAATTTATAGAAGTGATACTATATACTTGCACCGTTGTCGACCCTACAGGCGCGTCCAAGTTCCCCGAATTTGATTCCAAACTCTCAATATCAACGAGGTTGTGGTCAAAGCCAGAGACGGCCGAACATAAAAAGGTCAAAACGATTTTGCCAAAATACATGTCATATAACTTACATCGCCATGATTTGAGCCTGGCAAAGGCGACATTTACGTAACGTCGCGTAAGGTCACAGTCATCGTTATTGTGACTGTGACACCACGTCTGGTTAATTAATAGCTCGACACAGCAAACTCGCAGTCAGCAGTGAACACAGCAGTAGTGGAATCTGGTACTGTCGTTGGCTGTGACTGCATCCGCTGATAATGTTTGCGGAGTGCAGAGCTGTCATGAGAATATCAGAAATCTCGATATCCACTTTCCATTCCGACCCTCAGCCGCCACCATAAAAGAAGCGTCTTGAAATCGCTCCTTGTTATCGATCTGGATACTGAGGCACAGGGGGCACAGGGCTATCCTCTGATACCTGGGTAAAACGGGGCCGTCAGGGGCGTGCATTTGTTAGGTCATACCAAAGTACTTTTGTCAAGAAGTCATACACGTGCCACAACGATGAGGGAAAAGTTATTATTATTTATACTAAGACTCATAGCTATAGTATATGTGCTAAGAAGCCAAGATGTAAACATATTTTTTCAAGGTAAATCAAGAACGCTTACATGACTGTCCGTGTGATACGGACGATTCCATGCTTCCTTGGACTCCGATGCAAGCTAAATACTGGTTGAGGCGTAACCTTTGAGAATTCTACCGCATTTGTTAATCACGCATTTGCCCCCTCGGGTTCCTGGAAGTCTGCACCACCATCGTCCAGTTTTGAGGTCGAAGTCTTTTCAAAGAGGAAGGATACGGTTCCCCCCGGGACATCTCTGACAGTCAGCTCCGCTGTTTCCTTCTCCAGTGCCGTGACATTATCTATATCAACAGCTGAGAGGAGCGAATCGAGCCTTGTCTGTTGCTTTATGTATTCTTCGTTCTTGTCCATGTCCTCAGGCTCCAAAGTATAGATGAGCCTGCGGAGGATATCATCACGAATATCATCTCGAGCCAACGAACGCAAACAGTTGACATGTTTCCACTCCCCAAGCGCAGCTAATTCGGCTTTCTTCTTTCTGAGATACTGTGCAGGGCATTTTCAGTCAGTCCCCATTTGTCATTACAGATACGCCTCACCGCCTTATCCATCTTGTCCAACTTCTCTGGTTTGACCTGGGAGGCAGTGACAAAACCCATTTCGGATCCACTATCTTCACCCAGATCGCCAGCTTGTGAACAGTCGATCGTGTTTCTAACTTCCGTGAGAACCTCTTTGTTGCTGGTACCACATGGACATTCGAGAAGATCGTGTGTATTACAAGCTGTGTTTGGATGAATACGGAAAATATCTCGAAGCTGATATTTATTAGGATAGTCCACTAACATGATTGTAACACGACTCACATCTTTTCGAGAAAATGAGTCTGATTTGGACCCTGAAGTTCCCTGTAGATTAATATACTTCAGCTGAACACGACGCATGCTTTGTACCAAATACATACAGAACCCATGAGAGCTGTCATATGCCATTTTATGAGCGTCAAGCAAATAACGATAGCCTAGCTACTTACAATTACTCAGCCCGATCTTAGTCACCTGGCGCTGATAGATTTTTTCTAGAAGTATGGAATCATTAAGTTGTATGAACCACACTAATTGCCGAAGAATACTCGCCATCGATAGTACCTGCCGTGAGGAATCGGTAGATGAAAACTGGGCGCTTTTGACCATCACTGTGATACCCCGCATCACAAAATACATCATGAGATACGGCCCATCATAAGTCCCCTGGAACATACCGATGTATCCTTGCCATAGATTGCAGATCATGACTGGGCACGGATAATCGATGTCAAGTTCGGAAGAATAGATAAGTTGAATCACCTCGGATTCCAATCTGAATCAATCAAGCATAACCTTGAAGCACCGATCAAGTTGAGCCCGACACCACCGGCTTTGGAGCTTAGCAGAAATAGGACTGAATTTATATGGATCGTTTATCTCATCAGTACACAGGCGAGATCCAAGATGATTACTCACAACGACTGTATTGAGATGATTTGTTGAATATGTTCACATATTCCTGCCTCTTGGCTGCAGGCGTTTGTCTGGTTTGGAGATAAGAGATAAATCTGCCATAGGACGAACTGTATTTACCCGTCAAGACGAAAGTATGTATATGATTTCTTCATACAGAACGCTTCGATGATATTCAGGGTAGAAGTGTAATGAGAAACAATTATACATTTTTCGTCCGTATACTGAAAACAACCATCATCCCATGTCTGGCTTACCAAAAAGATAATACGCACCTCTCGAATGGTCTTAAGGAGGTTTGACAACGCCGACAGTTTTCCTCATGGAATGGTCTGAGGACCAACTTAATGAAGAGATAAAGTGACTCACCACTAAGGGAGAAGTCTTCTATTTGTGCGTGCCCAGGAAGTAACTTCAATGCCTCTTCGATTCCACGTTGTTTGAATGAATTATTTCCCAATGCCTTTGCCTTGTCGGCTGTGGCCTTCAGCAGTATGGGGCTATTACTAACTTTCGTTAGTACATTGATCAAGGCAAGTGATTCGGCTGTTGAGCTCTGTATAATATTGTCCAACTTGTCCGCGTTAAGGATGGTAGAGAAGATGGAGAGCTGTAACCGCGTGGGCGTCACGAAGACGACATATTCATCTGTGATACAAAGTTACTAGCAGAGTGGGGAGACAGGCGGATACAACTTACGTTTAGGTGGAAGGTAATTCTTAAGAATTGTAGCTTCACGCCTCAGAACAAAGCTCTTCGCAATGGTAGACAGCTGTTGACCAGTACATGCTCATACCAAGTGATATACATATGATGATAACTACACACCTGTGAAGAGCGAGCTTCTCCGATTTCAGTGTCCTTATCCGTGCAGTCAGGAGCACGGCTTCTGAGGATTGGCACCTCATAGACCCGACGGAACGTTGTATAATCGTCTACATGGATAATCCCGCGGTCTATTATCCGCTCTACGGTATCCTAAAGCCACTTACCGAGGAGTCCAGGATTGCAGAAATCTGCCTGCGCCTTGTCTAGTAAAAAGAATTCCGAGGAGAAAATAAATCTCACCATGGCATGAAATTCGCTCAGATCGTTTTGTATTGGAGTCCCGGAGAGAATAATCCGTCGCGGCGTTCGAAGGGCTCTGAACATAGTTGACGTCTTATTGTTGGCGGACTTTAATCGATGTCCTACGTAGTTATGAAAGACCGCTGGTTACATTATTCATGAATTGAATTTATTTACCTTCATCGCATATAATAAGTCCAATGGGTGGGCTGAAATTGCTTCAGTGGATGACAAAAGTTGCTCAATGAAAGTCACGTACTTGCAGTAAGCCAGGTCAGCACTGCGGCTAGTTCAGTATTTACAGTAAAGGAAATACTAATCACATACATGACCGTCCGCAAACGCTCGTATCCAATAATCAATACCTGGTGAATTCTCCTGTAATGCGCCCTTCGGTTTTTTATCGGCGAAAGCCAAAGTAGTAATTTGACGCACGAATTGATAAATTGTTTGATGACCGCCTTATCTTTGTCCCCTGTAAAGACGCCTACGCGATCCCTACCAAGCCTGTACCATCGCTGTTCATGTGTTACAAAACAAGCAGGCCAAGGAGTATACTGACCATTTATGAAACTCAGCACGCCAGTTCTGGGTTTTCGAGTCATGCAAACATCAGCATATAAACACGAGCATATAAACATCGTATGTCAGAGATGGACTGACATTGACTAAAGAAACTGGGCAGACGATCAAAGCCTTGCCGATAACAGGCCCAACACCCGCATATGGATTTTGTTCTTGACAATATATTTCTATCAGGACCCATGCGTAAAAAGTAAGATATCTCCTCACTCAGAAGAGTCCACACAAGCATAATCGTCTGTTGAACATGTACCTCAGGGAAAATTCTCGGCCGCATGAAAAGCGAAGTATACCTGTAGCGTCTTTCCTAACCCCCTGCAATTGGATCAGCGTGGAAAGAGCGGACCAAGCAAAGAACACGAACATTTCGTCAGCAAGAATACATCCTTGGCCTTCATGTTTCCGCAATCCCATGACGCAATCGTAGAGGAACCTAACGCCTGTTGCAAAATGTTATCATGAAACTTTAGTCAATTTCAAAACGGAAGCACCTTCTACTTGATGGGGTCTCAGGTATCGCGCGATGATAGGATCTAGTACTACCGGGACAATGGGTAGATTCCTGTGAAGCGAATGTATTTTCAGCTACATAGTTAAGGCACTCGACCGCGATGTTAATGAACTTTTTATTATACTTGTTCGAGTGCTCTTTGGTTGGAGCTTTCATAACTATAGCACCCTCAACTTCAGGGTCATGCCTGCAATATTGAATTCATAAGGAGAACATTGATAGGACAAATTCCACATACAACGGCCCTTGCAGTTTCAACTTCTTTGGCGCCTGCCCATAGAATGACGTGGGAGGCACGAAGCCTTTTGAGGGCTCCACATTGGCAATGTCGTCTGATTCATTTTCATTTTTCACGGTCGTATTCGCTACCCGAAATGAGAAGGCAGGATTTGATGAAAGTTGTGAACTTTCCGGAACGTCGTGTTCGGCTTCAGTCACCATAGTTCCGGTAATGGCAGGCATCTGCGAAGCATTTACTTGAGAATCAAGCTCGATCTCTTTCCCACCTGCCCTGAAGCTATAACCACTGTATAACGGGAGACCGTCCCAATCCCTATGGCCAAGGCTGGAGCCCAGGTAAGATATTTGTGGTGAAATAAGAGAGGAAACATTCTTACATTTTTCCGCGGTCAGATATTACAGTCAACTTCTCGCCTGCAAAGCTAACAAATGCATCACCATCCCACGTCTTGTGTTTCTTGGCTTGGGGTTTACGCCTTAAAATATGAGTACGACCACTCTAGTTGAGTAGCAACACTTACCAGTTGGCTGTCCAGTGTGAGCTCTGGCCTTGAGTTTTCGTGGAACTTGACTTTGTAGAGACAAGATCAACAGGATGGAGAGGTATACCTTTCTTGCCAACGAGTGGTGTTTTATACGGAGTACCCAACCCACCAGGCTTTAATGGTGTAAACTGTTTGGAAGGTTTAGACGAGCTCGGTTGGGGCTGTATCGACGATATGACAGCTCCCCGACCAAAGCATGACCCTGAGAAGTAGTCCGCTCGAGATATGGCATGGTCTATCCCAATTTCTTTCCCACCCAAAGTGTATTCTCCTCCCTCCACAGCTTTTGGGGCATTCAGGCTACCAGCACCCATGCTATGACAGAGCCGATCAATGACTTTCGTTTGTAAAGCAAATTAACGCATACAATTTGCCTTCCAAGTCGTACAGTGTGCCCTTTATGCCGTTCAGTACCAGCACAGCATCCCCATCCCAAGTTTTGTGCTTTTTGTACTGGGGTGCTCTCCATTGTATCATCCAATATTCTGGTCCTTTATTGCTAATTCCTTCAGAATTACTGAAATCTACACCACTTTGACGTGCTGGCGAATTTAATTGGCTGCCTTTATCCAAGGCGATTCTTTTTCTGCTGGATGATTCTTGTTCAAACTTGCGTTTTTCTCCTGCCGCTGACGACATATTTGCTGGCATATATGCACTTGAATGATATGCCTCGTGACAGTCAAACGACAGTAGTGGAAAGACGGAGCTAGCTGCCGCGCGACGACTCTGCCAGAAGTTGCGAACCGACAAAGAAATACAAGACGTAAGTAGTGGTGGTCGACGCGACAGGACGCGACTAATAATATCAAGCGCGTCGTCGTATTGCCGGAGGATGCCGATGGATACGTCTCACACACAAACAACATAAATTCAGCCTAGTTTTTAAAGAACCAGCAACATGTCAGTCTCAAACTCGTCAAAACTGGGTACAAACCATCCCTCTAAAATTGACAAAATTTCAGCCTTTCATAAAAATCTATATCTATAAAGTAGCTTAGCCAGGTCGCCGGATAGGCTGAAATTATGCTATTTGTGAGAGTCACCCCTCTCGAGCTCCCGACATGGCTGTTCATGCCCGCGGTGTACCATTACTTAACCCACAGTCAACTGATACCTCCTAAGATTGAACAATACGATAACAATACATTTATACATTGCACACCTACACTTAGACCGATGAAGTGGATGGAACTAAACTAATATTAGTGAACGCCTGCTATGAGCACGCTAGTCCCCGTCCCTCCCCCGAATTGGATACGGCACCAAAAACGATGAAGGGAATGGAACTAAACTAATACTAGTGTACGCCTACTATGAGCACGCTAGTCCCCGCCCCTCCCCCGATATGGATATGGCACCAGAAAGAATTCAAAAGAAAAAAGCAGAAAGAAGCGTGAAAGAAGAAGCATATACTAAAGCACAACAGCATAAAACACAATTCAGACAATAGCACGCATATGGTCAGACAAAAATAGTAATTGCGAAGCTCTACACCTCCTGGTCACTTTAGATTTCACCGAACACAGGTCGACCGTCGATGGCAGTCGCAAAGACTTTCGTGTCGAGGATCTGTCCTACTGGGACAGTCATGATATCCTGTGACAGAACCACATAGTCGGCACGCTTCCCCGGAACCAAAGAACCGACTTCGCTGTCGGTGAAAGATGCATATGCTGCGTCGATCGTCATACCTGAAATGGCGTGAGCATATCTTCCAGAAAAGGATACTCGGAGCTTACCCCTCAGCGCTTCTTGACGAGTCAGCCTTTGATCTGGGAACCTAGAGGGAAGTTTGAGTTGCTGTATAAGTGTATAAGACGTAATTTGACTCCACACTCACCAGCCTGCAGTACCATGAGGAGAGCGCCCATCAAATGATAACCTTGTCACAGCGGAATAGAACCCAGAAAGTGGATTCATGTCCTCGACAGGGAAGTCTGAGCCCAATGCAAGCCTTGCACCATGATTGATCAACGATCGGAAGGCGTAAAGCCCTTTCACACGTTCAGGTCCCTAAGATTGAGATAAGGGGGGAAATTTGGCGCCTACTATGTAACAAGTTTTGATATACTCACAAGACGATCCTCGGCATACCACATATCGCTGATACTGCATCGTATCACGTTGTCAATACCCAGAGAACACGATATTAATATGTAAAGAAAATAACTTACGCATGTGTGGGCTGGATGCTGGCAATTACTACGATAAATTGTCCAATGTCAGTCTATTCAGTTTTGAAAGAAGAAAAATCGTTCCATACCTCCGAGTTTTCCGACACGGGCCATATCAGCTTCCGTCAATATTTGAGCATGTTCTAAACGCGGTCTTAAAGCAGTAACATTGACATTCTTTAGGGTAGATTCAAAGGCATCCAAGACGATGGAATTTGCGCGGTCTCCGATAGCGTGGACATTCTGTACCAAGACCTTATCTTAACTCCTGATCGAAGCAGCAATAGCGCATCTTTACTCACAACTTGCCAACCATCGCTTAAAAACCGAGGGATAACGTCATACAAGACCGCAGGATCCAATCGCATAAACCCATTAGTCTCTGGGTTATCGTGATAAGGTTCGAACAACTGCAAATGCTGATTAAGTGAGACGTTGGGAAAAGATCAGGGAAGGGAATTACCGCAGCGCCGCCCGATCGCAAAGCTCCTGCGAAAGATCGTCATAGGCTATTCAAGAAACAAGATATATAAGTAAAACTTGCCATCCGCGAAAATTTTCACACTGCGCGCGCTGAAACGGCCATTGCTAGCTCCAATGATAGGTTTGGACAAATTCCCCCAGTATGGACCGTTTTCTTCAAAAAACGTCATGCCATAAATACGAATCTATTCGCCATCAGAAGTCACTTGGAGGTTCGATTAACAAGTACTCACAGGCATGTTCCCTGCCGCAACTTGTCTGCATTGTAATAAGTAGCATAAAGTGCCCACGTGAGACTCAGAACATACCTTTTAAAGAAAGCAAGCGAAAGAGGGTTGAGACCTGCATCGTGGACCGAAGTGAGACCATTTGCGAGGGCATCCTTGACCGTGGCTGCAAAGCGTTTAAGGAGATCATCTTCAGTTAGTGGTGGTTTTTGGATCAATTCTTGTGCATTGTCGAGTAAAACACCTGTTTCTCGGCATCAGAAGCGTGTCAGAGAATTTGCTATAATGCAAACCAGTCGGGTTTCTAAATTCATCGCGGACAATCACACCTCCTTCTACTTCATTGGGAAAAGGCAAGCTAGTGTTGAGAACGTGAGGGGAAATCCAGAGTGCATGACCATCTTTGCTCTGTAGAATGATGGAACGTCCTCTGACAATGGGGTCCTTCTCAAAGTCATCCTGTTATTGTAGCTTGATAAGAATGAAAAATCCCTAATAGTCATGCTTGCACCGTACCATGTGTGGCCATTGTTCGACGGGCCAAGACGTGTGATCCCAACCCCAGCCTTCGATGACTCTGGACCTGTCCTTTTGCACATCAGCGTTTTCCAGGATGTACCTCTTGACAAGAGCAACAGTATCTGTTATTTTATGCTATCAAAGAGCGAACACAGATGAAGCCGCCACGAATCAAACCTTTGATGGTTTTGCCTCCTTCCAGTGAGAGCTGGCGACTGGCACCATACTCCAGAATATGAGCATGGGAATCTAAATGTTCATATTAAAAATGCTCCTGATTGGTACGAGACGTTTCGTCAACCCACCACTTAAGCCGGGTAAGACGATAGATCCATCTTTGATGTACCGAATATGCAAAGGTGAACTAGACGCATTAAGGATGCCCCAACGACTCTTTATGTCCTCTGACGTCATAATTCCAAGTTATTGCAGTGCGTATAATTATGTCAAGCGACTCACCCAAGGAGCCCGTATCCATGATGTGCGAATCACTCACCACCATACATTGGACGACAGAATTCGCGTCATCGACAGTGTAGATACCAGAAGCCTCACGTGAACAAAGAGCATACGCTTCGGGTAAGACCGTTGTTCCCGAGTTATGGATGAACCATGCGGCAGACAGTGCGCAAGAGCCTAGCAGAAGGAAAGCACGGAGTCGAAAGGAGGTGGGGGAGGGCGTCGGCGCCTTTTTCTGGACGTGTTCAACCTTTCCGTTGGTCTGAGAAACTTTCCCCTCTGAGCTTTGCCTCTTGCGCAAGTCAGACATTCTCACGAGCCTGTCAAGGGACTGTTCAGAGAGTGGACGGTAGACGAGGTAGAGAGACGCGCACCTGAAACTATGGCAGTAGTAGTAGAAAATTACTGGCAAGAGCTGTGGTCTTTTATATCTGCCGACACGTTTTTTTTTTTGATCGAAGGTTCTGTAAAGGCGGATATTTACATCCATCCTAAATCGTTAGATCTTTTACAGCGCGCCTATGAGGGCGCTTGTTTATGTGTTCTAATGGGAAGAACCATTTGATCATGTAAGTGGGAGGTTTTCCGATTCAGAATATGGTGTGGTACCAATGGTGAGTGTCCCATGCATTCGAAACTCTTTCATGATTGTGAGCGGTGAACGGGGCCCTTGAAGAATAGAGACATGAGTGGTTGCACCAAGCCTTTGCTGGTACGTTAGTAAACCCGATAGTGCCAGCCGTAGTAATCTGACATAACACGCCCGTGGGAATGACACGTTGGCTTGGTGTTACCTGAGCGCCTATTAGCGATAGCAGTGCATCCGGACGTCTTGAAGCTTGAGCGAATGCCCTTGAACGACGTGTTTCGCCAACGGGTGCGGCCTTTGGCATCGTCCTTGGTCGCACACAGAGTTCTTCTGTACTCTCTCATATCCACCTTAGCAATTTCTGCAACAATCACAAATGCCCTCAGGAATCACAGCAACTTTTACTCCGTGGCCATCTATCTTTCTAAGAGCAGTCGCAGTGTTCTGGTAACTTCATGTCCTCATATCACTAGCCTTGCGCCCTTACCAGAATCACAGATACTCGCCAACTATGGCGCATTAATCGCTCTTCTAGGTGGCCGCATCGTGCAACACATATTCTTTGGTGCTCTTCGACCCGCCGAAGTTGAGGTATGTTCTTGGGTCTCCATCTGGCAGCCTCTAATCACGCTTATATCCATGCTCCTCTCATAGCGCCTTTATGACCGCCTTTGGTTCTTCATTACCGAGTCTTTGTTAGCTTTTACGATATTCCGGGACGATTTTGATATTCCTTTTGCCCTCATGTTTGGCTTCCTGCTATTTGTGAAATCGTTCCACTGGCTGGCTTCAGATCGTATCGAATGGGTAAGCTTTCTTCACCATTCTTTAGGATGCCACATAAATCCTGGGCGCAGATGGATCAGCGACCATATCCTGGTCCTTCTACCCTATTCCATATCCGAATGAGCAGCCTTTTCACTATCTTGTGGCTCATCGATATCGTTATGTTACTCTTTGCCGTGGAAAGCACCGTGAGAAATGGTATAGGAGGCATGATTTTGTTTGCGAATGAGGTGCGCACTCCATAACTCTTTTGGGACAGGATTGACCCACCCTCCTTTAGTATGCTATCCTCATGGCTAGCGCCCTCAATATCACTGCCAAGTATACACTTTCTCTCATCGACTTTCGACGAGCCCGACAAAGAGGAGGAGAAAATGCTCCTCCCTGGGAGAATAAGAGCATGTGGATCTTCTACATCGAATTAGCAACTGGTATGGGGTTTTCCTTTATAATGATCCCGGCTGTCATTGATATGTCTTGTGGCAGACTTCTTAAAGTTAGCTACATATCTTCTTTTCTTCCTACTCATCATCACCTTTTACGGACTGCCGCTCAACATTGTTCGCGATGTCTATCTTACCGCGCGTTCGTTCATTACACGACTGCGAGCCCTACACCGATACCAGGCTGCCACTCGTAACATGGATCAGCGCTATCCCGATGCCACTGACGAGGAAATGGCCGCAATGAGCGATCGCACCTGCATAATCTGTAGAGAAGAAATGGTCTTACGCGGACCGCCAGAAAACGGTCCGGGAGGTGTACCCTCGGCTACACCAGGGCCTTCAGATGGGCCTAACACAACTCCGAAAAAACTTCCTTGTGGTCATATCTTCCACTTTTACTGCCTTCGTTCGTGGCTTGAGCGCCAACAAAGTTGCCCTACATGGTTTGCCTATTAGTCTTATCAATTTGGGATATGTGCTAACCTTTTCTATAGTCGTCGGACTGTACTTGACCCTGTGGCCCGCGATCACCGTACAGGTGCTGGGGGTAGAATTCAAGCAGGCGCTGGTCCTCGAGGCCCGAATCCTTTTGGAAATCCAGGTGCCCAGGGCGCTCAGGCTGGTGCTCAGGGAATGAATAATCCCCTCGGAGGCATGCTTGGGCGTTTGTTCGGTAATCAACTGCCTGTCGTTCCAGGACAGTTTGCCAATGGTCCGCTACCCCCAATACCCGCCGGTCAGGGTGGGATTCCGGGACACATGCCAGGTGTCATTATTCAATATAATATTCAATATCAACTCCCACGCGAGGGGCAGGCACATCCTAACTTACCACAGCCTTTCCCTCCACTTGCTGGGTTTTATGGTCCTGGCGGTGTGTGGCGCCCGTGGGGCATGGATCATCGATGGTTCAATCCACAGGACCATAATGCACCTCCTGCACAACCAACGCCAAATACTAATGCAACGCCTACTCCCACTACTCCACACATTCCAGTCAGCACGCCAAATGGCACACTAACTCCGCAGGGTAACACACCGCCTTCAACTGAAGATTCACAGTCTTCAAGTGCCACCGGATCCTCAACCCCGCGAGAGGCGGCTGCTAAAGCGGCCCTGCAACGTTTTGGCGCGCAAGCTGGTACGAGTTCACGAGATGTTTCACAGATCGGGTCTAGTGGGGTGAACAGCACCTCCACAGGTGACCCAAGTTCATCAGTTGCATCTTCTGGTTCTCCCAATTCATCTCCCATATCGGCAGCGGTTCCTCCTTCTGCTGAAGGCTCTACAAACAGTGGAAATGCACGCCTTCAAGTTCCTGGTCTGATTCCACTTGATGAATTTGGCGCTAATCGACCGGAAAGACTAGCTTCTGGCGCCCCATTATTCTCGATGACAGGATCCCATGGCTTGCCTCGTGCTTCACCCCAGTCCCAAGTAGAAGGCCAGGGCCACACTAGCCAAGCGCCTGAGTCAATACCGCAGCTGAATCACGCATCTACCCTAGCTTCTGGTCCACCACTATCTAGCTCCGGAGATGCCCCTGAGAGTTCGCGGACCTCATCATCTGAGTTGCCCACAATCATGACTGATACACAGTTAGCGCTCATGGATCAGCTCACCAGAGAAGCTATAGATGAGAGGCTTCGAATTCTCGAGGGCGTCTCTAGCGCTGTGTCTCGCTGTGTGGAGGATCTCATGCGAGTGAGAAGCACCCTTCCCCAACTCACGTCTACGACATCTGTTGATCCTGGTCCAGTACACTCGGAGTCTGGTGACACATCTACTCCGCTGCAATCTGTACAGGAAGCCTTGGACGAAGCGATTTCTGATGCACGAAAAGTTACAGATAGCGGTCCAAAAATGGACGAATCGTCTCCCAGCCATGGCTCAGGAACTTTTGACTCAAATTCGTCCATTATACACGATCAGAGTCAGGATGTTGCCGAATCGTCGGAGCTCGAGCAAACCCATTAGGATTAATAAACAAATGTCACTTCCTGTGCACGTACTACATAAACCTTGCATTGTATTGATGAATCATGAGTTGATATTTATATATAAATGCAGTATTAAATATATCGATGCGTAATCAACTCGAGTCGAAGGTCATAAGCACCTCTGCTCTACGCTTCACAGCGTCAGTGTCCACCATAGATTTGTCCACCTTCGAATAAAAAGATTTGTAGACTCTGCCGAGATTCTTGCGCGAATCGGTCTGCGAAGGGGGTAGTTCAGCGAGAACCTCTGTCAATATGCTGTCAATGGCGTCTTCAGACAATACCGGGGGCAAAAATGCCGAGATAATGGCTGCCTCATTTTCTTCCTTATCGGCCAAATCTGGGCGTGATGCTTGTATGAACTGAGCGGCAGAATCTTTCTACAGAGGCCGTCAATACAGCAAGTAGACAAATTTGAATTAACAATGAACTTGAGGAAAGCCAAGAAAGGCGTTAGTGGGGGACTTACACGACGAAGAGCAGCTTTCCGCAAAATTGATATTATGGAAGAAGACGGCGCCTTGGGAGGAGAGATCTTATCCGCTGCATAGACTTCTGATAGAATAGACTGCAGGTAGACCAGATTTAATCGCATCATTCACGTTAACGCCCGCCGAAAAAGCTATAGTGAACCGAGACCCACACGTAGTGTAGTTGATGTGACGGTATCCTTATTCTAGTATCGATAGTTGATTTATTCGGCAGATAGTTTGGCCAAAAAATCAACATACCTTCATAGCAGTTTTTACACCTGACAGGAGACGTTGACGGATATCTAAGATCGATAAAATGAAGATGGTCTGACACGAGGCGAAAAAAATGATCTAAATGTGAATACTGACTGACCATCATACCCGGTGGGCGCTGTGGAGAGGAGCCGGCGCCCTATCAAACCCGTTGTGCGTCCACATGTTCTGATAGCGAGATACATTCGGTAAGGTTGGAGTTACCTTGAAAAAAATGAACAATGAAAAGTACTAGTAGACTTGAACTACAAAAAAGTGACGCGACTACGTAAATGCACGCCACGTGCATTTTATAATGACTTAACGTGACCCAGTCTGGTGGCACCATGAGTCAATGACTCAAGTTGACTTGGACCAAATAAGTGCAGACATACCTGGACAGCGCATTTCGATATCTGATCACGTCTATCATTATCATCCTTGTATCCCAGCTGTTTATCATTAGAGCTCTTGGATCACTTCAAACGTACGCCTCATTTCTATGCATGGTGTGGCTATGGAAAGAACATTCTAGGTACTACAAGACTCCTCCGTGACAGGCATATTCACCGCATCTGAACTACGGATAAGCTCCATCCGATAAATTTCAAGGGTAGTGGATACTTGTACCTTTGCGATCTATACGAGAAGTCTTGTTCGCCATATAAGTAGCAGGCTCCGTGCTTTGTACGCATCTGGGCTCCGCTTTTTTTGCAAATTCTGGCTGATGATGGAAGTCTCATCAGAGCATTATGCCTTCGCTGGAAATCGTACCAGAATTTCCGCCTAGTGGAGGATTTACTTCAGCGGTCAAATCTTCCTGCTCACTGCTGCGCCAGAGGGCAAATATATCCGTGAGTACTATCTCTGTTATCATAGTTCCACGGAGAGGGGAACGTCAGAATCGGAGTACACAGTACTTTTTGCATTAATAGAAGCCCGTCCAATGCCTTTCCCTGCCTAGTCTTTTCAGTACCGTGTATAACTTCGCACTCAGTCCAGTCAAAACGGACTATGTGTCTTATTCATTTTCTGTTCATGTGTTTTCACGACTAGTGTTTCACGGCCATATGCTGTCAGAATTTGGGCGTTTCTATTTTCAGGGCATGGACCCCTCTTTCGATGGTCTTATCTTGGCTAACCCGTTGTCCCACTGTAGATCGAACCTGAATCCATCAGGCGCCTTTTGTTTTCCCCCGCTTTTCTAACTTCCTTCCGGCGTGTATCAAAATCTCATGGCCTCGTGTTCCCCCTCAATTTTCCCTCTATACTATCCGAACTAAACTTCCTTTCAATTGTATGTCTCCTCAACTTTGCTTCTGGCTATCGCGTACCTCTGCATTTACAAACGGGGCGGGGAGCATGGGATAACATTCGTGCATTTTCATTTTCTTTGTATCTCACTTCGTCCACGGGAGAAGGCGACCTGCTATCCGCCCGAGGAATGCAGAATATCGGTGAACAAAAAGTTGCAGAATTAATGGGTGTCAATGTTCATGTAGAACGACCTCACGATGAAATCCCCGGTGTCACAGTCGGGGAACTTCGTGGCCCCATCTATGACTTAGTCAAACTTGTCAGTGCGACATTAACGGAGACCGGACAAGTACTTCAGGAAAATGGTTACACAGACTTGGGCAGTTTCGTACTTGAAGCCCTGAAAGACGGCGAAGTTTCTCAGCGTGTCAACGGGACAGGTGCGGGTCTCAATACCACCCTCGAGAAGGTACGTACGACTTGTACTTTTGTGAATACATACAGTTTACATCAACATTGCATCAGCTCGTTCGTGCTATCCCAGCCTTTCGAGATATGGCTGTTGTCGATGGACAACGTGCGTCATCATCCACCCCTTTTTGTCTTTCTCGTTCCAATAATACGTCGATTTTTCTAGCTGTGTATTGCTTTAAGAAGGCTCTATTATTGATTTACGCTGTGACGATTCGATTCGGTGCCGGCCGCTCCCCGACGTTACCTATTCCGGATATATCGCAAACACCCATCTTCACCGATAATGTCATTCCATCTATGCTAGTGCACCTTGGCGTAGTCGATCTGTCAAATGCTTCGCATGCATTGTCTTCAATCTTCCCTGAGGCCAATTCTGCTGAGAAGCTGAACGCGTTACTTGGAGAGGCACCAACAAAAGATGCTTCCGAGGTCAAGTTACCTCCCATCGAAGGTCCGATCTTGATACCTGATCAGGCCTACATCTTACGAGCGGCTGCTGTGGACGCTTGCGAGCTTATTGTGCAATATGCTCGATCGTTGGACCCAACCTTTTTGACAAGCTATCAGGGGAAGGATCTGAGTTGGATCAAAGACATCAAGGTGCCAGATTTGAACACGTGGTTGTGGGCTGGTGCCAAAGACAGGACTGATTATCGCGAACTGGAAAGATTTGTTTTACGGGATACAGCTTTCTTTTGATGGCAACCCCGGTAATTCACGAGTTTCGTATCCGTGTAGGTGAGTGCATGAACTATAGAACGATACCCAGCTGTTTCCCAGCGCTGATGTAAGGTGTGCTAGTCCTATAGAGGCCCAATGGATGTCGATAATTGGATTAAGATTTCTTGTATGTCTGCCGTGTTAGGTATAATTATAGTGATGAAACAGATTGACGTTCATCACTTTGTAGCTCTGATAAGATACATAAGTTACGGTGCCTCGGACTTCTGTGGTGGCAAGCAACCACGACTTTTAGTCAAAGTTTGCTGCGATGCCCATCCAACTTCATGGACCTTGTGACTTTTATCGATTAGGCTAAAATATCCCGGATGCCCATTGGTCCGAGTCACTTGACCATGGAATCGAGCGGAATGTTCTCACTGACTGGTCTTGAGATTTTCAGTCCCTGCAACTGTTCGTCTTCAGCAAGAAATCAATCGCACTCAGAGATTGAAGATGGCCCATCAAGATTTAGGAGTATGAAGTGTCAGTTCAGGCTGTTATCAGATAGATGTGACCTGTCGGTGTAACCGTTGCGTGAGGAACCATCTTTGTTGACTTTTTCCGGATAGTTGCTTGTGAAAACTGTGCCGTGGAGGCAACGTACTAGGGCACGAACCACGTTTGTCGTGATAATGATGAGTCGTGACCAATCAAATGGCTAGATACAGAATATATCTGAGAATTGAGGAATAAATTTGGGAAGGATGCCTCCGTCTGGGGTAACATAACCGGGTCCGTCTACGTCGCCTGGGTGACTGTGTAGGACAGGTGGCAAGACGGCAGTCCCACATAGTATAAAGCTTGCAGCTGCGATGAAGCAACACAAGAGCAAGTTATTACACGTCAGACATCGTTAGCTTTCATCGATTCCATCAGTCATCCGGGTGACATTCCAAATTCCAAAGAAAGCATAAGATGTCGGCCGAAGTTGAAGTTTATTCCACGCCGCCCACCACCCCCAACATCATGACCGAGGCGCCCAGTAGCATTGAGGGGCTACGGCCGTCGCTGTCGAGGAGAAACAGCAAGCCGTCGTCGTTGCGCATAGATCACAGCCAGGCTGCATGGAATGGCGACATCGTGGTAGAGGAGCAATCGCCAGTGCGCTCCAAGACTCCACGGGTGAATGGGCATCGAGAAGAGCATGACCGCGCCTCGTTGCGGCCACCGCCCAATCAGGACAGAACTGCTACAGCTGCCCATTTCTTAGTCCCATCATCATCCAGCTCGCCAACTGACATGGATAACAACGATTCAAGGATGATGCCAATGAAGTCGCCGTGCTTCGTGCATTCCCACCTTGATAAAGGCGCATCGCTATCAGATTGGCTTCATGCGAAACAAACCGAGGTCCCACATCTTGACGCAGACGTAGGCGTAGCAAAATCTCTCCAGCGGCACAATGCACCTCTGCATAGGAAGATACCAGCGCCAGCACTCGAACTGCCTAATCCTGACGGATCAGCCGACATGCTAACCGGGGACGACGACGAGGGATCTTTCGGCGGTAGCTTGACGAAACAGCTCGCAGAAACAGCTGTGGGTGTCAGGGAAATGAGCAAGCAGCTTGGTATGTGTCTTAGACACTCCAAGGGTCCTCCGCTGAGGCTCTTTTCATGATATTCCGTTAGGTCGTGCTCGCATTCGCTCTAACATCCAGCATGTATTGATCGTTACCAAAGCCAGAGACAACAGATTGATCAAGTTGACTCGAGAACTTGCTCTCTATCTCATGCTTAAGCATCGTAATGGTCATCGCGGTCTTGTTGTGTTCGTGGTCTATTCATTTCCGCGCATATATCCCATGCTAACCGGCTATGTATAGTTATGTAGACCATCAGCTTCGTCACTCCAGGCGGTTTGATGCTGATGGCATTGAACGTGATCATCCTGAACTGTTTATACCACTACCCAGACGGCGATCTTCGAGTAGCAATTCGTTATCTTCGTTATCTTCGTCCTCCGCGTCTCAGCCAGACGATTATGTCGGATCCCATGAAGGTCAGTTACGATACTGGACAAGTGAAATGTGCAGTAAAAGTCCGCATCTATTCGATTTCGTCGTTACAGTCAGTGAACCATACTAACCGTTGTTGATACATTGTCCAACTAATTTATCTCTTTCAGTTAGGAGGGGATGGAACCGTTCTTTTCACTTCCTGGTTATTTCAACGCATCGTGCCTCCAGTGTTGCCATTTGCTTTAGGTTCTCTTGGTTTTCTCACTAATTTTGATTTTGCCGATTATCAAGCTGTAATGGACTCTGCCATTGACGCTGGTATTCGCGTGAACCTTCGCATGAGGTTCACATGCACTGTTTATAGAGCTGTTTTTGAGAAGGGCAAAGGTCGGAAAGCAGTCAAGAAAGGTGAAACTGGAGAGATCATGATGAAAAACATGGAGAAAGGAGGGTGGGAGGCTCTAGAGGGTGGCTGGTCCGGAGGTTTCTCTATGCCGGATGGAGAGAAGTCTACCAAGGATAAGGAGATTATGTGCTTCACGACTAGGCCAGTGGAGACATTCGAGGTACTCAATGACCTTGTTGTGGATCGGGGGCCCAGCCCTTACGTCAGTTTGTTGGAACTATTTGGTATGTCTTCCCTATAACACCGAACATGTTCCTTTAACGAAGTTTGCGTGTATAAGGCGACGAGCACCACATGACAACTGTTCAGGCTGATGGGCTCACTGTTTCCACTCCAACAGGGTCAACTGCCTATTCCGTGCGTTGCCTCTCACGCTGCCTATGCCTGGCTTCTAAATTCTATAAATTTGTTTCTAGTTATCCGCTGGCGGTTCTCTCGTTCATCCAGAAATTCCAGCCCTTCTTATAACTCCAATATGTCCTCATACGCTTTCATTCAGGCCCATGCTTCTGCCTGATAGCATGGAGTTGCGCATATGCGTGCCGTATAATTCCCGTAGCACTGCTTGGGCGTCTTTTGATGGCCGTGGTCGTGTCGAGTTGAAACGTAAGTGCAACTCTGATGATCATATAAAACGAGATATAAATCATATGCATTCCCAGAGGGCGACCATATTAAAGTAACGGCATCGAAATATCCGTTCCCCACCGTTTGCGCAGATAAGCAGTCGACGGACTGGTTTCACGCAATTTCCCGGACGCTCAAATGGAATGAACGTGAACGCCAGAAGTCATTTGTTGTTGTTGAGGAAGGGCCATCAAAGAAGAATGTCAAACGCAACGGGTCTTTCAAGAGTAGTTCAGATCACATACCCCCCGAGCAACCCTTAGAGGAGGCCCTAGAAGACGAGGATGAGGATGAAGTTGCGGAAGACGATGATAAATTCGACATCGACGATTCCTCACCTGAGGCTTCAACAAGCAGTGCATCTGTGCATATCCCCAACGAACAGAATATGCGTGACGTTCAGGTTGGAGTAGCGAAAGCTAAAGAGCAGGCACTTGACTCGACGAATGAAGAATTAACCTCTACACCTGAGATGGCTGCCTTAGCTTTAAGTCAAGGCAACAGATTTATGCGCTCTGCGAAATCACGGTCACGGTCGCGATCATCAGGGCTGAGATCTGGGGTCGATACACCTGGTCGATTTGCTGGTCCCACTCACCATCCACCACCCATAAGCGCTCGTCGAGTTGAATTCGTATCACAAATCCCTTCTCCTACATCCTCTCACTCTTCAAATGATTCACTATCGACTATGGACCTCGCTCAGCGGGGTACACGAGATGACATCCATTCTCGCGACCAGTATTTCAGCGCGAAGAGCAGGATTCCGAAAGACAGAGATTTTGATGCGGAGACTATACAGACTCCAACGATGCCCCACTTGTCAGGCGACAGAAGGGGTCACCATCGAGTAAACTCTAAAGACTACGAACACCACCAGCACCGTGCATTCGCTGTTTGGGGCCACGATGAAAGTGATAGCAATGCGAGCGATAGCGACGCATGATAGATGTCGAATTTTTGACGGGCTATCTCGATCAACAGTAATTGTCCAATTATCTTGTCTGTGGTTTTCAAATCTAAGGAAATGTCTAATTGTATCATAATTTTGTACCGGAAAGTTCACCAAGTAGATCTGGATATAGACACTGACACTTTCATTCTTCTGTTCTGTAGTGATTGTACTTGCGGAGAGCAGTATTGAACGCCCGATTACTGAGCGTGTTTCAATCGTGATATATTTCTGTCTTTATTGCATGTACTACATCGATATAGAACCAATAAAGCTCTTGATAAGTGCATAAATGTCTTCCGTCAACGCGTCTGCGTTATTCATACATTGAGGACCAAGAAAACAAGGTGTGTGGGGGGGCTAGAACTAAAGAAAAAATAATATACCACCAAGGGTATTCATATTCATACCCATGCATCAGGGTCTGCAATGTTTTTCCACGGAGAGGGAACTGAACTGGGTGGAGCAGCTAAAGTTTGCTCGCTGTTGTTCAAGTTCAGAGATTCAATGGCAGCAGCATATGAAAGGTCTAAAACATCATGACTCGACGCTGATGTCGAAGACTGAGGAAACTTGGGGAGTGTAAAATCTGAAAAGAACTGAGCCAGAGTATCGTCAAACCGTACAAGAGACGCATACCTTCCCTGTAAGGCCCTACGCGTTCGTCGTCACTTGAATCGTCAACATCAACATCTTCCCTGACCCTTTCTTGATGAGCCTGCTCAATGAGTGGTACAAATTGGCGAACAGCCTCCTCCAAACATTGCCTGACAAAAGAAATTCTAGGACGTTTCCGCCATTCTGCCTGCCAACACATCTCCATCAGGTCCCAAACAATATCGGATAGTCCGAGAGTCAAAGTATCAATCGGCCTTGTAGGCCTTATGCCCAAAGTCACCTTGAATACCACAGCTGCTTCACGGGCTTGTTCGTGAAATGGTACCTTTCCGGAAAACACCTGCTTGTAAAGATATTTACGACGTGGCAAAATGTGTCAGCAAATAATATACTGACCTCATACATAACCATGGAAAAGGCAAAGATATCACTCTCCGCAGATAGAGGTTTATCGAGATCTGATTGCGCGGGATGGAGCATCTCGGGCGCCATCCACCTGATTGAACCGTGCACGGCAGAAGAAGTTGTGATTGCGTTGACAGTGTTCGGATCATAAGTAACGGCAGTGAGACCGAAATCAGACAGGCATGCACGGCAGTCATCGCTGATTAAGATGTTTGCCTGAAAGACACCAGTGAACATCTTCGACCCTACTGAGAGAAGAAAAAGGGCACATACTCCTTTGACGTCGCCATAAAGCACGCCGATTGAATGGAGGTAGAATAGCCCCTTAGAGATGTCAACTAGCTGAAAATATTCAAGACAAAATCAGCAAATTCCGAAGTCATCGCAATTGAACAGGCACACCAAGCCTAGTCTGTTAACTTTTGGATAACGCTTCAGGTAGGTAACTATATTACCGTTCTCCATCCAAGGGCAAACCATACAAAGCGGGAATAGTTTAGTAGATGCGCCAAGAAAAGGAACAATATTAGGATGTGAAAGTGTTTTCCAAAGCACAGCTTCCCGACAAAAAGCCTGAGTATCCAACAAACTCTGAGCCAATATTTTTCTCATAAAGCGCGCGCATATAGTTTACCTTTTTAACTTTACTGAGATTGTCAGAACCATAAACGCGCAGGACCTTCAGTCCCACTGAGCGACCTTTATACCTTCCTAGCCAGATGTCAGCAAAGCCGCCTGACATCTGAGGTACGTCGCTTTGCCGTTCGAGACCATCGCGTATATTACATGATACAGGAAACAGCAACGTCCTACCGCATAGTTTTCGTAAGCAGTGCAAGCACTGAGTATGTATTCGACTCTTTGGTTCGGCATTGTCCATTGCCTAGCCAGAGAATAAGAAATTGGAATGGAAAGTCAGCATGACGGAGAAATAGGCTTGCCTGGTCAAGAAGGTCAATAAAGCCCTGAGCCTCGAGACCTTGTAACTTCATGATCTTTTGAACTTCATCCTTCGATGACAGTGCTACTCTGAGCGCTCCTAAGGTCTCATCAAAGTCTAGATGCTTTTGTGATGCTGGTTGAATGTCGACTATTTGAGATTCGGGTAGACTTCCTATTTTCGAATTGGTGAGTGTTTTGTTTGCTGTGTGGGTTGATGCGGATGTGTCCTGCAAAGTCTATTCCACAAAGTATGACTACTTGTGTATAGTAGTAAAAAAGCAAATGCTATTTCATACCAGGTCCCTGACACTTTCTGGGATGAATTGGAAAAGCCTCTTCAGTGTATCCCTGATGTCTTTCCATTTTGCTAGGAGCGATGCAAGATCCAAAGACGACCACTGTATAAAATGTCCAAGTACTTTCGAAAAATACCTATATTTACGCTTTTGTCAGACACACAAAATAAATAGTTGATAGGCTTCCCCCCCTCACAAGCCTTCTGGAGCATGCTTGAAACAATCAAATTGCAAGTCCAGTGAATACCGCGCGAACGGTTCAATGACAGACAAGAGTCGCGCTGATGTTTTCTGCAGATAATGATCATCCATGTCATTGTTTATTTCAAAAGGAACAAAATACCTGATATATCTGTAATTTCTTCTGCGGTTCTTGCATTCGGATATAAACTCTGTATAGCCAGAGATTGTCGTTATGATTGCCACATGGTAATGCGCTACTATCCCATCCGTCGCGCACCTGGGGCACAATGGTGCCCTCTCCTTTCCAGTTGGTGAGCTCCGATAACGAATATGAGTCTGTTAGTACTGGGTTTTGAGACGGGCTGCTGTCCTCGAGCCATTGATCACGATGCAGTACCAAACCAGACATGACGATGACAAGAAAGGGCTTCCTTCAATTGACCGTCGATGGAAAGCATCTTATAAGTATGGCTGGGCGTCAACGTTTCGAAGTCACAGTATTCAGATTCAAAATGGCGATGCTATCCAAGACAATGATCATAGCAACGGATCCAAATTGCTGACCTTAACCATAGATTAGGTGCCAAATTTTGGTATCGTTTGTTGCTTATTGTGACTACATGAGCGCTGAATCCTGTAACTCGATTTTCTTTTCTTTAACTAGTCTTCACGATTACGAGGTAAGTAATCCATGAAATGACCTCCCTATGATAGTATTTCCATTTATCACCCAGGCAATCCATTCCGAGCTTCAGGTCATTGTACAACTCTGGCAGCACGATTTTGCATTGGTCTTGGATTGTATCACCACTAGTACTGAGCGCGCATCACGATGCAAGCGGAGGATGAGGTCTTAGAATATCAGCCCGTGAACGAAGAGACATTCCATCCGTTTTTCTCATCTCCCGATGGAGACGTTATTCTAGGTGCCAAAGACCGAAGTCTGTTCCGCGTTCATTCTTACACTTTGAAAACAACGTCTGGCTGGTTTCGCTCTTTGTTTTCAATGCCTCAAAGAAACGCATCCACAAATCCAGAAGTAATACATCTCGACGAAGACACCGATACCCTTGAAAAGATTCTTCGCATGATTTGTGGACTACCTATAATACCTCTAAGTTCTTATGACGAAGTCGACGCTTTACTATTCGCGGCCGAGAAATACGATATGCCAGGCCCAATGTCGCTCGTCCGTATTTTTGTTATGACACCTCCCCTCCTTGACCAGCCACTTCGCCTCTACGCTGTAGCCAGCCGCTATGGATGGGAAAGTGAGACAAAGCACGCCTCGACTCAGACGCTGACCATCAATGTCCACGCCCTTGAATACCGCTCTATTCTACGCAAACTCGGAACAGATGCTATCCTTGATCTGTTCCAGCTACACCGTGATCGACGCGAAGGAATTCGGCAACGCCTTGATCAGCATCCTTTCGTGGGAGGATCAGCCGCGAACGTGGCTCATTGTCCTAGGTGCAGGCGCCAGATCGATCACCATACTTGGAGAGAGTTAAAATACAGAGTGATTCTGGAAATGGATGTTCGACCTCTGGGCGATACCGTCATTAATCATGGGTTGACAGAGTGGGCAGAGGCTCGAGCCTGCTGGGAAGCCAAGTGCCCCAACCCAGACTGTATGTGTGTTTTGTACGACAAGGGAGAGACTTTGCGCCTGATTCGCGAATGTATTGATGGGTTACCGAGTACGATATAACTATATTTATGGTGAGTACTGATTTTCAGTGGCTTCGGTAGTTGACTGGATACTAACAAAACGTCACACTTATTCCTGGGATCAAAGGGAGTGGATATTATCGGCTGATTCAATGTAAGTGGTCTATATACGAGCGAAGATTATGTATCTACTAGCCCATCGTCGAGTAATATATAACTTTGCAATAAATCACGTGACCAAACGCCACTTCGTTTCGTTTCGTTTTGCTTTCAGATTCAAACCAAATCATTAGTGTCTTAGTCTTTCCTTTAATCTTCAGCGTCTCGACTACACTTATACCCATTACTCTCAAATATGCCTGCAACACGTTCATCCAGCAGGCAGCCCCAGTCTGCGGTGCTTCCGTACATAAATATGAAGAAACGCCCTGTAGCAACTACTACCAGCCACCCCGACATCATTATTGTATCCTCAGACGACGACGAACCTCTTGCCAAGAGAGCTGGCCCCTCCAAGAAGTCGTACACCGACAAGTCACGCAAGACTAAGAGCAAAAAACCACTCCCTGTGATTGACCCCGACGACATTGTGGAACTGACCTCGGGCGACGAGCAGACCCCTCCGAAGAAGCCTGCCCAGCCTGCAGACAAGCAGATCGTGAGGCTGCAGAAAGAAATAAGGAAGCTAAAGCAGGTGTGTGGTTTAACCATCCGTTTGTGTTCTACTTTCCGAAACTAACGTGTCACTCAGTCTAACGCAGAGTATCAGAGAGACCTGTCCCGTGTCAGCCAAACTTCGGCTGTGACAAAGAAAGAACGGAAATTTATTGTTAGTTTTTAATACATAACCGTACAAACCGACCAACTAAAACAATCTTAAAGGACGTTAACAAACTCGAAGATAGCATCTCCTGTGAAGTTTGCACCCTTAAGATGTGGACCCCTTATATGTAAATATGCTTTATTATCTTCTTATTCTTTCTCAGGACTGATTTTGTTTTAGTCTCTCCGAATGTGGTCACTCATTTTGTCAATCCTGTCTACAGGATTGGTTCAGCGCGACATTCACGCACCACATGGCTGTCCATCCCAATTTTATTCAAGGTCAGACGATCCCTCACCAAGCGCGAGCGCTTTTACTGCATCCCAGCATTCTATTCGATGCAAAGTTACAGCAACAAGTGCAATTGATGCTCGCGCAATATCAATCACTCCAACCACCATACACCTGCCCAAAGTGTCGTCACGGCGTTTATACGAGGCCTGTGGAGGACTTCAAACTGAAGGCTATAGTACAGCAAATGGCTGAAGCTTTGGGAGAGTTGAGTCCTCGAAAAGAAGTTTGTAGATCAAAAGGCTCGCGCAACGAAGGACCATTCGATGGATTTTTCCCCCACACAGTCATACAATCGATCCGTTAAATTATTTACAGTTCGAACGATTCCGTTATTCTGGATATCTACCAAGAATCTCCACCACGAGATGTCTAATTTCCTCTCCAATTACCAGCGAAACCTAACCTACACACACCAGCGTTCTTTGTTTTGCTACAGTTCTCCGCTGTAATTCGAAACCACGACATTGTATTAGGAGCTACAAGTTTAAATACACATTACACCAGTCTTCATCGTTTTTTTGTTTTAGCTTTGGTTGTGGCTGTCTTGACTTTGGCTTTTTTCATGCGTGAAGTATTGGGCAACGGACCCTCTATAATCTCGACCTCATCATCAGTTGAAACCTTCCGTTTGTGGGATATCTTGACGATTGAGCTCGAAGTACCAGCACTGTCCACTTCGATGGACTCACTCATTGTGGATGTGGAGGCGCGGTGATAAGACAGCTGCCCAGGACTTTGTCGCAGTGAACCATGAGCAGAACCACGAGATTTGACTGATGAGGCGGGAGAAGTCCTACGTGATGGCGCCCTTCCCTGCGTCGCGAATACATGCAGTGCCCCGACCTCGTCCCCCTCCTCTCCTTTGAAAACATTCCCACTGGCTTTAAGTTCCCGTTGGAACTCTAAGCGGCTTTCCCTCCAGTCTCGTCGATATATGCTCTCCGACGACACATTATCCTCGAACAATCGAATGTCACTTTCTGTACGCGGCTCCTCTACAACCCCGGAGCTGCGGATAATACGTCCACCTGCGTGGCGCGCAGCGAAGAGTTCGAGCGAGAGCGAGGCAGAGTTTTTCACCTGTTCCTCCCTCTCCTTGTGTTCTTCGTCGGAGTTCATAGGTGCAGCAGGTTCACCTAAATTTTCGGTCCATTCCCAGGGTCTATTTAAGACAGGTGACCCGTGAACAAGGTGGCCAGAGGGGTCACGATAGGCGTTCGAAAGGTTGATCACGACTGGATTGGCCGGGAGTTGTGGGAGTAAGGTGCAAAGTTGTTGTCGGTACTCAATAGGTATGTCGTGTGATAAATCAGACTCGGTAAGATTGGGATAATATCTAAAATAATCGAGAGTTCCACTTTTCGCTTGCGTTGAGAGCTCTAGATGCATGCATTAGGTGAGTCTTGAGAGTTGACCGATCAGAGTCATGAGACCTACCGTCGATGAGATAAAACAAAGTATCCAATAGTAAAGGATACGCTACAAGACCAAAAAATGGACCTGAGGCATGAAGCTGTGGTTTATGGTAAATATTTGTTTGATTAAAGGGACAAAGAGCTGCCTACCAAGACAAGGCGAAATAAAGTTGTACATAAATTACTTGCAGCTTCTCGAAACTTCGAGGTCCACATCCCGGCAAAACCAAGATCAAATTGCAAGAGACGAGCGAGAAAAACCAGTGTATGAGTTGCTTGTGATGCCGTCTCTGAGTCGTCCGCTGCGCTAGTCAACAATGATTCCACAGTGTTAAACATTCCATATATAACAGTGACCAGCATTTCTTGCGTTGGAATATCGACCTGTAGATGTGCGAATCGAGCGGCCTCCCGTAGTGGCTCAGCAACATGCGATAGAACTCGAACCACTTCGCCAGCTCTTTCAACACGGTCTAACAGGACGGCGGATTGAGCTGGCTGAGGGATATTGCTGAAGACTTCGATGATGTATTGAAAACCGTTGTTTATGAACTAGGTAGGTTGTATGGGAATAACGCCCGCATATATCAATTTGAGGACTTGCCTTAACAGCGACTGGTCCGTCAACACCTTTTGCCATTTCAGCAATAAAGTAAGCTTCTTCAGAAGTCATAGAGTGATGGAACAGTGTTGATGTCATCTTGTCGAGAGACTCGCCTGCCGCATTACTAGTCAGCTCATTACCTAGTGCACGCCCTAGTTGTCTAAGAGCAAACTGCATTTGGATGGCAGTCGCAGCGAGCCTCCAAGGACTTAGCACCGTAGACATATCGCGACTAAGAAAAGAGTGGACATTTGAACCTCCTATTGTTCGTCAGTAGTCGAGTTCCCAAAAAAAAAAAAGGCTACAGCGATAACGAACCTGAACTCAAATCGCTCAAGATCAACTTGAGAGCATTCACCAACGGTTCACACAGAGGTTCCGCTATCGCGTCCGACTGCAATGGGTGTTCAAAACTCGCACGAACAATCTCTAAATTCCGATAACATGACTGTCTGAAGTCATCATTCTCACATGCCGAACATCGCAATGAAGCCGCTAGTTGACGAAAGTCATCGGAAAGGACCATGTTTTTTTCGATAAATACGAGAGTGGGGATGTTGCTGACAAATAGTGAGAAATGGGGTTCCCGGAATACATCCTGCCTTCGGGTGCGAATTCGTTGTAAATCTAAAAGCTCGACAGGTAATGTGCTCGTGATGCTGCCACCCTCCTGTAGTAGAAGCAAGTCAAAAAGACGATTTGCAGCTTCTAAGTATCTGCGTAGTGATTGAGCTTCATGGTCTGAACTTACATTGGCAGCGAGCTGCCATGCAGGATAGACGAGGCCTCTCAGAATTGAGGTCGTTGATAAAGCACCCTGGATACAGAGATAAAGTAAGACCACTGTTAGGACGTCCCACGCCTCGGCGCATAGCCCAGACACCTCGTTCTTGCCAGTACCTAAAAACCACTGGAGTACCTGGTCATCGAAACCCCCTGGAAGATGCTTGTCGATATGCAAAAGAAAATGGCCATATCGAAGAGCGATAGAATGTCGGTTTGTCGTCTCATTGGTCATATTTGGAATTAGGCGAAGGCTTGCGACAGTGTTATCCCAGACCTTCCAGGCCCAATCAAAGGCTGTCCGGTATTTGTACCAAAGGCTGTTGGCAAGTATCGAAGGACCCTCTGGATTTGGATCCTCTGCAAGAAGGAGGATCTCAGGGAGGCGGGAAGGAACTGGATTCGGATGGTCTGTCTCAGGATTGAGAGCCTGTAGTGAATTTTTCAATAGGAGTTTGTCTAATTGTAGAGAGAAAACTCTAACATGCGTAAAAGAGGCGATGTCAGCAGCCACATGCTCTCGAGACGTCACATCTAAATGCCTGCCGTTGTCCATTTCTACCAACAAGGCGAGTAATGACCGCATCTGTATTCCACGGGTTCTCCACACTAGATGGGCGGCATGCAGTGCAGCAGTGATGGTGCCAGTGACATTCATGGATGTCCAGATGGTCGCGAATCTGTGAAATGTTTCGTTGACTGCTGTCAATAAGTCTACACTTGATGCGTGTTCCAATATAATAAGACTAAGCTGCAATTAAACGAAGTTTGTAAAATGTAAGAAATATTTTCGGCTTGTACCTACCTCTAACATGGATCCGAAACATTTTGTCATGTCCAAGAGCTCTACTGCCGTACAATATGATTTGAGGAGATTTTCTTGGTTGACAGATCCTTGCGCGTGACTAATCCTCGGACGTGAGTAGCGAGCACCATTTCATAGCAGAATATTAATGCTAACCCTCCGATATACTTGCGAAAATTGGGCAAAAACCACTGCTTGTAAGTTCTCACCTGCTCAAAGCGAGGCGCAACGAGTAAAGTCGGACAACTTTCCCGAAAAGCGGCTATGGAGTCAAATTGCGGATGGGAGACTCCTAAACACTTGTGAGCTACATATATATCACCAAGAAAAGTAAGCAGGCAAGACCTCCAAACACAATGGGAAGGACGGCTCTAATCTCGCGACGAATTTCACGTTCGCTGAGATCTTCTGGGGTCTCTCGGGCCCTCGCACCATGAAGAGTGACTTTGCGTTGGTTGACTAGTGACGGCGTGAGTTCATGTATGGGAATCCATCGGAGGAAGTCACGATGACGGGATCCAGGCTCCTGTTAATAGCAAGAGCTAATCAAATCTGCGAGAAGTAAAGAAATCGGAGTATGCGAACTAACCTGCGTGTAGGACAGCGAAGGTTCACCACGAGCTATTAGCCGCGTCACGTAATTTGCATACGAGAACAACTCGTGTTTGACAAACTTTCCGAAGAGTACTGCTACTGACCTCAAGTTCCCTGGCTCACCAGCTATATCGGATGAATCAAGCCAGTCAAAGAGTTGATCTTGCAGGAAAGCTTCAGGAGAAGAGACGTCTCGTCGAATAGCGCGATTTCCATTACGCTCACGCCAGCGGCGAAGAAGGGTAATGGCAGCATAAGGCCGATGTTCGCCGTACTGAAGCGGAGTGACACTCCAAGTGAGCAGTATGTCGAGCTTCTCTCCAAATGTGGAGGCGGCGTCGGATGCATCATCGAAGAAGGCCACGCTCTCAAGATCTGTAGTGCTGGATATGGAATTGAGAACCTTTGTAACGAAGTCAGTTGAAATGCATATAATGAATGGGTGTTGTGAGAACCTGGATGTCGGCAACAACAGATCCCATTCGCGCCAGAGCGCGAGGTGGAAGATTGCGGAAGAGCATTGCTTCATTACGACGCTTTATGTCGGTCAAGTTGTCGAGAAGAATAGATAAAACATCTTTGTGACTTTGTAGTTGATCGCCTCCAGGCTGCCCAGCGAGGTTGGATGACAAAGCTTCTGTTATGAGAGAGGAGTGTGCTGTCCACACGCTTGGACTAACGAAGGCATCCGAGAGTGTCATACATATTCGCTATATATTCGACAGATCAGGAAGGATGTCTCACTAATCAAAACATTGGAAGACGTGCTGACTTGCAAAAGGGTCTTTAAAAGTCCTTCCAGGTCCATAAGATGATTTTGAGCAAAAGTGGTGTGGATCTTTTGAATTGTCTAGAAGTTTGACAATACGATGGGTTGAACACGAACGTACCTCTGATAGCTTTGTGAGACAGGCTTCAACAAAGGGTCGGGCCAAAGCTCGATTGCCAAGCAAACCATCCAGATATTCGTCGGCGAGTCGAGCGACGAAACCGGCTTGAGCGAGGTTGCAGGAGGACATTTGCTGTACGAGCCAAACTAGAAATATTCGATTATCGACTAATCCTTCAGAATAAAAAGTCTTCAATAGTTTGAGACTGCGTTGTCTTTCAGTAAAGATGGTGTACATATTATTGCAGTAACCCATACCAGTAAGTGAAACGCGAAATCCAGCGTTCTTTTGTGTCAGCATCTGACAATACGCCTTTGAATGTCTGCTTGATGTTCAAACCGGGTCGTGGAGCACTCGGCAATGCGATGTCAGCTAGTTGTTTCTTCAAGTAACTCGTCACCACAATCGCCCAGTCGACACTATACTGCGTTGGATTGTACGATGGCTTGTTACGTAGGCCAGCCTATGTCTATAGTGAGCTGACTGGGGTCATATCATCAGGGGTATTCATGTACCGTTTCATTAGCGCCAAAAACACGGAGGAACCAAACAGCCCTATGAATGGCTACATTGTTTGTGTGAAGTAAATCTAGGAGATCATGTCCTTTGGCGCCATGCGGTACACTTTTTCCTAACTTATAAAGTGGCACATCGGGGTTAGCGAGGTCAGCGAACCATGCTTGACGCTTGGCGTCGTTTGCAGTTACTCTGGAAGGAATTTTGAACGTTGAAGGTCTAGTACAGCTTAAGCGCTATAAGTGCTGAGAGATAATGAGAAGGAACTGACGGTATGAGGGGTATATTTTCTACACGCCTGGAGAAGATTTCGTTCATCAGATTTTCTAAGTCCATTACCGCGTTCTCGTCAAAAATGTTTTTGGTAACATCCTGCTTGATTGTATCTGTAGTGGTCGAATATTCGGACTGCAATTGCGTTAAAGCAAGTAAGCGTTTAAAGCAGGTATGACTTCACCTGGACTGACGCAGCCAACACAAATCCATTTTTCACATTCGCTTCTGATAGGATGTCTTCATCTTGGCCAGGTCTAGGAGGATAGAATCCAGGATACCCTGCAAACCTCTCAGACAAGACACAGGGCACGAATATTCATATACTCTCACCGACGTCTGCTGACTTATGTGTCCTTGGAAGCCATTGAGGGGGATGTGACTCATATATCGGTAGCGGCTCCTTATCCTTCTTACCTTCTCGCATGTCTCCCAACTATCTCTGTAGTTTGCTGAATGGGTTCACTCGTATCCTCATGCCAGGAAACGTCGAAAGCCACGATATGAATGGAAGCTGCCCCAGATTCGTCCCTGCCACATCCGGTGTCTTGCGTGAGAACGTTATTCCTACGACCTCACCTATGATTTAATTATGACTACTAGTATTTCTCATTCATGTCGGCGTCCTTTCTTGCGTTCAGCAGCTCAGCAGTATCGTTGATAATAACACCAACAGCCAGAAGAACGCGTGCTCGTCTTTCAGAACATTGAGCAACTGAGTGGCGTGCTTTGTGAAAACACAGCCAAACGTGATCAACACAGCGATGGCGGCTACTAATGCTCACTGGCACCCTCACCACCCAACACCAAGACATGCGCCAGTCCGTAGCCCCAAACCGCATGTCCCATGCAGCTTCACTGGCATCACACGCCAATAATACCGCTGCGATGGCGAGATTACAAGAGAAAAAGAAAGAATTCGAGGCAGTGGCAGCTCTTGAACGAGCGAGCGCGCTATTTGTAAAGCGTGTCGAAGGGCTCGGTGAGGATTGCGAGGTTATGGCAGATGCAGGATTAGGTGTGTCCTGCCTATGTATATAATTTGACAATCTCTCATCTATAACGCCGCTAGTTCATGGCCAAGTGCTCGAGCAGTGGCCAAATATGTTTCGAATACTGAGCTTGTTCCGTCAGTTCCATCTACTCCACTAATATTATCATCTGACATCTTAATCAAGTGGCCAATCGCGAACAGCAAAATGATGGCGCAGAAGAGCCCTCAACAACTTCGTCTGGACCTGGTGAACGTCTTGTACGGCTTCCAGTGGATGAGTTACAGGTCGACCTACAAAAGTAAAACCCATGTAGTTAAGTAGTATCACACAATAGTTAGCATCCAGGTGTGCATCACTGTTTGAAGTATGTAATGTAGGGTATATGTATAACACGATTCGCTCCGACTGTGTTCTTTGCTCCTTCCCGCGTTTGGAAAGTGAAGTGGAAGCTTTGAAAGGTTGCGTAGAGGGAAAAAAGGATGGTCGAGATGGAGCGAGCTATCGGTAGTAGTAGATATCCTTTTACGGACATGAAGGTGCTTATCTAGTATCAGAAAGGAAAAGCTGGGTTTAAGAAAACGCTGTACGACCAGAGCTATGTCACATAGCCAGTTATACCCGCTCGAAATCAACTCGGCCACTGGCGAACCTTTCTTTCGACTACCTAGTCCCAACGATAACATCATCATTACACCCCCTCGTGCCAAGGACGAGCAGGCTGTTGTTCCCATCCTCAATGACCCTGGTGTGTACCAATGGCTTGAAAGGTCCACCGTTTCCATACACTCCTGAGCATGCTGCATCGTGGATACCCTTGATAGTGAACGCGGCAAAAGCAGTCCTAGATGAGCTGAAAGAAGAGGAGTGGTGTCAATCCTGGAGTCCGCTAAAGCGGTCGGGGATTGTCCGGTTAGGATGATC